CAGAAAATGAATTTAAATATTTTTAAATCATTTTCTGGCTGGTTGGTTTCCCGACGGAGCCCCTCCCCATTCATTCAAGGCCTTTTCCTTTGCCTTTCCCACTGCTACTGCTACTGCTACCATTCTACTTACTACCGGGTATTTCAACCTCTCCTCCCCGTAGGCAGACGGGACCCTCCTGCTCTCTCTCTCTCTCTCTCTCTCTCTCTCTCTCTCTCTTCTTCCTCCCATTTGCATTAATACCAGTTCCTCGTCCTCTTTCTTTGACCCTTGCCCTGCGTAATTCTACTTACACCTAATTTCATTCGTGACTCTACTTAACTAGAGCAGTCCTCAGCCTATTCGATTTTCTTGGAATTCGGCAATAATTGGGCATTTTTTCCAGTTATCACGCTTTGTGGTTCTCAGCGTAGTATCGTTCCATCTGCGCATTCCGAGCGTTGTTGCGCGGCGGCCCTTTTTTTTTTTTTTTTTCTTTCTTTCTTTTTTTCTTACACGGTTTCTGCTTAAGTCACTTTTCGTCATCCTTTAGTTAAGTACCGTCGCCTCAGGCCACCACTGGGCCACCCGGGCCACCACAAGCTTTTTTTTTTTTTTTTTTTCCTATTTTAAAATACTCGTTCCGGGTCTCGCCCGCTCGCCTTTACTTCCCTTTCGCTCTCTTTCTTTCTTTCTTTCCTTCCTTCTCTCTTCTCCCTCTCACTTCAACCTCTCGAGTTCCACCTCAGCTACACTTCGCTGCGTTTACCTGCGGCCCTTTCAGCCTCGTGCTGTAGGCGCTCTCCTTTTATACTCCGCCCCGGGGGTTAATTTCTTTTCCCCGTTAAAATCCTCCTTTCATCTAATTACCGCACATGACTCCACCATCGGTATCTCCAGCTCCCTCCGCAGTCTCCTCCGCCGCCACATCCCAGATTTTTAGCGATCATCGAGATGGAGACCCTCAGGTAACACGCGCTTTCGCGGGCATGAATTTGTCCGCTGGGGACGGGGATGCCCTCCCCATGCCCCCTCCGCCGGCGAAGACCGCCAGACCGACCATGGCAAATCGCATCTCCCGCATGTTCTCCGCCACGGGGAAGTCGACCCCGAAAGAACCAGATGCCCATCGAGACTTCTCAGATAGCAGCACCGAGAGCATCAAGCCGCCTACGAATGGCAGCGGAAAGCAATCGAGACCCACATCCAGACCCTCCTCGAGGGCTCCCTCCCGGCAGACCTCTACGAAGGAAAACGACGAAAAGAAGCCGAAGCTGGGCAGCAACAAGGACCAGAAGGACGGCCCTGTCCCCCACAAGCGCTTCGAGGGATTGCCGGAAAACGCGCATTGCCACCACCTCAAAAGCGCAAGGCGACAGGAGAAATTGACCGATTTGCTCCGGGACATGATCGGTGGCGGCAGGAAGAAGGACGATGGTCACGTCGATGATCAACAACTCTCCCTCATGTCGACATGGATCGATCAATTCAAGACTGAACGCGATAAACTGGCCGCCGACAAGAAGGGCGGCCCCAACGCCACGGCCTCCTTGGTGGACAAATATGGCAAATGCCAGGAGATCGTGGGAAGAGGCGCCTTCGGTATCGTGAGAATATCTCACAAGGTGGACCCCAAGGATTCCAAGATGGAACAACTGTACGCCGTCAAAGAGTTCCGTCGCCGCCCTCAAGAAACCGCGAAGAAGTATCAGAAGCGATTGACCTCAGAGTTCTGTATCTCGTCCTCCCTTCGTCATCCGAACGTCATCCACACTCTGGACCTCCTTCAGGATGCTAAAGGCGACTACTGCGAGGTCATGGAGTACTGTGCCGGCGGTGATCTTTACACCTTGGTCCTGGCCGCCGGCAAATTAGAGGTAGCCGAAGCCGACTGCTTCTTCAAGCAACTGATGCGTGGCGTGGAATACATGCACGAGATGGGCGTGGCCCACCGTGATCTGAAACCCGAAAACCTCCTCCTGACTACCCACGGCGCCCTCAAGATTACAGACTTCGGTAATGGCGAGTGTTTCCGCATGGCCTGGGAGAAAGAGGCGCACATGACGGCGGGTCTGTGCGGCTCGGCTCCTTATATTGCCCCGGAAGAATACGTGGAAAGGGAATTTGATCCCCGAGCAGTCGACTTGTGGGCCACCGGTGTCATCTACATGGCCATGAGGACCGGCCGGCACCTATGGAGACTTGCTCGTAAGGATGAAGATGAATTCTACCAACGCTACCTTGAAGGCCGGAAACATGAGGACGGCTATGCGCCGATTGAGACTCTCCATCGGGTAAGCACTGCTTCGAAATCGTCGCGATCGAACGTTGAAACTAACAGATTGTCAGGCTCGCTGTCGCAACGTGATTTATTCAATCCTGGATCCGAATCCATCTCGCCGCATCAATGCCTCGCAGGTTCTCAAGTCTGAATGGCTTCGTGAGATTCATCTGTGCAAGGCTGGCGAGGAAGGGTTCTAAGGGTTCTGTTCGTCTTTGTCCTTCCATCTAAAACGAGGCTTTGCATCTCGGGGGCGAGCATTCGTCCAATAGACTCCTTCAAGAGGTGGAAGGGGGGATCGCATGGTCTCGGCAGGGTTGGTCTGACTTCGGTCGGTCTATGTGTTCCCTTTGTGATCTGTTTGTGATTTGCCCTCGATTGTGACAAAGCTGGGTGGTTTCTATGTGCACTTTTCTCCCTTTATGCGGGGAGGTCCACTCCTTCTGTGACTGTTCTATAGAAGGAGGCTTATCTTTGATACATCTTTTCTATCTTATTTTAATGCGGGCGCATCTCTCTGTCTTCCCTTACTCCTGTTTCTGCTCACCTTAGCTTTACGGGTTTAGTTTTCATTCTGGACTGTCATGTTTTCATGCCAATGCAACGAAGAGTCATGACCTTGAGCTATTTGCATTTCATTTTTCCATTTGCGGCCGTTTCGTCTCTTTCATTCTTTTTCTTTTTTCCTTTTGATGACGATACTAACTTTTGTTCTATCTACTGGATTTCCTTTTCACGTCACACTGATCTCCTATCATTTTCCAAACTATTGATGATCTGGCTGACCTAAATTGCTTTGAGCTTTTGGGAGAGTTCGGACAACGTACGGATTCATTTATTCTATCTTTCACCCAGGGGTGTTATGTTGACGGGTTTCCTCTCTCCGGCGTGTGGATTTCATTTGTCTTTCTCTTTAGCGCGGTGTATCTGTTTAAATTGTGGGTTGGCTTACCATTGGAGATACCCTTGTTTCTGTTCTCAAACAACGTTGAATGACCCGATGCCGATGAACCATCCACTTGATGCATGTGAGGGGCCAACGCCCTTGCACGGCATCCCCAAGGGTCGGGATGATTGGATAATCGCAGTCTCGATGTCTTGTGTTTACTCATAGCTTTCTAGGCTGAATATGAAGATACAATAACTACTACTCTACAGTTGGACCGGTCTCGATATGAAGGTCAGGTGTAGATTTCCAGTCCATCCAAACTACTCCTGAACCGGTTAATCTTGTTTACCAGCAGCAAAGGGGGAACAAACAGAATAACTGAGAAGGGAAAGCTTCAACTGAACATCCCGTCGAGCGAGACTAAGAGGCGTGCCCAGACTCTAATGAATGCACTAGGCATGCAGCACCAGGATGCATGTCCTAGCGGCATGCCTGTCTCAACAACGGCAAATACCTATCAATCCCGCCAGGAGAGCACTGGTCTTTTGCCAACTGCCCATAAAAGAATAATGTATATGTATGTAGCTACCGTACAACGCAACACACACCTCTTGGCAAGTAAGAGGGACTCAGTAGTTGTCTGCTTCCACCATTGTCCTCCCTCCCTCCTCGGCGATCCTCTGGCACACCCACCTTCCCTCCCTCCCTGCCCCCTTGACCTCGTTCAAGCTTGCTTGGCAGCTCTTCCAAGCACAGTGCGTTGCGAGGGATCGAATCAACAATCCAGGCAGTCTTGGCACGGTCGTCTACCTTGCGTCTAATGGCTGGAATCTCTTGGCGTGGTCTGCCCTATCGGTGGAAAACCGTGCAGGAAAAGGTCTGACAGGCAGCATCATTTGACTCGCCCTGCGGAATTTCGGGATTTCCAGGTCAACCGCAGCCGGTGGTGGCTCTAGACTGTGGCCAAACATCCAGCTCATGCAGTCCATGCAGGTTCGTTCTGGTTGAGCAGTTGAGATGCATTCTTTGCAACTGGGTATACAGTATGTGTATGTATGTAACAGACAGTACCTGGGACGGTGTATTTGATACTTGACTCTGAAGTATCGCGCATGTTCTCAGGATTCTGTACCGGTAAAACCGTAGTATGTCCCAAGATAGTATGTGGCAGGGCGTAGGAGTTAAAACACCCCTAATCCCAGTTCTGAGTTTCTGAAAGATCGATAATCTGGACTCAACCATGACATCAGATTCGGACACTAGGCGGTAGTTCAGATGGAGACCGCGAGTCCATCCGATAACGCTTGACATCACTTCTTCACTTTTTCCCTCTGGACAGGAAGGCCGCAGCATTTCGGCACATGACGTAACTCGGTTTTTCCAGCCGGAGTCCGTGGAACCCGACGGTACTCGTATGTATTCATACGGTAATGTCATACCGTCTGAACACCGCCTCCGCTGCACCGCCACGATGGATTGGGCATCGTGAAATCCGATTCATTCGACCGAAGTCATTCAGCCCTGTGACGAACATCCCCCGCTTCGATTCTTCTTCGACAACGCTCGTTGCTGTTATCCCGTCTCCTCCGCAATTGTTGGTTCACGCGGGCTGACTCCTATCTGGCATCTGTCCTATCTCGTCGTCTTTCTATTTTTCCTTCTCGCAGTATCCGTATCGCAGATCGACTCGCTTCTATCCCGCCGTCATGTCTTGGGCAGGTGCGCGAGAAACCAGATTCCCATCCCGAGTTCCCATCTCGGGGGAACTCATCTGCGCCCGGCTCGATGCTAACTAGACGTTTCCGTACTGTAGGGTTCAAGAAAAATGTGAATCGCGCCACCACGCAGGTGATGATGAAGACGGGTATGTCTGCCCTCCCTCCCCGACCATCTCGCATTGGGTCTCCGATCTGTTGATGGGTTGCTAATCAGTGATTGGAACTATTCAGGGCATGTGGAAAGGACAAACGATCGTGACTATGAGATTGAAGAACGGTATGCTTTCCGCGGAGGGCTGGAGATCCGATAAGGGGGGCGCAGAAGAGGGGGCAAGGCACCGATCAAACCGACCGATTGGATTACTGATTGGGATGCATAACAGACGGTACCGGACGATGGAGGCGGCTGCCAATCGACTACAAAAGGAAGCTAAGGGCTATCTCGACTCGCTACGAGGTGTGTATCCAGTCTGGGTTGAGTTGGGGTGGGTGTGGATTTAATGCTGATGCCTTGGGGTCTGTTTAGCCATGACCGCCTCGCAGATGCGCATTGCCGAGACGATAGATGCCTTCTATGGCGATGCCGGTACGCGGGACGGCGTGAGTCGGAGTTACAAGCAGGCTGTGGAGGATCTTGATGCCGAAACGATCAAGGCGTTGGATGGTCCGTACAGGTCTGTACAACCGGGTCTCCCATGAGAAGTCCAGTGACATACTGACGCCTTGACTCAACACTAGAACCACCGTTCTCGAGCCGATCTCCCGTTTCTGCGCCTACTTCCCCGATATCAACGAATGCATCAAGAAACGCAACCACAAGCTCCTCGATTACGACGCCATGCGTGCCAAGGTCAAGAAGCTGGTCGAGAAGCCCGACAAGGACGCCACCAAGCTGCCGCGAACCGAGCGCGAGACGGAACTCGCCAAACAGGCCTACGAGCAGCTGAACGAACAACTCTTCACCGAACTCCCGCAACTCATCGACCTCCGCGTGCCCTACCTGGACCCCAGTTTCGAGGCACTCGTCAAGATTCAATTGCGATTTTGCGCCGAGGCGTATTCGCGCATGGCGCAGGTCCAGCAGTACCTTGACGCGGAAACGAGAGACCAATACGCGCGGGGCGATTTGGATAATCGGGTGGAAGAGGTCTTGCAGGAGATTCGGGACTTGAGTATAGCAGGAACTGTCTAATATTTTTGGTGATTAATGTTTTACGCGCGCGCTTCATGTCTGCTACGGCGGTGATTTGCTTTTTTCTTATCTTTCTTCTTTTTCTTATTTCCTTCCCCTGGTGATTGTTGTAATCTGTCGCGTCTTTCGAGGGCGAGTTCGAGGAGTTATTGCTCGTTGATTTGGGGTTTACTTACGGCCTCTCGATTCTATACCAGGACAGTGTCTGATAATGGAATAAACCAGAATCCGTTATGAGAGTAAGAGAACGGTGCTCACATCAACTATGATTGGTGCTGTATGTTGTATTGATTGAAGGGTATCATCTGTCTACTATTCGAGTCTATATCTATATCTATTAATGCAAATGTACATATCTCGAGGATACTTGACTCTCCTTCAGTATCTTTTCTTTCATCCACAGGCGCAGCGCCATACCCACCCCGACAACTCTATCCCCCCCGATACATCTCGTCTGCCAAAATATCCAACACCGGCCTCGCCGCCGCCTTAACCGCCTTCATCTCCGCGGCATCCATCTCCGTGAGCACGAAATTCGCAACATCGCCTCGATTGCGCGTGTCAGGACGCCCAATACCCACGCCGACCCGCAAGACCGCCAGATCGCCCGCGACGCCAGTATTATTATCGCCGGCCCTCCGCGGCGGATACAGCCCTTTCCCGCGCAGACTCTCCATCACGCTGATCAGCCCGCGATGGCCGCGCAGACTCGCCGTCTCGGGCCCGCCCCGTCGCACTTTGACTTTCCCTAATGGCGCCTCGAGCTCGTCGTGCAGGATTACTAACGTGGGGTGGACTCGGGTTAGGGCGGATGGGTCTATGCCGCGTTGATACCATTCCGGTTCTTGACTGTGGGCTTGTCTTTTCTGTCCTGGGTTCTTTGGTCCGGCGGGTGGCTGCGTTTGCGGCTCAGGCTCCGCGTCACAGTCCGCGCCCCTGTCCACGACAGCAATCTGCCCCGACCTCACCACCCTCTCCAACACATCCGTCTGCGTCGCGCCCATCCACTTACTCAACTGCCGCACAAGCTTCGGCCCAGACTCATTCATATACGACGAGCTATGCCAGGTGGTATGGAAAACCGGACCCGTCGCGACGTTCGGGTTTCCCGACACGAGGGGAAATCGGCCAGGTAGGAGAGGCGTGAGGGCATCGAGGAGGACGTGGCCGGCGCTGTGGCGCGTTTTGAGATACGGGCGGGGGTTGCCGATGGAGGCGATGAAGAGGAATCGGGAGGGGGTTTTGAGGGTGGATATTGTTGTTTTTGTGGTTGTTGTTGTGAGGGTGGGGTGCGCCATTTGGTATGAAGGTCGGTGTTGTGTGGGATATGAGATTAGTGTGGAGTTGTTGGTTGGTGGTATAGAGAGCAGACTGAGGTGAGTAGGTGTTGGAGTAAGAGTAGCGATACTTTTTTTTTTCCCGCGGCGGGAGATCGTCGTTCGGCCGTGGGGACAATAAATGCATTCCGATGGAATTATCTTATTTCCCCCCTCTCTATTCGATCAACATTAAGTTATAAGGAAAAGGTCATAAAAGGTCTAATATTTGGAATATCTAATAAATCCAGTAGGTATATTTATGAACACAGGATGGAGAAAAACAAAAACAAACCACCGATCCCATTTTTTTATTGCTGAAACTCCGGCCCCATATGAAAGAAAAATCCAAATACAACGAAAGGTATATTCACAGTTGAAACTTCGTTCTCTGTTTCTCCATTCCTCCCTTCCATTCCCACTCCTGTCCACTGGCCCGCTGGATCCCCTTGTCTACTCGTCGCAGCTTGAGGGTAAAGTTGGGTCCCAGCGATTGCAGTCCCGTTCGTAGTCCTTCCGCGCCCTTCATCTCCTTTCCGTCCGCCCCGACGACGCTCTTCTCCGTCTCGCGCTTCTCGCGGAAAACGTACCGATGCCGTCTCACAAAGATGTAATCGCGCTGGTTGTGCAGGGTGACGACCTGGCGGCCTTCGATATCGGGTTGCGGCGGGAACAAACTGCGGAAGAGATGCGCCGTGAGGAGACCCAGCGGAGTGCGGAAATTGTTGAGGATCAGTTCCGGCCAGTGTTCCGTCGGGTTACCATGCCCGGGGAGCTTTTTACCCGTGATCCAGTTGCTAATGGAGAAGTGGAACATCGGACCCTTGGGCAAGTGGACAATGTCCAGACCCGCCGGCCGCTTTTGGTCTTCCTGGAGAATGACGAGGGCGGTATATTCCCGGTTCGTAGCAAACTTGGCGATCTCGCGGACGGAGAACTTGTGTGCGTAGCGGTGCGCAGTACGGCGGATGTATACGCTGTTGGGGAACAGGGAGGTCAGAATCTCGGCCTCGTCGTGCAGGATCGAGTTGATGGAGGTGGTAATTAGGATCTTGGGCGTTTTCGGGGTTTCCGTGGAGAAGAGCGACGGGAATTTGGCGGCCAATGCCTCGGGCGCCAGGTTCATGTTGGTACTCTTGGTCGACTGAGTCGGACTCGTCGCACGCGCAGTGGCCGAAGGAACGGAGGATTTCGGCCGCCCTCGCTCGTGGCTGTCACCGTCGGCATCGTCTTTTTCGTCGTCGCTGCTGGCCAACATGCTGTCCAAATCGTCGCTATCATCTTGCGACCCCTCCGACTGCTGTTCGGAAGGATCCAGAGGCCGATTGAGTTCGTCTTCCTCCTCCTGCTTTTGTCTCTTGATGCGCTCGACGTCGACACTCAGACCTAGTCCATCTTCGGCGTCGCTGTCCGGGTTGTCCCACACTCGCTTTCGCTCCAGGGTCAAGGGAATGTTGCGCTTGAGACGTTCCTCCTTGAGTCTAGGGTTCTTGGCCTCCTCTTTCTTGAACGCATAGCGTTCTGCCCGACGAGCCGAGTCCTTGGCACGCTTTCTCTTGACGTGTAGGAGTTGACGTCGGATTTTGTTGGCGGGTTTCTCATCTGAGACGACCCCCGGAGGAGGTCTGTGGAGTGACTTTTTGGAGACCATCGTGGGAGGAGACGAGGGCGCAAGCTGGGGAGATGGCGGTTGATCTGTAGCTTTTCTCGACAATTCTTTTTCTTTTTCTTGGGCGGGAAGGAAGGCGGAAGAAGATATGGCCGGCGGTCAGAGCGAGATTCTGCCGGCGACAAGTCCTTTCGCAGCGGTTGCGGTCGGCATTCTTCAACTGATACTGAAACCCAGTTAAAATAATATTTAATTAGAACCAGAGGAAGATAGGACGAGGTGTGTGGAGAGAAGAGAAGGTCTCAATGATTTCCCATTATCGGCGCTCCCTTCATTCCCCCTTCTTCTCTCGATTGTCATCCGAAGCATTGCTCAACTCTCGTTAAAGAACAACTCGACTCGATCAACACTGTCTGGATCCGTCACGTGGAACTCGATGACTCATCCGGCGGTCGCTCGTCTCTTCTTTCTTCCCCGCCGTGCGTCTTTTCCTCCTGCCCGGAAGAACCCCGCTATCAGAAAATACCTTCACTGCACCTCCGCCTCCGTTATCCAGACCCTCCAATCGAAACGGTTTCGTGAGACATACAACGACATGGCGACCGTTACCACCAAAACCGGTCAGGTCGTTGACCGCGCGAACCTGGACGCAATGCTCCGTCGCCGACTCTTCTACACCCCCGCCTTCGAAATTTACGGTGGTGTCTCCGGTCTCTACGACTATGGCCCCCCCGGATGTTCGCTCGTGAACAACATCATCGACCTGTGGCGGAAACACTTCGTGCTGGAGGAGGATATGTTGGAGGTCGACTGCACCATGCTGACCCCGGAAGAGATCCTAAAGACCAGTGGCCACGTTGAAAAATTCGCCGACTGGATGTGCAAGGATCCTAAGACTGGTGAGATCTTCCGCGCCGATCACTTGGTGGAGGAGGTGCTCGAGGCCCGCCTGAAGGGCGACCTGGAGGCGCGTGGCCAGGAGGTCGTCGTCGACGAGGCGAAGGAAGCGAAGAAGAAGAGGAAGACCAAGTCGAAGGCCGTCAAGCTGGACGATGAGGTCGTCAAGGAGTACGAGGAGACCCTAGCTCAGATTGACAACTTCGACGGGCCTGAGCTGGAAAAAATCATCGCCAAGTACGATATCCGCAACCCCACCACCGGCGGCAACCTCCTTCCCCCTGTCGCCTTCAACCTGATGTTCCAGACTTCGATCGGCCCTAGCAGCAACATGCCCGGTTACCTGCGACCTGAAACCGCCCAGGGCCAGTTTTTGAACTTCCACAAGCTGTTGAATTTCAACCAGCAGTCTATGCCCTTCGCGTCGGCCTCCATCGGCAAGTCGTTCCGGAACGAGATCTCGCCCCGCTCCAGTCTTCTGCGAGTTCGGGAGTTCCTCATGGCTGAGATCGAGCACTACGTCGACCCCGAGGGTGGTAAGAAGCACGCTCGTTTCGAGGAAATCAAGGACGTCGAAATGGCCTTCCTCAACCGCGATGTGCAGCTGTCGGGTAGCACCCAGACCGAAACGATGACCATCGGCAAGGCTGTTGAGACTGGCATGGTGGACAACGAGACCCTTGGATATTTCATCGCTCGCATTCAGCAGTTCCTGCTCAAGCTTGGAATCGACCCGACCAAGCTCCGTTTCCGTCAGCACATGGCTAACGAAATGGCTCACTATGCAGCCGATTGCTGGGATGCCGAGATGCTAACCAGCTACGGTTGGGTTGAGTGCGTCGGCTGTGCCGATCGCAGTGCTTATGACCTCACGGTGCACAAGAACAAAACCGGAGCCCAATTGGTTGTCCGAGAGCCTCGCGCAGAGCCCATCAAGGTCGAGGAGTGGCAGGTTGAGACAAACCAAAAGACTTTTGGCCCGCGCTTCAAGAAGGATGGCAAGACTGTGGCCGCCGCCCTGGACGCCCTTTCTCAAGAACTACGCGAGAAGCTGTCTCTGGATCTGGAGAAAGAGGGCAAAATCGAGGTGGATGTGGAGGGGGTTGGCTCTGGCAAGGTCGAGCTGGACAAGAATTTAGTTACCATCGAGAAGCGGACTCGCGTCGACCACGTCCGTGAATTTACCCCCAATGTGATCGAGCCGTCCTTTGGTATCGGCCGTATCTTCTACAGCATGATTGAACATTCTTACTGGTATCGGGAGGGCGACGAGGCGCGCGGTGTATGTACAACCTTTTCTTCAAATATTCTCCCCTTCTTCCTAGGGTGTCCCACTAACCTTTGACGTATAGGTTCTTTCCTTCCCCCCGATCATTGCACCTATCAAGGTCCTCATCGTTCCCCTCTCGAACCTTGCCGATTTCCGCCCTCTGACGCAGCACCTGATTACCAGGCTGCGACGCGCTGGCATCTCTAGTCGCGTGGATGACTCTGGGGCTAGCATCGGAAAACGGTACGCCCGTAACGACGAGCTGGGTACGCCGTTCGGTATTACTGTGGACTTCCAGTCTATTAAGGACAAATCCTTCACGCTCCGTGATCGGGACACGACGAAGCAGGTGCGCGCTAGCGAGGATGAGATCGTCCAGGCCCTCAAGGCGATGGTGGAGGGCGATGAGACGTGGGAGGATATCCGCAAACGTCTGCCCGAATTTACCGGGCAGGAGCTTGAATAGATGCCACTAGATGTGTAGATCAAACGACGAAGAACTAGAAAGAAGTGAAGTCCGAAGCAAACGAAGCAAACATTAAGTCATCCCGAAATGGCCCTCCGTAGATCACATGCCCAGAGAATCCCGCCGCGCATCTTTCGCCAGTTGGTCTCTTTCCTTCTTTCTCCCTTCCTTTCTTGCACACGCTCTTTATCAATTCTGTCATCCGTGATCTCTCGCTCCTTCTTGTCCGTTCGCTGCCTGGACGGCTTCGACCGGTGCTTCACCATGGCTCCCTCTGTTCCCTCGGCCAAATTGACCCTATCCTGTCCCCTCTTCGCTGCTGACTTCGACCCGCGCAACCCCGGCTTCCTTCTGGTTGCGGGCGGAGGAGGTGAGAGTCGTACGGGAGTGGGAAACAAAATCGCAAGTACCCTAATTAGGGCCTCCCCTGTGCTATCGAATGAATGAGAGTTGTGCGCTAACCTCTCCGTCCCGACGCAACAGACCCTGTTAAACACTTCCAAACGTCGTGAGATCTCGGAGATGGTCGACATCGAGCTGTCGCGCGAGGAGGACTCCGTGACCTCGCTTGCCGCTGCACGTGCGAGCGATGACTCCATCATTGCTTTGGCCGGAATCAACAGTTCCATGGCGGAGCAGAAACGGGACAACAATCAGCACCTGAGGTCGTTCCAGATCGATTATCCCCCGCGACGACAATCAACCTCGGCCGGCGCAAACGAAAAGGAGACCAAATCGAAAACCCCTTCCTCGTCCTCGGGCAAGACTACGGCATTGTCTCGCGTGTCTCTTTTCAGAACCAAAGCTGGTAGCACGGGTACCTACCAACGAATAACCCGCCTGTCGCCCTGGCAAGGTGCTGAATCCCCGCGCGTTGGTGCCATTGCCACCGGACTGGCTCCATCGGGCGAGATTGTCTTCTTTGATGCCACTACCGCAACCCCGGGCGCTTCTGATGTCATTGGGAGAATCCGCCTGGGTACTGACGAGGAGGCCGAGGATGTGGATATTACGGGGCTAGAGGCCGAGGGGAAGTTTCGAGTCGCTTATACCAACGGCGTCGATGTGTTTACCTGTCAGATCTCGTCGGACAAGAGGTCCAACGGCTCGCCAGATGTGAGCTGCGTATACACCACCCCAGTACCAGAAAAAGGCCCGAGAACCAGGCCTAAGTTCCGCGCGCTGCGCTTCATCTCGCCGACGACGCTGCTGTTGCTTCAAAATGCGCCAGACCGCCGCGGTTGCGAGCTCATCCTGCTTGATCTGCACCAAATTGCATCGAAAAAACCTTCCGCATCGATCGTTCGCCGCAAGAAGCTTCGCAAAGCGATGAAGATCGGGCTTGGTCTAGACGTTTGCTTGCTGAGTCCGAATGCCGATACGCAGCAGCAAATAGCCATCGCTGTTGCCGGAAGCGACCAGTCGATCGAGGTATTGACGTTCGAGTCGAATCGTCTACAAGGCACCCACGGCAAATTCCGTTCGTACACCAGCCTCCACGAGGTGCATCCCTTTTCACTCACCAAGGTCTGCTTCTCGCCGTTCACCCCTCCTCCGCAGCCCGTCAGCCCGGAGACGCCTCCCCAGTACATCAAGCTCGCTTCCCTCAGCTTGGGCAACACTGTCGTCGTGCACACTCTACCGTTGGCACCATCGCCACCTTCCAGTCGCAGCCCGCGGTACGTTCTCGTGCCGCCGCATGACTTGGATGTCTGGACCAGTCTCTCCAGCAGTCTCGCCGCCATCTTTTCCATCCTGGCTGTCTGCTTCCTTCTCCAGGCTTTTACGGAAATCCGTGGTGTCATGCCCCCTTACCTGGGCGCCACTGAATGGCTTCCTCCCAACATTCGCGACTCGGTTGCCCGGCCGTACTACGCTCCGCCACCACACCCACTCCAGCAATCATCTCTCACCTCGTCAGCCATTCCTACCATCGTGACCGATTCCCCAGTGTTATCACTCCGTGACCTGGTTCGCGATTACTCTCCTATAGTCACCGACGGTGACAGTCAGAGTCAGACCGTTCGCGTCTCCTGGGATGCCGAGCGCAACGAGCCTCTAGTTGCCTCGGTCTCAACATCCGAACAGACTGACAACCTTCTTCGTTGGGATGGTCTCAGCGAGGAAGCTCGAGCCCTCTGGACACAACGTCTGACTGAATCCGGACAGTGGTCCTCCGACGATGATGACGCTGTGACACTTCTTCAGAGCGTTCTGTTTGATCGAACGGAAAGCCCAAGCTCAAGCCCACGATCTGAACTCTGAACGCCTCTTCTTTTTCACCCTGTATTTCCCCCCAACTCGTCATGTTGAACTATGTTTTTCTTTTTATCATAATTTCTTGCCCTTTCTACGTTGGACTTTTTGGCTGAAACATTGAAGAATCGATGACTTACGGATGTATGCGTATGCATCGGTCGTATCACTCACCTATGGCCAGGAACAAAGAGGAGAAATAGATGCATGAGTGTCAAAATCACGAATTATCTACGAATTGTACGTTATACTTGAAAATCCAGACTGGCCTGTATCAACATCTAGCTCTGCTATGTAATGTAAAGTGAAGTAAGAAAGTATCGAAAATCGGAGAAAGAATAAACGAAAAAAAAAGAAGTCACCCAGCTACCTTCCTACCAGGTCCACAAGAATTTTTTTTTATTGTTCAACAACAACCCAGACAGAATGTAAAAGAAAAATATGCAGCAGTTGTACCTATGCCAAATGGCCACACGCGTGCTCGGAGGGCCTTTGCAATGTGATTATGATTATGGACTTGGCTGCTCGGCGTAGCTTTCAAAGCATTTCCAGTCCGCTTGTATCTCCGCACATCAAAGCCCGTCCGTCGGTTTGTATTTTTATGCTCCCTGACTCATCATCCCTTACTCTATTTTCTTTCTTTCTTTATTCCTTCTTTTCTTTTCTAAAAGGCGTCATCGGGTGGTCAGACCGATGCGTGTTGCACATGGGACCACCGCGATGGGCACCAACATCACACATAAGACTCATCTCGCTTCGTCACCATGGGGAGAAGAGTGGGGGCGCGAAGAGGAGGGGGACAATAGGAGTTGGCTCAAACAAGGCTGGTGCAATGAGGACGATAGGATAGATTATTCACGATATAAGAAAGGAAGGAAGAGACCAACGGGGAATAGAACAACCAAGATGAACGCCGAATTATCCATGCCAAGTGTGCAGAAAGAACACAGCTTTGTAAGTTGGATATCACACAAGAAGAACGGGATTGCAATGCAGGTCGTAAGGGAATAACAAAATCATCCGGATGCGCGTATATGAGACCCATATGTGCGTGAGACAAGATTGGTGCTAGATCGTGATAGGGGGAGATAGATATTGGTTGAGAAAAGAGGTTCAGCTCGAATACCTCCGGAGGTCCCGTTTACTGACTGTTCTTCTTCCAGCGGAGCAATTCGGCCAGGCTGGCCAGGCTGCAACCCGTCTTCAGGAACTCATGGGCCAATAATTCGTCGGCCGTCGCACGGCTGCGGACATCGACACAGAGACAGACACTCAGGAAGGACTTGAGCTCCTTGCTCAACTTTTCGGGCTTCTTCAATCGAGGGGTACCGTTGGTCGCGATGAGGTACAAGGCTTTCAGGGGTTCTTCGTTCAGGTACGGCGGCTCTGATTCGATCATTTCGATGGCCATAATTCCCAAAGACCAGCAGTCGACCTTGGGGCCGTATTCCTTCTGCTTGACCACTTCAGGGGCCATCCAGTACGGAGTACCAACCATTGTGGCTCGCTTGCTCTTCGACTCGGTAAGCTTGGCGCAGAAGCCAAAATCGGCTGCGGAAGAAAGGTTGCGATTAGCATCATGTCTTATAGCCAGATGTACAAGGTGTCGCTTACTGATCTTCACATGACCGGCACGGTCCAGGAGGACGTTGTCGCTCTTGATGTCACGATGAATAATGTTCTGACTATGCAGGTGAGCCAATCCCTGGCAGGTCTGTTGCGAGTTCGTTAGCTTTCCTACGAGGACTTTCTTACCCCTTCCTTTTCCTGTCCTTTGGCAGGGTATTCCGGTGCTTGAGACATACCTCTGCACATATCGTGGCAATCTGATCCTCTTGAATCACTGGGTTGTTGTCAATGACATCCGTCAAAGCACCACCCTCCATGAATTCCATGACCACCCAGAGTTCATTGCTCTGCTCCTGCAAAAAGGAATCCAAGAAATTGACAATGTTCGCATGCTGGCTGTCCTTCATGACGATGATCTCGTTGACGATCAACTCCTTGCGAGGTTGACTGCGCAGGTCCATCTGCTTGATAGCCACTTGACACCGGGGTCCGTACTGCCGATACATCTCGCGTGCCACGGGGGAGGCGGCATGCTCCTTCACCCGCGCAACGTACACAGAGCCCGAGGCACCCTGACCAATCTTGCGCTGCTTGCTGTAGGACTCGTTGGGGTTGTCCTTGGACACCACCGAGCGAAGTCGATCCATCACCTCATTTTCGCTCATGTTCGACATGCGGACTTCCTTTCGAGGCTCCGGCTTCTTGGTCAAGGCCGCCTCAGCCTGACGAACACCATCGGGTACGGCTGTTTTGTTGGTCGCCTGCTTGTTAGCGATGTTCAGAGGCTTCACGGGCTGCACGGGAGCCGGCAGTTTCGTGGGAGGCGGGCCCTGAGCCGGAGCGCGAGCCCCCTGGTTCTGAGCCCGCGGATCATGCGCAGGGTATCGCGAGCTAGGAGAGCTCTCGTCCTGTCTAGAGCCGGGGGCCCGAGCTCCGTAGTCCCCAGGTCGATGACCCTGGTTCGAAGCAGTCGGAGGGGGCGGTGCCGGACGCTGGGCCGTCAGCTGGCGAGCAGGGTCTTGCGGCCGGGTCGAACCAGGAGCCGAAGGAGCAGGACGGCTGGGCTTGTACCGATCATTCGGCGACTGCTCGGAGCCACCATAACCGCCCAACTCCTGCTTGGCCAATGGAACACGGGTCTTGGGGAGAGAGGCATTATACGCCTCCTGATCGAGTCGGTTCTGCTCGTCTTCGCGCGCGCGAGCCCGTCGAGCATCGTCCTCCACGCGGCGGCGCTCTTGATCTGCCATCTCCTTCATCCTCTCCAGCTGTTGCTGCTGCTCCAGCGCCCGGTCCGACTCAGGCTTGCCATGGGACTGGAGGGGAGACGCGCGACTTGAGGGTCCACTGTCCAGCCGCTGCGAGGGCGCAGGCGGGGGCGGTCGCGGGGGGGCAATGGAGCTGCCCACGGAACTGTTGCTGTACGGCTTCGACTGGTTCGAAGACGACGAAGACACCATGCCCCCGTAATACTGGGGATCTTGCTCGCGCATCTTGATGTCGGAGTAGAACTCCAGCACTTCGATGACGGCCTGCGGGTTCTTTTTGTAGTCTTCCTTAGTGATGGCCGAGGCCGTCAGAAGTTTCTCCCACTCCGGGGGCAAGCCCACGAAGGCGCCCGTCTGGGGATCAAAGCCCACATGAACGCGGTGGCTGAAATTGGTCGGGTTGCTGACGCCTCCCATGCCGGGGCAGCGCTCGTAGATCTTATCGATCCAGTCGTAGATCTCGTCGTCACTCTTCACCTCGCAGGTGATACTCTTGGTGGGCACGTCGCGGGTGATCAGAGCGGATTTGGAAGTAGCATCCTTGGGATTGGCCAGGCGAACAATTTCGAAGGCCATGCGGGTGTCTTCTGAGCGCGAGACGCCGGTGACGGTGGTGAGCGGGATGGACAAGACGACTTTGCCGGTCTCATTCTTCAGAAAGTCCAGGCGAAACTCCCGCAAGATCAGGTAGCGCTGGTTCCAGGTGGCCAGGAACTTATCCTCTTTGGAGCGAACATAGCCCTCCTTGACGACGGAGACCCCGCCCTGCAGCGACTGGTTGGTCTTGGTGTGCGAGAGCGCGGGCGAGCTGGTATTTGGAAAGAGAGACAGGTTGGCGGAACCGGGGGTGCTCGGGGAGTTCAGGCTCATCTGGCCGAACGAGGCGGTCGTCGACTGAGCCGAGGGGAGATTCAACTTCGGACGGTCGGCGGGCGGGCGGGGGGCCGGTCCGGGGTTCATGAACTGGTCAGGGGAATACATGCTGCGACCGAGTCAACACGCGACGTTCCGATGGGTTTCTCGTCGACGGTCGGCCGCGAACGAGGTAGGACAGAAAGGAGATGCGAACGCGAGGAAAACGAGGAAACAGACAGAGATAAGGAGAAAGAAAGGAAAGGAGACGAGCAGGGTCAGGCTGTTACTTACTTGCCATGGGAAGCCATTGGCCAGGAGAAGAAGCGAGACGCAACGGGCCTCGCGAAATACCAGGAATCGGTGAGATCCCTTGGCTTGGAAACAATTCACAGCTGCAATAGGGGGGTGAGCAGTCAGCCTTGTGATAATCTTAGATGATTAGAATCCCACCAGAGAGGGGGCCAGAGACGTAACAAGAAATCAGGATACAGGGGGGGCGAAATCAATTAATATGGATTTCAGTTGCAAATTGATTTCAATCTCCTGCATGAACATTGGGAAACGGCATTACCAGAGACTAGACAAATGAGAGAGCGAACCCTCGCTCTCGGAGCGTGGGCTGCACGCCTCGACGTAAGTGGGGGGAGGGAAGTGGATAAGCAAAGCTGGTCGAGCAGGATGAGAATGAAGGGGTTATAGAGATAGCGGGGGAGCTGAGGATGAAGATGAAGAGAAGACTCGACACGAGAGAGCAGAGGGACGAAGGAGAGAGAGAGAGAGAGAAAAGAAGGAGGGAAAGAGAAGAAGAAGAGGGGGGAAAGGAAAAGGGAAGGGAGAAGCAAAAAGTAAATGAAGTTTCACTAAATTCCCAGTCCCCAACCAGGGGCAACTTTCTGTTTCTCTCCATCTCTCTCTCTCTCTCTCTCTCTCTCTCTCTCTCTCTCTTCTTTCTTACTCTTTCATACTTCCGACCAATGCAATTCTCGCTCGAATCTGATTCGACTTGCTCAGTTGATCGTCAATTCCACGTCTAAACTTTCTCAAGGCTGCATCCCTGGCCTTGGAATCTGGGATACATTTTCCACTCCCCTTAAGAAAGACCCTTGTCCCCGATGGGCCCAAAGGGACTCCACTCGGGGCCAAAAGAAGTTGGTCAGCCAGACTCAGATTGATTGATCATAGATTGATCATTGATCATTGATCATTGAGGCGCCCTTCTTCACGTCTTCTCCCCCTTCGTAGCTCCGATCCACCAAATGATCCCTTCACGATCTTCCGGATCGACCCGTCCTTTTTTTGAGGTTCTTCGTGGCGGCATCGTGGGAATACCATGTGGCAGGCGCATTCTTCCTAGATTACAGATATTATCTTGGATATTTATATATATACAGAGCCAGACTGGCAGGTGTTCATGTCTCCTCGCCAAATGGATGATTGAATTTCAACAGGCCGTTCAATCCGCCCACCCATCCGTCATGCGCCTCGCTGCCGACGATCCTGCGCATCACGCAAGGTACGCCGCCCTGCCATTCATTCTTCCCATGTCGCATCTCCTCGTTCCAGACTCGTGCCTCCATCCCGAAGGCCATTCCCTGACCCATGTTCACCCCGTCGATGCTCACCTCTAGCTCACGACCGCGGTTCTTCTCGCTCAGTCGCAGCGTGATCGGCGTGCTGGATGGTAGTACTAACGGTCGGAAACTGAGGCTCCTCGCGCAGATCGGCGTCAAGAGAATCGATGGCACGAGTGGGTGCACGATGCTGCCGCCGCTACTCAGGCTGTAGGCTGTACTGCCGGTGGGCGTCGAAATGATGATTCCGTCCGCGACTGCCTCGGTGAGAAAGCGCCCGCCGACGTACACGTCCACCACGGCGAGATGCGGCTCCTTTCCGCGATGGAACAGCACCTCGTTCATCACGTACACGCCGTCCCTACCCAACGTGCCCTGCATAGGGACCGAGTCATCGTCGCGTTGAACGGGTGCGCCGTCGGCCGTGAACAAACCCACTTTCAACCGATTGCGCATCAGGATGCGGGCACCGCGGCTTGCGCCCATCGATTTACCGCGCACGGAGGACCACCCTGTCGGACCTTGCCCCGACGCTGCCGGCGAGGTCATGTTTTGGTCTTCCAGGATGGGCGCTCGGTCTCCAACGCCCGCTCCCGACATGTAAACTTCGCGAAAGGCGCGCTTATACTCAACGAACTTCCATTCACTTAAAAAGCCCAGCGTCCCCATACTAAACGATAGTACGGGCGGAACGTTGTGGCACGTGGCAAACAACGACGAGGCATGCAATATCGTACCGTCTCCGCCCAGCGTAACCGTAAGGTCCGCTTTCTTGTGTAGCGAGGGTGGTAGTTTGTCTGACTGCGCTGTGTAGACGGGACAGGGGAGCGACGTGTGGACTTCTTCTGCCGTCTTTGGTTCGAGGATGACGGCGGTTGACGGATAGCTGGATGTCACATGGCTACGCAAGCGCAAGAAGGTCAGCGTATGATGTCCCCTCGGATCTTGCAAAAGCTGTCTCTCCCTCTCTCTCGTACCTGACAAATTCGATAAGCGACTCGGTTACCGCCGGCGCGCGGTCCTTCTTCACCACAAAAATGTTCCGAAGTGGTGTTGGCCAATGGAGCGAGAGGAGATCTCCTTCTTGGGATTCTGAGATGGAGAAGCGGGGGTCAGTGAGATTCTGTCCGGCGGGGGACGGCAGTGCCACGACGACGCACACCTTGGTATTTGGGTATCACTCGCTGGGAGAGAGATTCAACGTCCCTTATCTCATATCGATGCGAAGACGTCGTGAAGGGTCGCAACCGCGGGCTCCGTCGGGGAATCGGCCATCCAAGTCGGACGGGATGCGCTCGAACAAGCGCGGATCGCATTATGAGAGAGGGCGAACAGCTCGAAAGGGAATGTATATTGTTGATTGGTCGGATAGGCATTTACCGCCCTGAAAGAAGAGTTTCAGACTCGTCGAATCATTCTACTGCATCAGATGGAAATTGAACTGACACGTAGTGAGTGTGAGTAACAACTCCGTATAGTATGTAAAAGCAAGTCGCAGATGATCGACGCCAAGAGCCTCACCGCCTTCAGCGACTGACGTATGGGAAAAGCGGCAGGACGTCATGCGAGCGCCTTGGGTCAGGCATGACTCCATATCCATTTTCCACCTCCTGCGGTGACTTGGTTCGCGTTCAACCTTAAGCCTTCGGTTCCTTAACATCGCCCCCTTGTCTCCTGTAGGCTTCATTCCCGACGTTGCTGGACTCAGTCAAGGTCTGCACCAAACCTCTTCTGCCCCATGGCTAGTTATCTCGTGCTACGGAATACCTTTGTCACCAACACAAATCAAACTAACTATTCTTTAGCTCTCACGTAACTAGATCTTCCTACCCTCCGACAGAACGCACGGAACCAGCTACCTCTTCGTCAATCTGAATTCCCACCACCTGATCCTCCGTCAAGTCGACCGCTCGCTTGGCCACAATGGATGAACCGGAGCTTCGTCGGAGAAAGCAGGAGCCCTCCCCCGATCAGCCTACGCTTACTGATGGCCACCATACGGAGCCACGCCTGAAACATGGCATTCCAATGCAACTTCTGCGGTCTTTGTTGTTGGCAACGTGGTTTGACTGCTGTTGTGTCGTGATCGTAGTGACCCAGATTGTCGGGTCCCCGCTGTACCTTATCAACAAAGACTATTACTACGGCTACATGGCCTTCACCAAGCAATCGTTCGGCTTGGTGATCACCGCCCTCACCCAATGGGGCTGTCCGACTTTCGTTCGAGTCAGCGGGGACCAGAGCGTGCGCGGTCAAATCCATCTGACCAGAGACGGTCGGTTGAAGACGCAATTCCCGGAGCGTCAGGTAATGATCGCCAACCACCAAGTCTATACCGACTGGGTTTATCTGTGGTGGGTGGCTTATACAAACACGATGCACGGCCGTATCTTTATTATCCTCAAGGAGTCTTTGAAGTACATCCCTATCGTCGGCCAGGGCATGATGTTCTACGGTTTCATCTTCATGGCGCGCAAATGGCTCTCCGACAAGCCGAGGCTACAGCATCGCCTGGAGAAGCTCAAAACCCGCCATACAGGATCCAAATCCGATTCCCCCGAATATGACCCAATGTGGCTCCTGATCTTCCCCGAAGGGACCAATCTGTCGATCAACACCAAACGCCGCAGTGATGCTTACGGCCAGAAGCAAGGACTTTCGCCCTTGAGGCACGTACTTCTTCCGCGATCGACCGGGCTTTTCTTCTGCCTGCAACAGCTCAGAGGGACGGTGGATTGGGTATATGACTGCACTGTTGCCTACGAGGGACCTCCGTAAGTTACGACCTTGCCCATACGCGTTCTAATCTTCCCGGGTAGACTGACGCTAATCACTTTCTCCTTCCGTGTTCAACAGAAAGGGCAGCTATCCTGATAAGTACTTCACTCTACGATCAACCTATCTGCAGGGAAGGCCTCCGACCTCTGTCAACATGCACTGGAGACGGTTTGCCGTGTCCAACATCCCTCTAGATGACCAAAAAGAATTCGATGACTGGCTGAGAGCCCGATGGACCGAGAAAGATCAGTTGATGGACGAATTCTTCGAAACGGGGCGCTTCCCCTCCGAGTTAGCCGGGACGATCGACGCCGGCGCGGTGTCGTCGGCGCAACAGACGGCCGCCTCTGCCGGATACGTGGAGGCGCATGTGCGCCTTGGGCATTGGAGTGAAATTGGGCGGATATTTGGGGTGCTGCTCGGCGTTGCACTCCTGTGCAGACTACAGTTCTGGGGCCTGGGGTACGGCAGTAATTGAGCGATATTGGTGGATATCTGGAGAGGAAACTGCTTACGTTGATCCATTTAATTATACGATAATGATATGGTCATGGACATGCGAGGAAATAACCTAGCATATTTTTATAGTAACGACTATCTTAGAATTTCTTTGAGAATCACGGTGTTCCAAGTACTTGTACAACACAAGTCCCGGGTGTTGTTGGGACAATGGCCGATGCCATTCTGTGCAACCACACAAAACCTGTGCGATCGATGGCCCTACACACATACAGACGGATTACTGTATCATCATCTTTTCATTTTCTCCAAATTCCCCCAATTCCATCGCTATAACCGGATTAGGGCACTGGAAAGGCACCAGCCACCTGTGGCGGTGCAACCTCCCCAGCCTCATCCGCCGAGCTGCAGGCCTCAGGCGCCAAACTTCACCGATGAAAGACGGACAAGACAGACTTTGTATTGTCGCAACTCCAGAGCTTGTCTTTGGCTTCAATCTCGCAACAAGACTGGAGGTTCCTTTTTTCCGTGGGCCTTTGATCCCAATTCCCTCCGTGTTGTGACATGATCATGAGCTGAGATTTACTTCCGTTCCTGTTTTCCCCGACCTCATTCGCATCTTCCTCCGTGCTTCCCTTGCCATCTCTCCCCAACACCGACCTTCTAAAGGGGACCCCTCCCCTCCCCCCGATCTATCATCGCGCATTCGCCGACCATGGCGTCCTTACAGAATGGTTATTCCAATGGCGTAAATGGCGGCGATTCCCTCGCGGCCAACTCGTTGGCTAACCTGCGATTCTCTGACATCCCGTCCGCCATCGACATTCCCGCGTCGACCCTCGACAGTGAGGTGGAAGTGAGCTTGGAAGGGCTCCCGGACGACCCTACGGAATTGTGTACACTTCTGGAGAATGAGAGGGCCGCGAAGAATTTCTGGGTGATTATCGCGCTCGCGTATGCCAAACAGAAACAAATCGACCATGCCATCGACATCCTGAATAAGGGATTGGCCTCGGTCGCCCATGGAGCGACCAAGGAGAAGCTAGGCCTACTGGGCTGGGTATGTTGGCTGTTGATGCTGAAGAGTCGCCAAGCTCCCCGGGTCGTCTCCGAAGGCGAACTGTACACCGAGGCTAAGACGAAAGACTACTATCTTCAACTCGCGACCTCGACACTGAACGAGGCCTCTCGGCTGAACCCGGCTTTCCCACCGCTGTTCCTTGCTCGAGGTGTTTTGTCCCTCTTGCGCTCGTCTCTGCATCCTCCGAGACCCGTCCGCCCTGGCACCGTTGACACCTCGGAAAGAGTGGAATCCCTACGACAAGCTCTCAAATGCTTCGATGAATCGTCCAAGGCCTTCGGTGGCCGGAATGTCATGGCAATCCTGGGTCGCGCGAGAACCCAGTATATGCTAGGCAGATACGCAGACGCATTGGAAGGCTACCAGAAGGTGCTGATGAAAATGCCCGGGCTCACTGACCCGGACCCCCGCATTGGAATTGGAAGCTGCCTGTGGCAGTTGGGCTTTAAAGACCAGGCGAAGGTTGCCTGGGACCGAGCATTGGCACTGGTGAGTTCACCCGCTAGCGGGTCCAGACCCGTCTAGCTTTCGGTTGATACTAATGATGGCTCCGATGATATAGAACCCCGATTCCAAGGTTGCCAACATCCTACTTGCCGTATATTACCTTTACGATAGCTCGCGACACGCTACGACCGACCCGGTCTTCGGCTCTTTGTACAAGGTAGCCATGACCCAATACACGCAGAAGGCGTTCAAGCTGGATAAAGAATACCCAATGACCTGCTCCCTGTTTGGTGGCTATTTCCTTCTGCGCAAGTCTTACTCCACCGTCGACACCCTGGCACGCAAAGCCATTGAACACACGGACGTGATGCAGATCGCTAGTGACGGATGGTACCTGCTGGGTCGCAAAGCCCATTACGAGGGCGATCTTGCTCGTGCTGCGGAGTACTACAACCGCTCCGACCAGGCCCGTGGCGGTGGTGACAAGGGCTATCTACCCGCCAAGTTTGGCGCGGTGCAAATGCAAGTGTCGAACAAGGATCTTGATGGAGCGAAATTCCGCCTGGAGAAGATCATCCAACAGACCAAGAATCCGGAGTGTATGGTGCTGCTTGGAGCGCTCCTTGCCGAGGAGGTCTTCGACGCGCAGAACAGCGGCAGCAAGGAAGACAAGTCGGCGGAAGCTAAGAAAGCCATCGGCCTTTTGGAATCCGTCCGTGCCCTATGGAAAGATGAAAGCAAGAAGCTCACTCCCGACGAGTCGGTGCTGGTGTACCTTTCTCGACTTTATGAACAGACCACGCCCGAGAAGAGCATGCAGTGCCTGTCTCAGCTGGAGGAAATACAGTTGGCGGAGGTCCCCGAAGAACTGCAGCCGGAAGGCCTCGAGGATGAGGAGCAAATCAAGGCCGCGCTTCGGGTGAACCTGCCCCCGCAGCTGCTCAACAATATCGGCTGCTTCTTGTACCAGGCGGAGAAGGTGGAACAGTCGCGGACCATGTTCCAAGCGGCCTTGAACGCCTGCGTCCGGTCGCAAGAGAAGGAAAGCGAGCTTGACATTGACGCGCTCGTCACGACCATCAGTTACAACCTTGGCCGGAGCTACGAGGCTTCAGATATGCCGGAGGAAGCCAAGAAGGTCTACGACGGGCTCCTAGAGCGCCATTCGGACTACACGGAGGCCAACGCCAGACTGACGTACATTGCCTTGCGGCAGAGCCCCACGGACGAGGGACCCAAGAAGATGGCTAAGCTTTACGAGGCCGACTCCACCAACCTGGAAGTCCGAGCGCTGTTCGGGTGGTATCTCAGTAAATCTAAGAAACGGACGTCCAATCTGGCGGAAGACCAGGAGCAACGGCACTACAAGCATACGCTCCAGTACTTCGACAAGCACGATCGATACTCGTTGACCGGGATGGGCAACGTCCATCTCCTCACGGCACGAGACATGCGGCGCGAAACCGAACCGGAGAAGGAAAAGCGCCGCAAGATGTACGAGCGGGCGGTCGAGTTCTTCGATAAGGCTCTTCAGCTCGATCCCCGGAACGCTTACGCAGCCCAAGGCATTGCCATCGCCCTGGTTGACGACAAGAAAGATCACGGCACCGCTGTGCACATCTTCTCGAGGATCCGGGATACCTTACGGGACGCCAGCGTCTACCTGAACTTGGGCCACGTTTACGCGGAACTCCGGCAGTATACGCGCTCGATCGAGCACTACGAGGCGGCGTTGTCCAAGGACCGTGCCCGCGACGCGCAAATTTTGGCGTGCCTGGGTCGCGTGTGGCTGCTGAAGGGTAAGCAGGAGATGAACCTGTCATCGATGAAGTCGGCCCTGGACTACGCGCAGCGCGCCCACTCCGTCGCACCGGCCCAGATCCATCTCGAGTTCAACGTGGCCTTCGTGCAGAACCAGATCGCGTCTCTGACGTATGGATTGCCCGAGACGCAGCGGACGGTACAGGATGTGCAGGACGCTGCAGACGGCCTCCGCCAGGCGGTGGAGACGTTTGGACGCATCGCGCAGGCCAAGAACCCGCCCTACCCGGCGGGCGCCCTCGAGCAGCGCGCAAACATGGGCAAGACCATCATCAAGCAGCTGGAGCGTGCGCTCCAGAGCCAGAAAGAGTACGAGGAGAAGAACGCGGCCAAGCTGCAGCAGGCGCGAGAGGCACGCGAGGCCGAGATCCGGCGACGCGAGGAGGAGGTGCGCAAGGCACAGGAAGTGGAGCGGGAGCGCAAGCAAAAGGTGGCCGAGGAACGACTACGGATGGTTGAAGAAGCGCAGCGGCTAGCGGAGCAGCGAGCGGAGGAGGAGCGCGCCCGTGAGGAGGCGGAGCTGACCACGGAATCGGACACTGGCGCCAAGGTCAAGCGCAAGAAGAAGCCGTCGAAGCGCAAGAAGCAGCGGAACGAGGACGATTTCATCAACGACGGAGGGTCTCCCGGCCGGGACAAGAGCGAGGAGCCCGACAGCGAGGGCGAGACGGCGCCGAAAAAGCGTCGACGCCTAGAACGCCGATCGGGCGGTAAAGTGCAGTCGAACAAATATAAGAGCAGCGAGATGGTCGTGGACTCCGACTCCGACGATGCCGGCGCTGCTGCCCCCGACGATGATCAGGACACTGGCGCTGCGGCAGCGGACGAGGACGAGGACGAGGTTGTCCAGCGACGACGGAACAAATCGAGTCGCCGAGTCGCCGACGACGATGACGATGAGGATGAAGAGGAAGCGGACAGGGGGGAGAAGAAGGACGAAGGAGCGGGAGGAGCTGGGGATGACGATGACGACGGACTATTCAGTGAGGGACCCGGCGATGAAGACACGGCGATGAAGGATGACGATGAGTAAACCTAAACCTCGCATCTGGATTCATACTACTGATCTGATCGCCTTCTATAATTCTGCCTTCTTTTGCGTGTACAATGTATTCCCTTTGCTTTCTTCCTTTCGCATGGCACTTCTATTCTCGAGTTGTATTGACCATAGGTTATTATGTACATGGGCGTTGGGGGAGAAATCGGAGGCCGACAATTACCTAGTCCTTGGGGCCTTTGTTTATGTTTCTTTTTCGTCTTTGATATTATCATTTATTCAAAAACTAAGCAATTGTGAATGAATATGCAACTTGAAAAGCTGAGCAAACGGGCACGGGCAATAATGTCATTATCATCATCTTCTTATAGATGGCCGGACGAGCTAACTACAAGGGAGGAAGGATGAGCATCGATTTAATTTAACGACGGTGCCGAACCAGATCTACTCCTCATCGCGATCCCAATGACGGAGATTGCCAGATGGGATGGGACGAAACTGCGGATTAAAGTGGAAGAGAGAAAAGGACCCTTCATGATCATCGGGACCCAGCCCAGCCCAGTCATGAGCCGAGTTAAAAAAGGAAGTTGAGGCCCGTCATCCGGTCATTCTCACTGACGGTCTGACCCAGTTCCCGGTTCCCAGTCCCGAGTGTATGTGAGAGAGAGACTGAGATTCGAGAGTCTAGACAATTCAGGATCGTCAGGAGGCCGAACTATGGAGACATTGGGGGCGCCGGTGAAACACGCTAAAGGGGGGAAGGAAAAGGGCGAAGGAGCAGGTTGAAGGTTGAGACTTGAGACGATGGTGTAACCAGAGTTGTGAAGAAGGAGAAAAGCGATGACGATCGGGAAAGCGACCCGCGGCTGAGCGCGGCTGAAATTTAGGCGGTCAGAGCAGAGAGATAGTACTCCGTAGGTACAGTAGTAGGCACAGTAGTACTTGATAGTCAATGCGAGAGTCGGTGCTATACCAGGTACCCTTGTTCTTGTCCTAGGTACTACAGCAGTAACTACTTTTGTATGGTATTCTGTAAAGCCCTGTAAGCCGTATCGACACCGGACAGACTAACCCGATTGGGCCCGAGCGGGAGGGGGAGCCCTAAATGTCTCATTCCGGTAATTCGACGCCTTTCTGCCCCAGTCCACGAGGCACCCAGGTCTGGCCTGGCCCTCGGTCTCGGTCTCGTGTTGGCTTCCCCCATCTATCTACTTTCTACATCATCTCTACTCCGTTCTGTCGACCATCTACATCCTCCACCCTCCACCCTCTGCCGCCGACGAAAACTTTCCTGAAGAGCAAAAATTGGATCAACCAACGGATCAGGAACATTATGCTTCCTTCTCGCCCAGGCCCCGAGTGCACCTCATTGGTCCCAATTCTCCTTGGAACGTCGCAGACGGACGGTAAACCGCAGTCCGTACCATGGTTCTCCGTCCGACCCAAAGAGCGTGCGACAGGCCCCTCCGATGCCCACTAAAATCCCAGCCCCTAATCCAACAGGATCCGCTCGCCGACCACAAACTTCAGCCATGCAGGGAAAGCCCGCCCATCGTCTCCGTAATAACATTGTCCTAATGCACGCTCCGAGGGAGTGAACGTTGGACTGGGTCCGCCTTCTCTAAGCGAATGATGATCCGGTGCCTGACACACTGCTTGGGCTTGGGCTTCTTGTTATTATTTTTTATTTGTGCGTGTGTTTTCATTCTACCTCGGTCTCTTCCAGACGACGGACAGCAAGAATAAAGAACATGAATCAGTGAAAACAAAAAGAATGACAGAAGACAGCAATGGGGTACACGTGGAGATCGGCATTTCAGAAATGTCACCCTCGCTGGACGGAGAATCGCCCCGTACCCAAGTCCTACAGTCACAGAGTACAAAGTGACAGAATCCTTTGACATCAATCATCATCATTACTCCGTGGAGAGAGTCCGAGAGAGTTGAAGATTGTTCCTCGAAACTCGGCCCTACACGGATAGGCCGGTGTCGACGCTCGACGCTCGACATTTATCGATCGATCCAATGATGGATCTCGCGGTTCTATTTCCATCCCTCCATCACATTCTATCGTTGCTAGCTGCCTATCTTTAATCTAAGTCGCCCCATCGTCCATCGCCGATTCCTGTCCACCGGAACCCCCCGTATGAGATCGCGTCTGGCCAAGTCGTTTGTCGTCTGTTATGATTATCCATTCCTGCTCCACGGTCAAGTAATAATTCCAGCAGGAATCGGTCTCCGTTCGTCTGCAGTAGTATATACATACTATCTTCTCATTCCTCAAGAGACGCCAGAGGGTCGCTTCCTTCCATTTTTTGTCCCCCTCTGTCAGCCCCTGCCCCCTGCCCCTCTCTTTCTTCCTTTCTGCTTCTATTTTTTCTTATTCCTTTTTTCGCCCTTCTTTTCCCGGTTTGGCATCGTCAACCAGGGGGAGATAGCACTCTCAGCTTCCTAAACTCAGCTCATTTCCCGTTCTCGGATCTAGCGTATCCAAATTAAAGGAGATCGATCAGCAACAGACGGGAAAGTCCGTGTGTCTCTTCACCATTGGCGAGCAGGGGTCAGTCCTCGGTCGACAGACATCCTTCCATTCCTGAGACCTAAGACCTAGGTCCTATCGGTGTAGGTCCTAGTTAGTCCTACGGGGTAGGTGAGCCTCGATCACCGTGATCATTTCATGCAATATGCATAGTAGTACGTGGTCCCTAGGCGTTAGGTAGAACTACTGCTATGTAACTCGTTAGTGACATATCCACCGACGACCAGAGTCCCCATCCATGGGTACGTAGGAGGCTAGTAGTAGTTGGACGTCTGTGCGGACACTAGAGGGCAAAGAAGTCAAGCCCAAATCTCCTGATTTGAACGTCTCCACGACCTGAGCAGGCCGGTGATCGTCCTCGTTCGACCCCGTAATGACGAATGGCTATCATACGGAAGAACAGCGATAGTGAGAAAGGAGGTAGAGATCCGGTGGAGGGCGGGAGACGCAGTACACAGTGTACAGTTGGGATAAACAAACCAAAACCAAGAAGGAGCTGGAGGGGAGGGGGCGAAGTGGCCATGGACGGTGAGTCGTGTTATAAATTGGAATCCCTCCAGAGGATTCCCTACAAAGGGGAGGGAGAGAGGGGGCGGATGCAACGGTACCTTCTCCTCCTTACCGAGGGGAAGGTACGAAGCACGAAAGTACAGGGTACGGGTTACAGGGCAGGGAACCCGCGTCGCCATACAGGTACAGGGTACAAGGGTACAAGGGTTATGGGAAATTACCAGCCCGAGTCTCGTGCCTTTTTTTTTTTTTTTCCTTTTTCCCACTCGGGCCAAATTTATTAATTTAGAAAATAATAAATATACTCCGTCCGTCAATCGATATTATTATTTAGATAAAATAGAAAAATAAAGAAAATACAAATAAAAAGATTATCCAAATATTCCCAGTCTGCTTCTTTTTCTGCTCCTCCTTTCTACGCTTTCTTTGTCTCCTCCCCAGCCTTCGCTCCCCAAACTAAATCCCAGCCTACGACGCCTCCTCCAGTCCTACCGGGAACCCGTTGAGACTATACGGAACTAAAAGTAAACTAACTGTCTGATTCCCTCACTAAACCCATATTTGTTAGTGCCCCCCCCCTCCCCTAAATCCCTCCCTCGGATTCTCTCCCTCTCCCTCTGACTCGGTCTCTCTATTATTATTTCTTCCTTTCCTTTCCCTTTCCCTTCTCCCCCGGATAGTTAGTTCCTTAGTTGGCTGACCACTATCAAATCCAGTTCATTCTTTTATATCCGTTTCATTCAGTCCTTATCTTCGAACTCGCTCTCCTTTGCCTCTGATCTCGTGGTTTCTGGTTCTGCCTCGCACTGGGACTCCAACTCGACCCCAACAACTGCCCAAATTATAGTCCACTGACTTCTGTGACCGGTTTCATCTGCAACTCTAAATCCAAAACACATCGGAAACTCGCCCATTTCTAGACGTGACATGTTCACTTTTTCCTCCTGATTCTTCAGATCGACCATTACTCCCCCCCTGCTCTTCCTGGCCTCTACCATGGTCCTGAAATCGACCAGTCCGCCGCAATTGCATGCTTAAATCGTCCTCTCCCTCATTCCCGACTCGCATTGATTGATCCGCAGCCGTGGTATCAACATGCAGACCTCACACTTGCCCGCCTCGACATCCCGGACTGTGTCCCAGGATCCGGACCGTCCTTCTACGAGAGGGTCCAATGACCCTCCCGAACATTCGGTCCATGTACGATCTCGCTCAACCGCACATGCTCAGAGTCCCAAACGCCTCTCCGTCTTCAGCGGTCGCTCCCGGAGTAACACTACGACCTCCACTACCTCCTCGCGTCGCTCTCCCGCCTCCTCTATGACCTCCGCCGACGCTGCGTCACTGCCATCGCAAGAGGAGCGCACTGCTCCCGTGGCCGGTGTTCGCACTGAGCGACATGAAAGCATGACCAAGTCGCTCTTCAACCGCGGCAGTCGCATTCTACGGCGTCAGGGCAGCAAGTTCAATATCGCCGCTACCGTGGATGAGGAGGAAGAGGTAGAGCGTGAGAAGTCTCGCTTCGGCCGCCACAAGTCCCGCCAAAGCGATGCCCGTAAGTCACCCAGATACCTCGGGGATGGACTCGAACTCACACTCTTGTTGCAGATGACAATCTCAAGAGTCTTATCTCTGACCCGTTTGATTTTCACCATCTCACCCACACGAGTCAATCCCAATTCCAAACCTTGGACAAGGCTCGTGAAACCGATTTGGTTACCGAATTCTCTGCCATTCGGGCCTCACAGAGACCCGTGACGGGTCTGAAGGGCATTCGTGCTGAAGACCTTCATTTCCGTGATTTTTCCTCCGAGGATCTCACCAATTGCGGAACGGCCATAGCAGAGGATCGCCCCGATCCAGTTAGTCCGCCGATTTCGCCAGGCGCGACTTCGCCCTCGTCTGCATCTGCCAGGAGTCCCCGAGACGTCAGGCCTCCGAGGGAGTCGCGCGTATTCGAGAATTTCTCGCGCCCGGTTCCCAGATATCCCCGGGCTGGATCGACCACCCCGCCGCCAAAGACCTCGCCCCGACTGGCGGCCTCTCCGGAAATCTCAGAGCCAGCTCCTCGGGCCATCGATGAAATTTTGGGTCTCACGTCTCCGCCGACATATCCGGAGCATGTATATTCCAACGATGACGACGATGTTCGCCGTGGCTCTCATCTCTCCGATATGAACCTCGAGGCCATGTTGCCAACGGCCAGTGGCTATGCGATTTCCACCGGGCCTAGCAAAGATATGGCAGGAACAGCAAGGACTGCCTCGATGTCCTTTACCAACCTGTCTTCTGACCTGGACGACGTCCCTGAAGAAGAGGAGGCGACGCATTGGCATGACAGTCCCGAGTCCCACGCTGAGAGCGCGATCTCCCCTTTTAGTGTCGTTACGAATGGGACGGGACCAGCATCGGTGGCTCGTCCCAAGTCCGACTTGTCGATCAACGTGGCCGAGGAGCTGTCGAGGAAATTTTCCGAAGCACTTGGATCGCCGACACTGCCTCAATATCGCCTGGACTCAGTTGTGTCCCAGGACGGCCACACAGTGGGAGAAGTTCCCCAGAGACGACCTTCCATCCTACCCGAGCCCACGTACGAGACAATCTATGAATCCTGGGACGCCGACATTGACTACTGCTATGAGCATGCGGCAGAATCAAATTCGAACTTTGACTGGGCTCGCAATTCACTTGATGAACAGCGACGCGGGGGTATCGGCATACCCGTTACCACACCTGGTCCCGACAGCCCGTTTGAAGATGAAGGCCATGGCGTCCTGCCACCAGTACGTTTGTCGTGCACGCTGCCTACCCCTATCGTGGAATCCAGCCCCTCTGGTTCTCTGCCGGGCTCGCGCCACCCCATTCCTTCCGGCCCTGTGGGATATGAGGGCGAGCTGATCGTCCCTCCAAGAGAAGGCGAGTTCTTTCAACCCGTGGGTTCCGCAATCCTGCCGTCTCCCTTTGGCAAACACGTAACCCAAGATACGCTTTACGAGGAATACCTCTCTGCCGACGCGGAGTCGGACCGACATTTCTCCTTCTGCTCGCAAGGAGTGATTCAGCCTATGGAGCATCCCGTTTCCCCGCGAAGCAGTTTCTCTCCCATTAGCAAATGCAATTCACAGGAGAGCTTGATTCTATCCCGTGCGGCATCGGTTGTTCGCAAGCATCGGTCTTCTGTTTCGACAACAAGCGTACCCGAGCTTGTGCACAGTCTGGCCAACAGCAGAGATCTATCCATGGGTGACCAACTGTCCTCAGGGGAGCAATCCATGCCGTCCGCCTCGCCATCCTTCTCCGGCCTGGGACGCCCTGACTCTTCCTCTCACCATCGACAGACGAAGAGCCTGGCGCGAGAGATCGAAAACCAGTTCTTTTACCGGACCGACAATGCAAGCCGGGAGTCTGCAGAGCTGCCGGCTTCTATTAGCCCATCCATTCACGATCGGGCCAAATCCACTTCGGAGGTTGAAGCGGCCCCTCTCGTCGCTCAGGCTGCCGCGAAAGCTGAACTCCCGCCTAAGGGGGCACAGCGGAGAAAGGGCAGGACCACCTCCTACTCCCTCTTCCCGACCAACTAAGCTGTCACATCAGCTTGTTCTTCTCCTTCTTTCTTCGTCTTTCCCTTCCTCTTTCCTCTCTCATTTTCTACTCCCTCCTGTCTTTGGGAGGAGCTTCCTCTTACAAGCTCGTTGAAATCACATTTTCAACGTCGAACCATTCACTTATAGACCCTTTGTACGACCTGATGATTTTGATCTTGCTTATTCAGCCCCATTTTCTTTTGCTTATGTTACTATTCGCGCCTTTCTCAAGGCCTTGCTATGATTTTCTTTGTTATCTGCGGTTTTCAAAACTCTCGTTAGCATCATTGTTGCATTTCTCAGCGGTTGTTTCCACAGGAACAAAAAGTGTTGGGTGTTTTTATTCGGGGCGAGGGATTGGGATCAAGGCAAAAAGGGAGGTTTTCTCTTAGGTACTATATTGCTATTATTGTTCATGGCTGTGGTTTGTTCAGCATGTCGGTCTTTGATACGATGGGATCTGGGTTTCTTTGTGTTTTTGGATTTGTCTGATTAGTTTAGAGATGTTTTATTATGTGACTATACACATCGACCATAGAGAGAAAGAAAATGACCAATTTTGAGAACATGTGGCATCCTCTGTAGTGAGAAGAAACATCATCCTCATCGCGACAGGAATGAAGGGTTGACTGAGCCTTACGTCATCCGACTCTTCCAACCTCACCGCCGTGGGTCATTTTGCCGTCCCTTTTCGACTCGCCGCATTCCCCGACGGTTCTGCTTGCTTCTTTCTTGTACAGTAAGTACATACATCAAATCAAACCAGTCAACCTGTTCCCCCTCGTGGGTCAAAGCATCTTCAGCATGTCGACTCCTTCGCAGGCGCTGACCAAGCGTCAAAGCGAAAATAGTCTCATGCCGCCACCCCCGCCTCCTAAACGTATCAAACGACCAACGTCAGTCTTAGACGAGGATGTTTATACTAGGGCTCTTTCGGATATCATTGCGAGAGACTACTTCCCCGGTTTGGTCGAGGCGCAGGCGAAGCAGGAGTATCTAGAAGCCTTGGATTCGAAGGACAAGGACTGGATTACTGCTTCGAAGCAGAAACTCGCCGATCTGATGCTGACGCCGGGAAGAGCTCGGGGACGCCCTGGCAAGTCCGTGGCCAATACGCCCATCCACCCGGGGCATCCTGGAGATACGCCTATGGGCTGGGGCGGCGATACCCCGATGTCGGTATCCTCGGTCTCGTCGGCGAATACTCCTCAGCTGCCCGCGCAAGACACCGCGCCGGATGTCTCCAACCTCGGCCTTCTCGATTTCCAGGCCAAGTTCACGAGTGAAGACAACGAATCGTTCAACAAACTGCTGGACAAGCAGAATATCAAGCGTCGGGAAAAGTACGGCTGGATCTGGAGCGGGAACAAGATCTCCACTGCGCGACAGATCGCCCATCGCAAACGTGAAACCAAACGCATCGAGGCTCAGGGTGGGATTCCGGATAAGGATAAGCAAGTTGCTATCAAGACGGACTTGGATGCGAGACCGGCCAAGCCGGATACGTGGGATGCGGGTCCGGAGAACTCCCTCATGTTCATGCCGTCGTCCGTGGAAGACTCTTACGAGACCATTCAACAGAAGGCTGAGGCTTCCTCTCGAGCCGGTCCCAAGCGCGTGGTGTATCAAAACACGCGGTTGCCTGATGAGGATGCTCACGCCGCAGCGTCTGAAAGCCGCGCGCCTCCACCTTCCCCCGCTATATCGGCCATCAAAGATGCTATTGCTGGACGTCCACGCCCGACCGAATCCGAGGCAGGGTATGCGGGGGGCGAGACGCCTCGAGTGAATGGGTATGCATTCGTGGACGAAGACGAGCCGACACCTGAGGACACCACCTCGGAGCGCGGCGCCTTGGAAGATCTTCGACTGTTAGGGAGTAGCGACGCGAACCCGAATCCCTTTCAGATCCGAGAGAACCGAAAACGAGAGGATCTTCACCATCGGATGGTCGATCGGGTGGCGCGAACGAAACGATCAGAGAAAGCGATGCGAGAGACCAAAACACCGGTCACTGCAACGCCACGGTTCGCCAGCAGCCCGCGGTTGGACTTTGGATCTCGCACGCCCGGCTCGACCTCTGGCTCGGGGAAAATGCTCACCCCGGCAGCCCAGCAATTGCTTCATCGCATGGGCAGCACGCCTCGACCGACTGGCTCGAATTCGTCGAATTTACGAAATATCTGGACTCCGACACCGAAGAGACGGAAGTGAACGCTATCGTTTCCCCGTCTTCTCATTTTCTTCACTTGATACAACATCTTACTGTGTTTATTGTACATACATACATATTGTTTCCACCCGATTAACGACCTTATGCTATACAGATATCTGGCCGGCGTTTTGATGCTTCTTATATTATACTAACAAATTTTTCCCTTGTTCATTGTGGTCTTCGTATCCCCCGGCGTGTGAAAATCACAGTTCAACGGCCTATATTTTTCATGAACATATTAATCAAGCTGAGAGTCTTTCGATCCATTCATCTGGGGTCTGAACTTTGGAAGCTGTACGCCGAGCCATGACGCAATATAAAGTAATAACGGATGAAGTGTTTGATTATGTTACCACCCGGGCATCTACGCTCTGAAAGTTTGCAGTGTCTCCGTCCCGAAATCGACTGTTATTGAATAAGACACAATTGCACGACATTTAGATATGAGTATATATGCAGATATGTATGTACAAAGAAACTTTGCAGCCAGTAGAGGAGCGGCCGCAGGACCAGCCTGCTCGGATTCTTTCTGTGATTTCTAGTTTCCTAGGACCCAAAAAGGAACCCACACGAGGGCCAAAATCTGCAGATTCATCCAGAGAGATCGATGCAGATCCGGTGCACCACTTCGCCATGCTTCCACCCCCGGGTAGTTACAGGAAGTAATGCTCGCGTTATCAGAGCGCATGCCGTACGAGGCATTCAGCCATTTCCCGTCGGGACAGCTGAACCCGAGCGCCGCCGGGCAGCTCTTGACGAGGTTATAGCATACGTCCTGGCAGGGGAGAACCTCCTTGTATGGCCCGGGTTTGATGTCGCTGTCTATCAACGAGTTCCGGGACTGGTTGGTGAGCGGGCTGCGGCGCAGGGGATCCTGATCGTCGAGCGAGGTGCCGTTGAGAAACTTCTGGCCGGCGTTGCGAGTCCGCAGGAACTTCTCCGAGCTCGAGAAGTCGGAACACCGGGGGATGGTGACGGCGCAGAGCCATTGCTTGTACGCCCTGGCGCAGTCGTCGCATCCGACGGCTAGAGAGAATCGGGTTTCGTCGGGAGCATCGCATTGGATCTGGTCAAGGGAGTAGGAGAAGTTTTTGTACATGGCGGCGGCATAGTCATCGTAGATGGACCCCAGCTCTGCTGCCTTCAATGACGGGTTGGAAGGCACCGCGTACGCAATGTCGGAGCAGAATGACAGATTGAATAGAACGGCGCAATTGTCCTCTGTTGTCTTCGTTAGTCTTGATTGGCACGGTGGGAAGAGAACGGTAGCTTACCTGCTTTCGTCGAGAACCGGAATGGTTTCCATACTTTCCCGCCGCCCCCGGCGTTCCCGTTCTTCGTCGAATTGCCGTCCATCGCCAGAATCCCAATGTAGTCAGAACTTCGATTGAGTCCCGTGACATAAAGCTGCTCCTCGATTTCCTCGCTTCGGTTGGCCATGCTTGTTCGTAGTCCATGCCCACTTTTCCCAATCTGGGCAAATTGATTGAGGGCACAGTACGACCGTTGCAAGCCCGAGATGGCGGTGTTGTTCACGTTGCTGACAAACATGGTGTACGGGGGTGTCATGTTGGTCCAATTGCTGGCATTCTGTAATTTTAGGCTTGACTCTGTCAAGCTCTGTGTGGCAAACAGCGCGGCATTCGCGTCTGAGTCCAAAAAGCGTGCGAACTGATCCTCATCATCAACGTTGTGGTAATAACCATCGGTCGAAGCAGCGATTTCGTAACTATATGACCCGGAGTAGTCGCTGCTTTTGGGAGCGGCAACACCAATATAGACATCCCCTTGAGCCGCTGTGGCAATGCTCATATAGCCCTCCTCGGATTCAATTTTGGTCTGACTGCTGAAGTCTTGGTCGGGTCCTGGTTTCTGCAAAGAATTGGATATAGAGACGTAAGCCTCGAGCTGAGGTAGCGATGGCTCATGGCCGGAATCAGATTTGTCGACGCTCGGTTTTGAGCAGGTAGTCAGAGAGATAAACACGGTGCGTGAGCGTTTCAAATTCTCATGAGCCTGGTCGCCCGAAGTCTCATTCGTCGTCTTGTCGTTCCCGGCATCTTGTGGGAAATACCACCACTGCATTTGGCCGAGTTTGATGGTGTTTTTCTTGGACTTGTTGTCTGATAGTGCAGACGACTCCTCGGGAGCTCGACGGTTGATATCGAGACCCCGCATCTCTCCAGCTTCATCCGTAGCATCTTCAAGGACAAGTCCCTGGTGGGACACTAGGGCGTACGGAAACTGCGCGCCTCCAATGCTCACGTTGCCCTCATTTTCCCCTGGCCAGCTAGCTGGGTTCGCCACATCAGCAAGGCCCAGGTGAAAGAGAGCCAGCGCAAGAGTGCAGTAGAGGGTGGTTGCGCTGACAGTCGCATCAGAGCCGCCCAGCGGGAGGAAATGATTTAGCCGCATAGATATCCAAGGTATGCTATTGAGTCTGCAACCACGACATCTAAATAAACGCAGAGCGTGAGGATCCAATGATAGAGTCTTAACCCCCAAACGATATGGTAGGCACAACAAAGAAGGGCAATATCACGATGCGCCTCTCACGGCGGAGGCTAGCCAAATCGCGAGGGAAAAAGGCCCTGTGAATAGCGGGACAATGACAAAATTCATTCAGCGATGGACGGTTTTCCTTTCTTGTTTGCAAGGAATATTAATGATGTTCTAAGTTTTCATACGTCTGCCGAGGCGGGATTCATTGTTGATGAATGAAGTTGACTGCAAGGTGGACAGGAGAGAAGAAGGATTATGCCTGGCGCCACACTGCACCGCCACGTCCCGCCGTTTTGTTTACGGTACACTCATACATACAGTACAGACATACGATATGGGTCAATATACATTATTATAGGAGATACGGAGATATGTTCAAAGGTGTATATATTATGTATTGATATGCGCAAGTATGTATATAAACTAGATTTCAAGAAAAACCGACGGACAATATGAATACATCGAATCCCGATTGCGGGTGATGGCTAGAAATCTTTATTATCCCTCTCTCCCTCATGTTGATCTGGAAACGTCTGTCTTCGCCCTTGCTCCACGCAAGGTTGATGCTTCATTGCAAATTGACGTGACTATCAACGAATAAACCCCGTGCTAAACGAGTCGGTAAAAGCGGGCAGCCACGCCGCTGATAACCACCACGGCTGCAATCACCCCGAGAATGCCGAAAAACCAGCCGAGGCCGGTGGCATTCTGCCCTGGGACGTTCACGTTCATTCCGAACAGGCCACAGATTAGATTCATGGGGACCAGCATCGTGGCGATAAGCGTGACCTTGCTGAGAACCTTGTTCACGTGGTTTCCAAGCACGAGGTTGGTCACGTTCAGCTGCGCCAAATAGTTGGTATGTGAGCGGCTAAGCATTTTCTCGAAATGCGCCAAGTTCGACATCATGGTCACTACGTGATCCTGAATGTCACCAAGGTAGAGACCGATGTCACCACGCGGCGTCACCGAGTACTGCTCATTGCACCGTTTGGAAAATCCTCGGATGACGTCCGCCTTACCGCCTAACAGGCGCATCAAACTCATGACTTTTTTGCGAAGACCGCCGATTCTCGGCAAGAAAGACTCGAAGTCGTCCATGCGCGCGATGAAGACTAGATCTTCAATGGCCTCGGACTCGACTTCGATCTCGCGGATCACGGGACCAAAACTATCCACAATGTCGTCACTGGAGGGAATTAGAATCGCTGGCAAGGGGTACAAGAAACGGGCAAGGGAAGAACATACATCATGGCGTAGCAGATCCAGTCACTACTGAGAGACACGTAGTCACGAAGTTTGCCGATTCTCTTCCGGACGTTGGACGCATGCGGGTTGTCCGTAAAGGAGAATGATAGCACCCCGTCACGGAAGACGATCATGTAAAAGTTGACGGGCTCCATAAATTCCTCGCTGGTCTTGTCCAGCTGGTAGAAAGTCCGGAAACAGACGAAATAGTACTGTTTGAACAACTCTACCTTCTCACGGGCTTCCTGGGTCAGAATATCCTCGGTGGTCAAAGGATGAATCGAGAAGGCCCGCGAGAGAGCCCCAACTTCGGCTTCGGTCGGATTCAGGACGTCGAGCCACCAGACACCGCCATCGGGGCCCAGCTGAAAGAGATCCCGGAATGTGTCTCCGGGTAGTACGAGATCGCCGAGTTCTGCAGCATGCACGGTGCTCTGAGACTCGGACGAAAAGAATCCGAATCTGGAAGGCTCATTCTCATTTTTGAGGTTCTCGAGCAATTGTTTCTCGTTCATTTCTTCCCCGGACTCAAGCGCGCTCTCCTTTAGGTTGGAGTCCGTCACGTCATCAGAGGAACGTTCGACGCTGGATGAACGCTTCATGTCGTCCACATCGGGCTTCTGGGCCCCGGGGCGAAGATCGTAGAAAACGCGTGGTTGGCGGCTCTGGGAGCTCAAGCTGTGCTTGCGACTGGCGGTCGCTGGCTTCGATTTTTGATTCAATGCCACGAACTCTTCCAGTTCTTCATAATCAATGACGGGAATGCGCCCCGGTTGCTCAAACGACGGAACGCATGTATCATCGGTCGACTCCAATTGAAGATCACCCGGCTGGGGTCTAATGGCATCCGCGTTGCTAAAAGTCGGCCGGCGTGGATGCGTACCGCCAGAGACCGTGCGCTGGAGAATGGCCTCCAGATCTGGCGGGGCATGGCTTTCCAAAGTATTCGCACGCTCCCGCCGACGTGGGTCTGCGAAAGCTTCGACCGAGTTAGGCGGAGACGTTGACCTGGCGGAAACCGACGACTCCCTCGATATGTTTGCCAAATCCTGGTGTGTTCGACTAAAGGTACGAGCATGGCGGACGTTCCCGGCGGGATCGATCGAGAAACGCCGCCCCAGCCCACTAATGTCCTTGACCGATCTGTCGTCGTCCACAACGGCCTGCTCAAAATCGCGGGAGAAGGAGCCCGCTTCTCGAAGCGCATCCTGCACATGGAGCATGTCTTGGCGCTGGGGGGTTTCCGAAGTTAGGCCTTGTTGGGCGGTGTTCTGGCGACTAAGCGGGGCATCTGGCGCCGCATCGAGGCGAGGGTGATCCAATTGGAATCTATGGTCGTCCAGCTCAGGGACCGGAGTGCTGAACCTAGTCAGGCACATGTACTTTTCTGACCTCGGTGATTCGGACATGTTGGCGGCGATCGACGACGGACGAAGAAGAATGCACCAAGGTAACTAGTCCAAAAAACACGAGCAATCTGCACCGACAACAAAGAGTCGCGCCGTGTAGTATCTGATAGATGATCGGAGTCTCCTATTCAGGGAAGACGGTCACGGATAAGCGAAAACCCGGGGATTATTGCTCCTCCATCTATTAGCCAGACCCCTCGCAAGGGCCTGGCATTACCGACGCGCGTCCGTTTGCCAGCTTTAACGTCGCTGGAGAAGTCCTATTAAGGGGGTCTGGTATCGCCCCCGCAGAAGACCCTGAACTTGGGGCCCAGAAGAGGGTGGAGGAAAGAGGACTGGTTGTAGCGAATGCCCGCCAACTTGACTGAATAGAGTGAATAGGAGCGTTGTCGCTCCGAGGTTGCAGAGGGAATGCGCGTTGACAGGGAAAGCTCCTTGACACGATCCTCGCACTCCACCAGTAGCGGTGAGGTTTTTCGATTTCTGATAGATGGCGTTGACGCCCAACTGGTTCGAGAGGAGGGAAGAGAAGGAAGGATGCAGAAACGATATGGAGGCGACAAGGGGGTAGGGGTTCAAGATCAGCTGAAAGATCGAGTATGGAATCCCCCACAAAAAGATTAAAAAAAAAGCTAGATGCCTAACTTGTTTCTCCCCCTTTTCTTTTTCAAGTTATGATGGGCTGATGTGTTGCGAAATAAGTGGGTGAGGATTGAGTCCAAGTCGAGAAAAGATATGACAAAGAGACCAGAGGCAAAGCGGTGGTACGATTTTGTGGGCACGGAGAATAAATAATCGAACAATTCAATTCTCCAGACAGTGTAGTTGATAAATAAGAAAGCAGAAAGAAAAGGGAAAAAAAGAAAAGAAAAAAGATATGCTTGGAGAGAGAAAAATATTAGAGAAAAAAAAAAGGTAGTGGGTAACAACAAAAAGGGGGAGCGGAAAAGAAGTCGTCCACCTAAGAGGTGACTTTTGGGATGAGAAGTCTCGAAAGGCTGCAGGAAGGAGAGGGAGAAAAAAAAAAGGGTGGACTTGTCAATGTTGAAAGAAGCTAAGGCAAGTCGGCAACATTAGCCCGTTAACATAAATGAAACACGACAGAGCGGGAGCTTTTTTTAATTTGGGTTCTTTTTTTAAGTTAAGAGAGAAGGGAAAAAAAAAAAAAAGAGGGGCGGGCAGAGACTTCCACTTTTCCACTCGGAGCAACAGGAAGTTTCCGTATCGCTTGCGTTTAATACGTTCTTTACTCTCATCATGAATTACCTCAGCATCCATTCCGCTGTCTAGACTCTAGACTCTCTGTATCCCGGTGGCTGACCGCCTTACCACAAGGACATCTCATGACGTGCAGCGGCAGCACATGGGAAGGGAGATCGGTGATACGGACAGGTAATATTCAGACTGGCCTTTTGCGGCCCGAGGGTTTTGGTTTAAACCCCCCGACGTCGGCGGGGTCTTTTTTGGCATTTTCCTCTCGGTGTGCCAAGAAAAGCAAAGAGTCATTCATGGCAGAAATCCAACCGTACTCCAAATCTTGTAGGCAAAAAATAAGTAATTGGAAACTCTCCGCCTTTTCTTCGTCTCGCAACCCACCTAAATCGGCCTGGATAATCATTGGTGTCGTTGTGGTCATATCTCTCTTTCTTTATTCCTCACCCCTCCAATTCTATCATGGCTGCATCCTCCTTCCAACTCAACATACCCTGCTCTTCTGCCAATATCGGCCCGGGCTTCGATGTGATCGGCCTGGCGTTGTCCCTTCACTTGGAACTCCATGTCACAATCGACTCGTCCAAACCTTCTTCCCAGCATCCCTTCAATTGTGTCATCACCTATGACGATCAAAGCAACAGCACCGAGAAAATCAGCCTGGACCCCGAAGTGAACTTGATCACGCGTGTAGCCCTATACGTACTTAGATGCCATGAACAGAGATCCTTCCCTGTGGAAACCCGTGTGCACATCGTAAATCCCATTCCCTTGGGCCGCGGTCTTGGATCGTCGGGGACTGCCGTCGTGGCCGGCGTCATGCTGGGGAATGAGGTAGGTCGCTTGGGACTGAGCAAGGACCGCCTATTGGACTACTGCTTAATGATCGGTGAGTGAGCCGCCTGATGGAGTCGGTAAAACCGCCCTGCTTCCACTCCATGCACTCAATCCTTGCGGTGTGTGTGGCCGTTTGACTTACTCTCCTCCATCAGAGCGCCACCCGGACAACGTTGCTGCCTCGCTGTTTGGCGGCTTCGTGGGCACCTATCTAAATGACCTCAGGCCTGAGGACGTAGCCCGCAAAGAGATCCCTCTGAGTGAGGTTCTACCGGCCCCGGCCGGGGGTGTTGACACGGGCAAACAGCCGCCTGAGCCCCCTCTCGGAATTGGCCACTACCGGAAGTTTGACTGGGCCAAGGAAATCAAGGCCATTGCCATCATCCCCGACTTTGTCGTGCCTACCGCCAATGCACGGAATGTCCTCCCCACTACGTACACGCGGGCTGACGTTGTAAGTTCTGCCGGCCTTCCCTGGGACATTTGGAGATTGTGATTTAGACGGGTCAATCCGAGAAGCGCGCTGATTCCCAATCTCTCAGGTCTTCAACCTTCAGCGTGCTGCCCTACTGCCGGCGGCTTTGGGCACGTCTCCGCCTGACCCAGACATGATATATTTAGCCATGCAGGATAAGGTGCATCAGCCGTATCGCCAGACCCTGATCCCGGGTTTGACCGAGATTCTCCAATCAATGAACCCAAGCACCCAACCCGGCCTACTAGGAATCTGCCTATCGGGTGCTGGTCCAACTATCTTGGCTTTGGCCACTGATAACTTCACCGAAATCGCAGACCGCATCATCTCTCGATTTGCTTCCAATAACATCAAATGTCAATGGAAGCTTTTGGAACCCGCTCAGGCGGGTGCCACGGTTCAATATTAAGGATGCTGGACATGTTTTATCAAAAGGGGGAAGGAGCATTCACCGCGGATGCCGACGGATTGCTTGTTGGCAATCATTATGTGCCCATGAACAGGATAACCCTTACAGCCCTCTCAAGAGAATACCTCAACTAGAGAGTCAGGACGGGGGAGCTACCATGTACCTTCAAAATAAAGATGAGAGTAAACAAAATATAGATCGACGATGAATACCTGCAATCCTAGCAATTGGACGATCATACTACTAAGTCCAAGGAAGAGGGGTGTTGTCAACCCCACGACTTGGGAGTATAGTTCTTCTATACTATACAGGACTGGTTCTAGGCCTAAGGCGGTCAGCGCGCTTTCACCACCAACGCGGGAACGCTGGCGCTCGTACCTAGGTGTTGTTCCTCACAACTTCAAGGGGTTCATCCACCTCTAAGCACTCTCCTAAATTCAAATCTACATTATACTCAAGAGTCCCAGTCATGGACGATTTTCTCGCACCTGTTCAGGATGTTTTGGAAGGACAAATCGTAAGTTGATACGGTCACCTTAACCCGGTCATCACTGGCGCTCGGCATCAGATGGTAATGTGGCAACTTGAACTGCGAGTAGGACTTCCACGGCCAACGCATCGCCGAATATTTGTCGACCGCTCTTTTGATCCTCTCCGGGGTGAGTGTGAAGCTACTCTCACCCAGCTTGGGAATGTTTTCAATGAAACGTGTCCCTACCCGATAATCTTATCATCATGGCTAACTAGCTCTTGTCCAGTTTATCGCTTTTCTAGTCGGATACATTAATCAAGACATTCATCTTACACTCTGGGTCGGTTTGGCAGGCACGATTATCACAGGGTTGGCAGTCATCCCTCCATGGCCTATGTTCAATAAAAACCCGGAAAGATGGCTCGTCCCTGTGGCTGGGATCGCGGCCGGTGTCACGGTAGATGGAGTGAAGGTTGCGTGAACTTCAGCTTGTTCTTTGATTCTAATACATTTCGATTTCTTCATCTACACAACCAAATGCCTGCATGTAGTCATGTAGAAAGGAGACTGAAATTAAAATCCCCTTATTAACGCCGACCAATTCCATCCTGCCTTTCAGTCTTCCTTCCTTTCTTGCTAGTCTTCTGCCATGTGGTGAAATCGTTTCGTATGAATAAAGGTCATCAAGGACCCCGAAGGCCTCTCGCGCTCGTAATTTCCTATTTTACCGTCCGTACTTTTGGAACTCCCAGTCCCGGTTATCCAACGGACAGACCTGGCGAGTTTTCAACCAACGAGATATACAGTGGAAATGGAATGCGTGCTAGAGAGGGAGTCAGGAGAGGTTAGGCGTTCGATTCTGATACTCCACGTGGGATAAGTATAGACTCACGTTGCAAATTCCCCAAGCGACGGTGCATTCTTCCGTCGTAGATGAGCCCTGGTTTGCTTGACATTCGATACCTGTATTCGATGAGTCAGGCCCATTCCCCCTCATATGATGATACGGGACCTACATAGATCCATGATGTGGTTACGGCAGATTGCACAGTTGTCGACGACAATATCCCACGCCCAGAGAGCTACCGCATTCCACTGTAGTCATTTGCAGTTGTCTAGTCAGCCCCATGAAGTCAAAAAAGACCAATAAAGATTGTGGGATACTTACCTTTTTGACTTCAAACCTCTTCTTGCCATCAACTGCCCCTTCCGAGGCCTTGGACGATCCCTTCGCCTTAGCCGAAGCACCTGTAGCAGCTTCCTTCATTTCCACGTCCGCCATCTCGAGTGATGGTAATTTTCCGCTTGCGATTTTTGGTTTGCTGAGAAAAGATGACGCTCTGGGTTGGAGATGAGAGGTAACTGTCTGGCGCCGCGGTTAGAATCAGCCCACTACTGACGTAACCTGGAAAATTGGTAGGACGGAAGGATCACAAGAGTCACATACAGCTCTTTAAAGATGAAACAGTTGGAGCGTAATCTGCGAGTAGGGATTAGGGTTTGGGCCGGAAGATGGGGACCTCCGTGGTTCTGACTTTTGTTTGGTGGGCAGCAGGCACGGTGTTGAGCGGAGTCGCGGTGCTCGAGCCAGCGTTCAGAGGTGTGGTGACTGGTGAGGCTGAAGTGGCGCAAGAACAGAGGGACAATGTCACTAACCAACTTGGTTAGCGCCTAACCAGTCCAAGTCATGGCGGTTAGTCATCGACCGCTCCCCGCTCAGTTCCTCTTATCCCCCCCCAACCAGCCTTTCGACTCTCCCAATCCTCGACAGACGTCAGTCAATCAATGAATGCCCTACGATGCCCATCTGCTTTTGTACTTCCGTTTTCCTCCTCCGTTCGCCTATCTAGACTTGAGCATGCCGAGCAGTTTTGACTTACAGCTTTCATTTCGATCCCTATGGTTTTCACAATAGACAACTTATCTTGGTTCAATCAGTGTGCCACTGCCATCATTTAAGAGTCAGCCCACTCGCTGCCCACGGCGTTTTATATACCGGACTTCATCGCTATCTTCTCAGCGTTCGCGTGTTCAGTGCAGACTGCTGGGCAGTACTCGAACAACCTTTTCAGGATTCTCCCTTATTTTTCTTTTTCTAATTTATTTTCTGTCTCTTTGTTCCCATCGGAGTTTCTCTGATCTCTTGCGATACCTTTTTAGCATCTTCTTATTTATACTCTTCAAAGGCTGCCTATTTTTTAAGCCCTCTAGTCGCAATGTCGACACAATCACCAACACCTCCCACTCCAAAGGGTCCTCGAAACAATAACAACAACCGACGCAATCAGAAAAGAAACATGACCCCTTCAATGCAGAAAGTCGCACCGGTGACGACTCCTCCGTCCTCGCCGCCGCGGATCCCGAGCCCTGGAGATGTAACTACAGATTCCTCAAACAATGTGAATATGTCGAAGAAAAAACCTGCCCGGTCTAATAAGAAACCTCGGGATGCGCCGCGAGCATCTCCAGCTCAGAAAAGTGGTCATCGACACACTTCCTCGCACCCGAACAACGCCATGACACCTCAATTGAAGGACAGTCCTCACTATGCCGGTCCCACGTTTCACGCATCCCCAGCACCTTCTGCTCTCCCCATGCCGAGTTTCTTCTCTAAGTCCGTGCCGGATTCAGATATTGCGACGTCACTGGACGCGGACAATGACAACTCTGATGCTGGACCGGACCTGGAATTTACGCCTTCGAAACCCAAAACACGGCCGCAACCTCAGTGCGACGATCAGAAATCAACACCCCTTGATTTTCTCTTCAAAGCTGCCGTCGAAGCCCGTAATTCTCAGTCACAATCCAGTCCTGAGCCTAACTCCAGGACGAGGACCCCCCAAACAGACTCCAAAATTCTTCAACAACGCAAAACCGAGGGGGTCGCCAATGGAATCTTTTCCCTAGAATTGGAAAGCCCCAACGTCCGCACTTCGCAAATTGGGCCGTCCTTTGCTACGCCTTACAAGGATCGCATGAATGCATTGCGGTCTGCTAGCTCTCCCTCTCCGCCTGTGGCAGAACTCGACGAAGACCAGCGGAGAGCTAAGACTGAAGCATTAAAAAGTTTGTTACTTAATCCTCGTCCGCAGCGACCTTCATATGCGTCGCACCCGGCTCATGAACACACCAACGGGTACAAGGAGCGACCGAGTCCTGGCGCCAGCGTTCCTCATCTTGCGACCCCGCTACGGACTAGTTCTGGACCACCAGCCACCAGCCCGTACGAACAAAGACCTCGCGTGGCTGGCAACGCGCCGTATCCACCGGTTTATGAGCATACGTACTCTGGCGGTGCCCAACCAACGCGGGCTTACAACCCGGCACCGAGAAAAGAAAATCTGACCTCGATTGCTGGGAGCACCGGGGACTTTGCGGGGCAGCCATACCGTTCTTCTCACGTTGCCTATGATCCAAAGCACCCATACAACTCGGTGCATTCCTACTCCCCTGTTCACCAACAGTCTCCTTCGTCCCGTTCCATGTCGACGAACACATCAGCTCAGACCCTCGACACCAAGAAGATGGAAGATGATCTGCGACGAGTTCTGAAGTTGGACGTGAGCCCAGGCTTTCCTCCCAATGGGATTCAGAGCTCGTATGCGTGATTCTATTTTCGGGTGACCCTTTCAGCCTCTCCCGTCTTGCCGACGCCTTCGACTTACATGACTTGTGAATCTCGTGAATTAACTTTCGGTATTTTCCCTCTTATGGGTTTGTTCAAATTGTGATTGGCAATAATTATAATCGCATTTGCCAGATCTTTTGTGTTGTTTTTGTTTTCTTCGATCTCCTTTCGTTCCCTTTATCATGCTTAATTTGTTTCATCCTTGAATGTCTCTCGTTGAAATCTCCGGATGTTTATTCAATTCATTGTTCCTTCTCTACGTTTCACGGGTGCATATAATCCATTGATGGGTCGCTTTCAAACCCGGAGGTTTACCGGTACTTCGTTTTCTTTCCGCCCTCTCTCTTGTCGGTCTTCTTTTTGGGGGGGGGGGGCAGTGGGTGGCGGGAGTATTTTCGGTCTGGTCTGGTTTATGGGATTGTGGGAAGCATTCGTTCATGTGTTTGGAGTCGTTACACCTCTCGAGTAGTTTCTTCTTTCCTGTCTTACTTTTTCTTCCCCATTCTCTGTTCCATCATGATGTCTGTTCCCTTCTCTTTCACGTTCTTCCCTTTCTGATGTCTTGGTCGATGACCGTCTTCCTTCTCTTCGCCGTTTTTCTTGATCTTCCTTTCCATTTTGTATTGTCTCCATGTCATGTGAACCAACATGCGTACATGCACATGGAACACATTGTCATCTTGGCACCCCGTCTCATGTCGGACACTCACACTCGTTACAAAGCTAAATACTATTTGTCATGCTCCTATTTTTCGAGGCCTGTTAGTCACCAGACAGCCTTGCACTGCAAACATGATGGTTCGGCGTATATATCTTCATTGAGTAGACTACGGGTATCTCTTGGAACTCGAATGAGGTCACATAATTATCGGGGGATGGGAAGCCGCTGACGATGCAGCTGTTTTCGGGTTGCCGGTCATGTTGATTGCATCTGCCGAAATCCAGGGAAGGCATGATGTCAATGAGGGACAATTATCGACGGAAGCTGCGAGGAGAAGGAAGAGATCTCAGTAGCACACTGAAAGCGCTAGATGCTCCAGCTCCTTGCCGGATGACACCGCCTCCCTACCGCCTGCGGAAGGACGGAAGGACTGCGGGAATGACTGCAAACGAAGTCGAGGTCCAATGCGGCTGTTTATTTGGTCATGTTTGCATCTCACTACCTCAGGAAGGTAATACCTAAGAGACCGGAGTCTTTACCCTCCAAAGATACCTACTGTGTAGGTACATGTAGGACCACTCAGAGTCCCCTACTCAGAGTCGACCTCAGGACTGATACACATCAATACATATAATACGGTACGGTACGGAACGGGCATCCCTTGTGGCTCCTTCCCTTTCCAGGGGTCAAAGTCGACCTGAACAAGCAACAACTCATCGTCTGAATTGATCTTCATTCTCCCTTCTCCATCTCTTTCTTTCCATTCTTACTCTCTGCTCCGTTTTCTAGCACTGAGGTCATCAATCATTCCCATCCCTCCTCCCTTCGCTCGCTCACTCGCTCTTTCGCTCTCTTACCCTCCCCCTTCCTCTCCTCCCTTATCGCCGACCTGTCGTTTTTGTTTTCTTTCTCTTTTTTCATTGCCTCTCTCTTGCCTCTTTTTTTTTTCTTTTTTAAATTTTATTTATTCTTTACGTTTTCTATTCTATTCGATTTTCATAATCGTCATTCGATCACCGTTTAAATACTTATTCACTCTTATTCTCTCCCACCTTCCCTAATCCTGTTACCCACTCTCGTCTACGAACCCCTTCTTTGAAACTTGGATTTAAACTCCCTTCTTCTCCGCCTCGGCCTCCTCCCTCTGTCTGGTCTTCCGTCACGACCACGTACTTCTAGACTATCTGCGAATAATACTGAAAGCATTATCCAATGCCCTGCCTTGTGTGATCTCTACATCAAATTGTGCTGAGGAACCGGAATCTTGTTATCCAACAGTCTTGGCCGAGTCTATTGAGTCTCCATCATGGCGAATGCGTGAGTGATTGAAATGACCCTCCTTCCCCTCGACAAACGCCGCCGCATGAACTGGCTTACTGACCCTCCACAGCATTGGTTCAGCATGGCGTTCCTTCTGGCATACGATGACCTCGTATGACCGACACGCATCCCACGACTCTCCTTATCGGACCGGCAAACATGTGCCTCTGAGTCAAAGCCGCCATGAGCCTCTGACGTCCATTGCAACGAGCGCTATCGAATCGCGACCGGACCTCACTGATTCTTACGAAGACGATCAACACAAAGCATCGACGGGCTCTAATACCAATGGCTGGACTGGTTCTCCGACCGGGATGGGCTCCCCCAACCGCCCTTATTCCCCTGGAATGCGGTCTCTTTCTTCCCAGAAACGGCAGTCGTCTGAACCCGGTGTAGATGGCGCTCCGGAGATTCAGATGCAAAGTTTCCACGACGGAGCTCCGCCTCCGCCCCCGGTTGCTCACTCCTGGAGAAAAATCGACCGATGGCTAGAAAGCAACTACGAGGAGCTTTTCGATAATTTATGCGAGGGATGTACACAAAATGACATCAACGAGCTAGAGCATGAATTGGATTGCAGCCTACCGCTGGAGGTGCGAGAGTCGCTGATGGTCCATGACGGGCAGGAACGTCCTGGCTTGCCCACGGGTCTCATCTTCAGCTGCATGCTCCTGGACTGCGAAGAAATTGTTCAGGAATGGAAAAATTGGCGGACTGTCAACGAGGAATACCTGAGCTCCTCTGGTATGATGGCCTCGCCCCTTCCACCTAAAGCTCCGGCGAGCTCCTCGTCTGCCGCCCCACCCCCCAATGGCTCCAATCCATTGTGGAGGCAGGATCTTCTCGAACGCCAGGATTCTCAGCCCCCCGGGGCAGTGCAAAAGGCGTATGCTCACCCTGCCTGGATCCCTCTCGCTCGTGACTGGGGTGGCAACAACATCGCTATCGATCTCGCACCGGGACCTGCAGGCAAATGGGGCCAGGTCATCATCTTTGGTCGAGATTATGATTGCAAATACGTTGTCGCCCGGTCTTGGGCCGCTTTTCTCGCGATCATGGCCGACGACATCTGCAGTGGTAAGGTCTCTGTTGACGAGGAGACGAACGAACTGAAGCTGCTGGAATTCAAATCTCAAAATGTCGAGCCTCCCTACATGGAAATTCTTCGATGGAGGACGGACCAAAAGTACGGCAGGAGACCCCCTCGTCGCAAGGGTCCTAACGGACTAGGCCTGAGTACCGGCGGCAAATCCGGCAAGGAATCCCCCTACGGGAGCCCAACGCCGGGTGAAGAACGCGGGAGGTCGCCTCACCGCTTCCCCAACCGCGGGTCTACTCAGAGTCCTAAGACACAGTTTGGTATATCCAGCCCTCTTGCCCGGGTCACGGAAGAGGCGCCAAGCCCTATACAGACGAATGGCGAGCCTGAGCTCCCCGAAGGGTCAACGAAACCAGACGTGAAGGAGGCCCAAAGCGAAGATCTAATGGAAGTGGCAACGCCTCAAGTACAGGACAAGGAGAACGACGGGATCCTCGGGAAGGAAGATGAGCAGAAACCGTCGGAAACAGAGAAAGCGCAGAAGCGTGAGTCGAATCCAGGAGCAGCTGGCGCCGCGACCTTGGATGCCGAGGTCTTGGGTGAAATGAAAAATGTAGCCATTTAAGCTTGCCTTTAGGGTTGTCTTCTTTTTGCAGCTTTTTTCATTCACGTCGAATCCACGCCGCCTCCTCCGGGGAAGATTTGGCCTCTGCCGCTCTCGCGAAGGGCTTCAGTGGTTCAAAATCTTCGCCTATTCTTTCCCTCTTCCCAGTTTGAGATGTGTTTGGCGCTTATTTCGAGTTGATGGATTCGGGTGGAGCCTGTTTTTTTGACCTGCTTGTATAAATTTTCTAGTTTATTCCCGATGTATTCTATGGCATTCTCTCGAGCTTCAGGGAAGCCTTTTTGTTCGTTTCATTTGGAATCCATTCTTTCCAAATCGCCTGTAATTTTATCTCGATGATCATGCAGTCTTAGTCCTCGCTTTTGCGATTTGATTGCCCAACCCTTCCCATGCAACTGATTGAAATGTCTCGCTCTCTTCCACCGTCAAGAGCAAATAATGCACCCTAGTTGAGGCGCCGTTCACCCATGAGATTCGATCCGTTTGTTGCCACGGTTGTCCTACAAAGGTTTGTCCGCGGCTCTTCCTTCGTCGGGGGGGAGGTAGTACATGGTGGCTCTAACATTGGCGATGTATTCACGGGGAAACGGTACGTAGTACATGCAGGGGAAGGCATCAGAGTCCAGCCAAATAGTCTTCTAGTGGAGTTGTTCACCTCGTGTTATAATATGAACTAATGCAAATTGATCCGAACAACAGACTCGACCCCAGGCCTACGATCATGACAGCAGGCCATCCCAGGCTCCAACTGCATGGGTCGTTGTTTGTCTTGTTCCTTTCCTGCCCTCGAGCCCTCTCTTCGGACCAAGGCTTCCCGTGGAAGGGAGGAGAAGACGCGAGGTTCCTATATGCCAGACGTACCAGGTGCGGTCCTTCGTCGTCATCGTCGTCATCGTTTTCTTCCTTAGGCTCATACGGAAGCAGACCCCGCTGGTCATATATGTCCATTTCTGCTAAGTATAAGAGCAGATACGATTCAATGGGCTCAATCCCAATCATCGTCGTCGTCGTCGTCGTCGTCGTGACCACTCCGATATCGAGCATTGCCGGTGCGGATAGTTTTCCTGGGGGCGGGTTCGTCCTCATCGCTGTCGTCTTCAGATGTTGGAGAGTCCTCATCCCCAGCCTTCATCTTTGTTTGATTCAGGATGCCTGTGTAAAGCAGTCTCTTCTCGAGGGTCGCCGTGCTGAAGCTGTCCTTGCCATCCCGTCCCCCTGACCCAAGGCCCTCAAAGCCGATCACACGCTCAACCGCAACCCCATCCTTGAAGCCAATCACGCAGGGAAGCACCCGGATCTTGATCTTCTCTACTACAAATGGGGTGTTCCGCACGTCGACCCGAGCGAAAGGTACTTCGTGGTGACGCGTAGCCAGCGCGCGGATGTGCTCGTCCATGGTATTGCAGCGGGCGAAATCCGGATGCGCAAAATGAATCACACAACGATGGGTCTGAGTCGTGAAGTCGAGCAGCGCCTGATCACTTTGCAGCGTAGGGTATAGGCCGTCTTCGCGAAGCGTCGCTGATGGGGCTGCACCCGTCGAGGAGAGAGTAGAAGAATTGTTTTGGGCCGATGCAAACTCGGAATTGAGTTGTTCGATGCGATTGGCACGATAGCCGGAGTCATCCTCGTTTTCTAGGGCCTCGAACAAGGCATCGTCGTCAAGCTCGTCGTCGACGTCTCGTGCAGAAGGCTTAGATTCGGCGGTGCGGTCCATTGGCGATCGTGGGGGTGTGCGGTGCGAGCAGAGGGGTAAAGTCGGGAGAATGCGCCAGGTGCGCAATAGTAGGGAACGTCTATATTATAGGAGAAGACTCGATATAGGTGGATATTAGGATCTGTAGGAGGAATGAGGGGACAGTCGAAGCCGAAGAAGATCGAAAAGAGTTGAGAATACGAGGCATACGGTACGTCCCATACCGTACGGACGGTACCTTACCGCCAGCCGTACAAGTAAGGTACGGGAAGACCGCAAACAGGAACAAACAGCCTGGTCTTTTTTTTATTTTTCGCCAGGCCGCGCCGCTTTCTCTAAGGCTTTCATATTTCGATTGTTATCGTGAATTTTCCCACTCCTCCTCCTTGTTCACTGTTCACCCTCATCCTCCATCCACATTCGTTGAATGTCTCGTTCGTTCCTCCTCGGGGTCTCCACTTATTTAATTTAATTTTTTTTATTCGTTTCCTTTTATACCTCCCTTCCCCTTCCGTCTCCGAGGCCCTCTCCCTCCTCACCTCGTCTGGCCCTTCGACTTCGCATCCCAGCCCGACTCCGATCTTCCTCCTTTTCGCCTACAGGGGATCTCCTGCTTCCGCCAAAATGGTTGAAGACAAAAAGACCGATGATTACACGATTGAGATGGACAAGATAGACCAGGGGAATAAGAATTTCGAGGCGGCCGCGCCGCCTCCCCAGCCGCGAAGCCCTCCGTCCAACCAGCTCTCCAACAGTCCCGCCCTGCCTGTTCTGGCTTATTGCGGATCTTCCATTTTGATGACGGTTATGAACAAATATGTTCTCTCTGGATTAGACTTTAACCTCAACTTTTTCCTACTTCTTGTCCAGGTAAGGCTGGCGCCCCCGTTGGGACGTCGTGGTGCTCGGAGGTCGAAGCTAACGGTCGCTCGCTTTAGTCTCTCGTGTGTATCCTTGCCATTCAAACGTGCAAATCTTGCGGTCTCATCACCTACCGTGATTTCAGCGCCGATGAGGCACGGAAATGTAAGTGTCTCCGCGTTGGTCCTCGCGACAACCGCTGCGAATCGAGCTGACCGGTTGTTCTTCCACAGGGTTCCCGATCTCTTTGCTTCTGATTGGCATGATCTACACGGGCTCCAAGGCTCTCCAGTTCCTGTCGATCCCCGTCTACACCATCTTCAAGAACCTGACTATCATTCTCATTGCGTACGGTGAGGTGCTCTGGTTCGGCGGTTCGGTCACCGGTCTCACCCTGTTCTCTTTCGGATTGATGGTTGTGAGCTCTATCATTGCCGCCTGGGCCGACATTAAACATGCCGTTGAGAACAACACCGATGCGACCGCCCGGGTTTCCACCCTGAATGCCGGCTACATTTGGATGTTGATCAACTGTCTCTGCACCTCGTCCTACGTGCTGGGAATGCGCAAGAGAATCAAGTTGACCAACTTCAAGGACTTTGACAGTACGTATCATGGCCCTTCGAGACAGGGAAGCCAGAGGAAGTTGCCTTTTCTAACGATGTCTCTCTCCAGCTATGTTCTACAACAACCTGCTGTCCATCCCCATCCTGATCGTGTCCACGGCCTTTTTGGAAGACTGGTCGTCTGCCAACATCAACCGCAACTTCCCCGCCATTGACCGGAACTACATTGTGTTCGCCATGATCTTGTCGGGACTGTCGTCGGTGTTCATCTCGTATACCTCCGCCTGGTGTGTTCGTGTGACGTCCTCAACCACCTACTCCATGGTGGGAGCTCTCAACAAACTCCCCATTGCCGTCTCTGGTTTGATCTTCTTCGATGCCCCTGTGACCTTCCCCAGTGTGTCTGCCATTGTTGTCGGCTTCGTGAGTGGCATCGTCTACGCCGTGGCCAAGATCAAGCAGAACGCCAAGCCTAAAACCGGCGTGCTGCCCATGTCCAACCCTCCCGTCAGTGCCAGCAGCCAGAGCATGAGGGACTCCCTTCGATCTTAGGGTATCCCGCGCTTGGGTTGCGTGCATTCGTGGAGGGGAAATGAGGCTAGGCAGGAGACCACCTTGCTACTCCTTCGCCAACAAACGCTCGCACTGGACAGCATGCAATCGGAGTCTCTTGTAGACTCCGTATTAACGACCGGCATGTGCCATACGGCTCACGTTCCATGGCTCATGTCACATCGGCAGTTGAAGTAAATTTTACGGATTTTGATTGAACAGTAATAGCGTTGTTCTGGCCGGTGTTGGTGACTTTTGTGTACTTTACCTTTCGCACTTCGATCCACCGTTTTTATTTTTTTTTCTACCCCCGACACTTGTTTGGCCCCTTACCCTCCCTTCCCAGGCAATGGAGCTTTTAACTCTGCTTGCCTCTCCGTCGTTTACGCAGCTCCTGTGGGTTTTGGGCGGAAGGAATGTCTGAAGGGTGATGCTGCACGCTTGAGGAAGGCTGGGAACTTTTCGTTTCTGGCATCTAAACCTGTATATATTTGTTATCTACATCTTCATATTTTTAATACGGGTATAGAAGGCGTATTTTGGACGCAAGAATTCCCATGGACAAGCACCATTTACATAGTAAACTGGAGGTAAATCCGCGTGTGCTAGCCGTATAGGGGTCAAAAGATAAATGAGATAGAATTATAGAAAGAAAGAAATTGAACCGAAATAACATAGAATTCCAACGTCAATAGATCCTTGCCCCAATCCAACTTTCTCGAGTCCCTGCGTGCGGAAAATATATATGTATTAGTATATTCCTAACTTGGCCGTTCAGCCGTCCCTCAACAGGAGCCTCAACTTTTTTTTTTCCCTCTCCTCTTCTCTTCTCAAGCCCTCTACCTCCCTTCCCAGTTGTATATTCATATTCATATCCACACCGACCGATCAAATGACTGATTAACAAAATCCAACCCAATGCCCAAACCCTCCAAGAAAGCCCGGTCGCAAGGGCCCGTGACCGGTAAAAAGGGCCGCAAAATGCACACCTTTCCCAAGCTCTCGACGGCGCAAAACCAAAACTCCAACTCCGGCAGCGCGCAAAGTCACAGTCAAACCCAATCTAAGAAGCAACCGAACCAGCAGCGTCGGCCAGTCATTCCGTTCGGGAGAAATGATCATGTTTTACTTGTTGGTGAAGGTATGTTAATATGGTCTTTTTTTTTTTTTTATCGGGTGGTTCTTCAAGGGTTGGAGATTTTATGATATATATATATGTTTCTTGAGAGAAAAAAAAAAAAAAAAAAAAAAAAGCAGAAAAAACCATACTGTCGAGTTGTTCTGCCTACTGACAATCTGTAGGAGACTTCTCCTTTGCGCGCTCTTTGGTGACGCAGCATCGCTGCCGGCATGTGTTGGCTACCTGCTATGACTCTAAAGAGATGCTCTGTGAGAAATACCCCAAAACAGAAGGAACGATCAGTGAGATTCTCGGCGCCTTCTCGAAGAAGAAGGCTGGCGGTGAAGCTGTGAGCAATAAGGACCAGACCGACCAAGAAGGTCCTGGTCATGTTGCGGCCGAGGACAGGAAGGCTCCCGGCAACATTCAAAAGAATCGAGGACCGAATGTCCTCTTTTCAGTCGACGCCCGGAAGCTTGGGCTAGCGGCCGGGGGTGGCAAGGACGTCCGCCAGGGCTTCTATCGGCGGGAGCGGAAACGCCCTGCTTGGATAGAGGCTAAGGAGGGACCGTCATCCGCTGCAACGAAAGGCGGACCGTGGGATATCATCTGCTTTAATTTCCCCCATGTCGGTGGCCTGTCAACCGATGTCAACCGACAAGTCCGCGCCAATCAGGAATTGCTGGTGGCGTTTTTCAAAGCCTGCGTCCCGTTACTGTCCTCGCCTCAGACGGTCGACCGAGATGTTGACGAGGACGAGTGGGAATATAGCGACGACGACGAAGAAGATTCGGACTTGAATGAGCAGGATTCTCCCTCGGCGGACGCTCCGGATTCAGCCAAAAGCCAAGTAAGGACGGAGCCTGGGCAAATCTTAGTAACCATGTTCGAGGGCGAGCCATACACCCTCTGGAACATCAGGGACCTAGCACGCCACGCCGGTCTGAAGGTTGTTACAAGTTTCAAATTCCCATGGGGCTCCTATAAAGATTACTCCCATGCTCGGACCATTGGGGACATCGAAGGAAAGCATGGAGGAAGAGGCGGCTGGCGAGGTGAGGATAGAGAAGCTAGGATGTACGTGTTTGAGGTCAAGCAGGAAGAACGTCCCGCGCCTAGGAGGAACCCTAATTCCTCGGGCAGGAACGGTAACGCGGGAACAAAGAGATCGAGAGACGCCTCTGAGAGTGACAGTGATTAGAGCACTGTATAAGCGTAACCGTTGGATTAATTGTACAGTACGTCATGCCCGTGCATCACGCTGACGGCCCACCGTCGTCGTCGGTTACATGATATAAACCTTCTTCATCTCTCTTTCCTCGAAGACTTCCCCAGTGGTGGGGTCTTTGACCTTGCCTGCTTCGACACATCCAACCTTCTTGCTCATTTCCAGTAGTCTCTGCTGGCCATAGATCCTACCATTGGGCAGAACGATTGGATCGCTTTCCACGTAGCTCTTGGCGTGGTGGGCGTATGGCATTTTCCGCGCGAGTTCGTTCAACTCGGTTGAACATATAGGGCACACCGACGTTGTAGTGGACAAAGAGTTGGAGCTTGAAGAGGTGTAGGCAGAGTGGCATGATGGGGTCTTCAGAGCCGAGAGCCCCGCCGATAGGGCGATGTGTAAGAGGGGCCGCGAAGGCAAAGACAGGAGTTCATGATGAGTGCGCACGAACAGGTCGGAGAGATGAGTCCAACGATCGGAAGAATACATCGACTAAAACACACGTTAGATTGGTTTAGACAATTGTCTCTAGGGACCTACCTTGTACGGCTCAGCTTTAGTATCCTTGGGGAAAGCAAGAAGACCCGCAGCCCGGTGGATTTCAGCCGACTGTGTCTCAATATAAGACGACAGATATTTTTGTGCATGCATCATCGCCTCGACAACCTTCTCTTTGTTCCCAGTCCGAAGCATTTCAATGTACTGCTGCATGCGTAACTCAAACTCCAGGTTGTACTACATGCTACAGGTCAGTTCTCGAGCAGGTCCCTGGTTGAAGCAGAACGATGGGATCTGTTACGCACCTGGCTTTTCTTCAAGGCAGCCTTATTTTCGCTACACCACTGCAGAGCGTCCTTGGTCACGCCACGGCGCAGACTCTCGGCAATCCGTTGGCACTGCACAAACACATTTAGATCGACCAGGTCCTCGATGTCCTTTTCTTGAGCTAGTTGCTGAGCACTCTCCGTGTATCCCGAACGCAGCATGTGATCCACAACGAGCCTGTCTAAACGGACTCTTGACCACTGGTCATACTTGACGTCGGCAAGGCTCGGGATCTGGTGGAGACTCTCCAGATGCTGTATGCGTTTCTTCGACTGGTCATGAATTCTCCGCTCCTCCTGGTGTAGATTCTCCATCTTTCGTTTCAGACCTTGCATGCGGGATATCATGGCGTCGAGTGCAGCAAGTGTCTGATCGGGCGTCTGGTTGTTGGACAGCGATGCATTCGCCGTTTCTTTGAGTGCGGGGAGGACATGTTCTCTTTCACGCTCAACGAGTCGCTGTACAGATTTGAAGTTTCGTCGCGCGAGTTCATGTGGTAGCCGAAGGAGAGGTTGGTCCTGTACAGAGACAATTCTCTTAGTAAGAAATCATCGTTGCCCAACAAGCCGACGTGGTAATTACCAGGAGAAGCTGATTCTCCGCATTGAGTTTGGTGGAAGTGAGCTCCGCTGCCATGACGTGATGATCTTGGCTAAGTCGCTGTTTAGAAGGATCGACACCTGTCGACGAGGATGGTAAACAAGATCCCAAATAGCGAGATGGAAGGACGGGTGAATGAGGGGAATATGGAAGGAGGGTGGAGTATGGAGTAGATAAGGTAGAGTAGATGGGAATGAATGAATGATGTGGATGGGCGGAGTGGGGAAGACGGCGCAAGTCACGAGGTAGACCGCCTCCGCCTTTACAGGGCTTTGCAGCTAACGCCGGAAGTGATTCAATCAATCATATATAATGATGTAGTATGACAACAAGCGACTAGTTGTGTAATTCAATTCACCTTTTCAACCCAGGACTCCGAAAAAGATCAAAAACAAACACGATAGAAAGAAAATACGGCAAGTATATTACAGGAACACGCCCCCAAGTGAAGCTCCGACAGCACCGTTTTGACTACACAAGCACGCCGGAAGAAACAACTCTCAATCAGAGCCAGTCAAGGGACTTCCTGAAGATGTTGACTGTTTAGTCACTGTCATCGCTATCGTCCTTGTCCTGCTTGGACTTTCGTCGCTCCTTCTTCTCCTTTTTCTCCTTCTTCTTGCGCTTACGCTCGGCTCGCTCCTCTGGCGTCTCACCGTCGTGGCGCTTGCGTTTCTTCTTGTCATCATCATCCTTGTCTTCGTCAACTTCCATCTTGTTCGGGGATGAGGGCGGTTCGGCAGCTTCAGCGGGTGCGGCAGTCACCTCGGCCTTGGGAGCCTCGGCGGCCGGCTGCGCGGACTCGGCATCAGGTGCACTGTAGTCCTTGTAGTCACTCTTCCACTTGGCAGGGGTAGCCTCGTTGGTACGTCCGTATTTCTATCGAGACCGTTAGCAAAGCTAGTCTAGGATCAGGCACCGAGCAGGATACTCACGTCAAGTTTTCCGGCCGACTTGAGCTTCTTCTTCTCCAAAGCAACGGGACCCAGACCCCATCTGCGGGGGTAGAGATCACGTTCCATGATGCAACGCTTGACCTTGGCCACAACACCGTGGTCACAGGTCGAGAGTTCAACCGTCGACATCTGGGAGATACCGATGGCGATAGCCTCACCCTTCGTGGTCATGAGCACAACCTCCTCGTTGACGTCGATACCAGCCTCTGCAATTGAGTCAGAAATTAGAACATTTTCGGGATACCAGCCCCCCAACAGATCGAAAACCTACCAAAACGCAGAAGACCGGGAATCATGAGCTTAGCACCATAGCACACGGCGTTGACGGCGCTGTCCTTGACAACGATACGCTTGTAGGTCGTGAGAAGGGATTCGAGAGGACGAATGACCTTTCGCAGGTAAGATTCGTCACGCTGGTTGTCGTACAGCCACTGGGCATCCAGAACGTCGTGCAGGGTGACCAGGCCGTTGTTCTCGTCCATAGCTCCACTGCGCACACGGCGGAGCTCTTGCATGTGGGCACCGACACCCAGGAGAAGACCCAGGTGAACGCAGAGAGTTCGGATGTACGTTCCGGCTTCACAGCTGACCCAGAAGACGCCAAGGTGCCTTTCGTTATCGAACTCATAAAGCTTGCTCTCGTGGATGGTTCTGATACGGAGCTGACGCTTGACGGCAGAGATCAAAGGCGGGCGCTGGAAAAGCGCACCGGTCAAGGTCTCAAGGGCCCGTCGGAACTGGGCCTCGCCGCCGGGGATCTTGTCGTGCAAGCGAATCACGCAGACGTACTCCTTTCCGGCACCTTGTTGAGATTTAACCAGACGGGTCGCGCGGTCGATACACACGATTAAACAACCGGTGACCTTGGGATCGAGAGTACCACTGTGGCCGGTCTTTTCCGCCCTTTAAAAAAAGATCCAGAGTTCAGCATTCAATTCTATATTTTTCACGCCTTCCTGGTTATGCATGGAAGTATTTACCTCAGGATCCTCTTCATCCAAGCCACAACTTCGTGGCTGGAAGGGTTGGAGGGCTTGTCCAGGTTGATCACACCGGAGTTGATGTACGATTTCAAGTCACGCTTGAGAGGAGAGCAACCGGCGGGAATTGGGGTGAAATGAGCCGTCCTGACAAGAACTTCGAGAACAATCAGTGAATCGTGTCCTGGAAGAGTGCAACGAGTAATTGCTACAGGGCTATCAAAGTTCCCCCAGACAAGAAGAACTCACGCTGTTCATAATTTTTCAGCAGAAGCGGCCAATCCGCGGTGGAAATGTTGGCCGCGCTGGCCTCTGGCTTAATGGTGTAGTCCATCTCTTCCTTGGCCACGACAACCGCCATCTTGATCTGGTGTCGAATAGGTTGGCTGGAAGTGTACAGAGCAGCCAGGCAGGTGCGCGTGTTGGGGGGGGGAGAGCGCAAGAAAAATTGTATCTGGTTACGCTAAAGTTTTGCTCTGGCGCTAGCGAGGCGGCCGCTGGGAAATTTTCCAGTGCGGAATGCGGCTTAGCGCAGAAATTTCTCCCGGCCCGTACAGTCCCGTGACCACTCCCGTACACAGTACAGTACGGTATTCTACGTAGGTACGGAGTAGGTAGTTACTGTATGCAGTTGCCCGGATGTACATGCAACACTCTCTCAAAGTCTCTTGTCTCAGTCTCGCTTATGTCCTACAATGTGCATGATACTTGGTACATTTTCCTTCCAGTCTCTCTTCAACCATCATCCAGTCCCTTCCACTTCCATTTCCCTCTCCACATTCGACCTCCGCCTGGTCGTATGATCGCATCAACTAGAACACACCAACCTCTATCCCAGTCTTCGACCGGGTCCCCTGCTACTCCACGGGTTTTGGAAAGCGGAACTCCAGCTGGAACCAGAGGAAGGAGTGTTCTGAGCCTGGCTCGCCGGTCGGTATGCTGTCCCGTACGCTCGATACTCGCCTCGGCGCTCGCCGGCAAAGAGCCTTCTCACGAAAGCGGGTGTGGTGATGTAGTTCCGGCCACCACCAAAGGTAGGGTAAATGCGTGTGAGAAAGTCATACAGATGGGCGGCAACGACCCCCATGCTATCGCTCAAGGCTGCAGGCCATCCGCTTCGCACGAGGGTAAACCCAAGTGTTGCCCATGGCAAGAATTCGATGGGGATCTGAATCACAAAGAAATTGGCCTTTCGGCCTCGATTATCCTGGGCGAAGGTGTAGATGAAGGCGAGGATCAAAGCTACTGCCTATCAGTATGATGAAACGAGCAACGTGCCGTGGCAAGCTCACCATGGGTAAAGATTACGCTATTCAATAGAAAACCTGCGGTGAGCTTTTGGGCCTGTTAGCATTGGCACGTCACTGCTACTTTTTCTGAGTTTTTTCTTGGGGCAAAAGTTCAGATCAATAATGGATGAATTGATGATACATAAAATATAAGAATGTAGGGCACCATAACCACCTAGGTGAACTTTTTGATCACCTAGGCTATCTCAATAGGCCATCCCACCATTTCTGCAACGCATATAGCCCTGATTAAGGATCGAGTAGGCGCTATACGAGTTACAGAGGTGATCTTCCTCGCTTCCAGGAACCGCTTCAGCTAGTACAGACTGGGCGGGCAGATATGCGAGGTTTGGGTTTGTTGGAACCCCTGTTGTGCAAACAAGAACGCAAAGAGAGGACGAGAAAAGAAAAAGGGGACGACTGATCTAGTGAGGGACGATCGAGAGACCAATTCCACTCATGACTTACCAAAATGATAGTAGCTACAAAGAACAGGTAAGTGAAGAAATCACCCGGCGAGCTGAACCGCGACGAGCCTGTCTCAAGCGAGCTGCTGTAGGTAAACACTACCAGGAAGTCAGCATGGCTGCTAGCCCGAGCCCAGACAATTCCATACTGAAGTAGAGATCAAATAGGAAGTCAAGCCGCGGCCCTGTCAGTAAGAATGAGGTGAAAGGCCTCCAGACTTCTGGGGGGAGCTTGACAAGCAGCTCTGGCAAGAACAGAACCCGCATAGCACTCAACATGCCACCGTACACCAGAGCAGACTGGATACATGTCAGTGCAGTGAGAGTCCTTCCTTCAGATTAGCTCGGAGCCACTGAAGCTGGTTCACACGCCACTGAATGGGTAGATGGTACCTCGAAACCGGAGGGGCCGACCAGAAGTGATCCATTTTGAACAGCTGATTGGTTTCCTCTCTCCAATTCTTGCCAGATTTGTAGACGAGGTACCAGTTAGAGGTGAGCACAACACACGTTAAACATTAAAACGCGTGCAGGAAATGTTCCCAGTGCTTGAAGTTGTTGACCGAATTGGTGGTGAAGAGGGAGAAAGAAGAGAAGCTCCCGCGTTTTGAAAGAAATTATAAACGTGTGCCTCGGGGGAGCTTTTTTCCCGATCCGTAGCTGCGCACGTGGAGTAATGGTTTTACCGAGACGCCTGGTCAGCTGACCACCACCGGCTGGTCCAGCCCTTCAATCCTCGATTCCCTTGCGGACCGAAGGAATAATAATAATGGCCATCCCTGATGGTTCGTATCTACCTAGGTACTGGCACCTGTTGCGCCTGAGTACATCCGAATTGGCGAAATAATGGGTTTTATTATAACCACCTTGATACACCCCCAAGCGCTAATCTCCGGGTTGACGAGTCAAAGGCTCTTCACCCTGTAAAGGCCCGACTTCTCGCTATACTACATAGCATCAAATCTAACAGATCCTCGAACGGCTAGACCTCCTTCTTTACCTTCAATCCACACATCCCAAGCGGCATTGGGATCGGCTGGTTTGGGTTTCCCGCACACTGATAATGTCTCTTCGGCGTACACTGGAGTGAGGTTTTTGTATTCGATCTCTCTGATCGTTCGATTAAGCTTGGCCAGATGAGGCTGGATGGCCGTTAGTAGTAAAGTCAAGGTCAAGGGACCATGGACGAGAAGCCCTCGGAAGCCCTCCGCGTCTCGCGTGTAGGCTTCGTCCAGGTGGATAGCGTGGGCGTTGAATGTGAGTGCAGAGAAGCGGAATAGCAAGGTCTTGGTGGGCGTGATGTTATAACGAAATGCAGCGTCCGATGGTGCTTTTGAAAGAAAAAGAGGGACAGAGAGAGCAAATTAGTACAAGATATCATGGGAATCAGTTGTTTTATCATGCGCACATTTTACAATTCGTTGTTTTTGAAAATTCACCTGGTCGCGAGCTAGTTCTTCGGGAGACTTCTCGCGCATGAATATCAAGTCTCGGTTTTCGATAATGGATGACTGCCCGAAGTCTTCTTCATCCTCCCTCCAGAGGCGGGCTCGGATACTGTCTTCTTGCTCCGACTCCTGAACCGGACCAATGCGCCGCTCTATTCTGACAATAACCTTCTCCTCCCCTGGTCGTCCTTTGCACACTATGTCGCGAATCGTTTCGATACAGACGGCTCGACTACCGTCGAGGACCAATCCACTACGGGTTGGGAATCTGACTCTCCCACCAGCCCACAGACGCCGGTTAAAGGGTCCGCCTGGGCTATGAAGGGTATCGGTGCCGTCTGCTAATAGCTGCGAGAGCGTGACCTGAGGAGGAAAATAAACCAAGTGATGGCCCGCCGGTAAAGGGAAGGCGGATTTCACCGAGGGAAGAACCGAGTCTTCTCTTCCCAGAGGCCGAGAATGGGGAAGGATGTCCCGTAACGTCAAATCAAGGAGATGCGAGGGTTGAGTATGTAGATAGTCGAAGGTTAGAGGCAATCTCCGCGATGTCAATTCCCGACTCAGCTCACCGGCAAGGGTCGAGTGTGCCCGTAATACGGGTTTGGCTTTGCGCCCAAAGCCCAGGATGCGCAATGCCGGTCTTTTCATTATGACGCATAAAACATCTACATAAGAATCAGACGGAGCCCGGCAAGGAACTGGGAAGAGGAGGAAGGCGGAGGAGAAGCAGGAGGGGAAGGAGGAAGCGCAATCAACAAGAGTCAGAATCACAATAATTGGCGCCGGATAAATCCATAAGTCGCAGTTTGATTTGTTTGTCTGGAGATCTACAGCCACCCACCCTTTCCAGCTGAAGATGTGAGAAATTTCCACCGAGCCCCTGATCACCCTTCGAGTTGCAGAATTGGCGGTTGTCCTGATCTTTTGCAGATACCTTTGGTCTCATGGCGCTCGTTACAGTCACCTTCCTGGGGCCTGCGGCTTCGTTTTCCCACCAGGTTAGGAGCGCCCGCCCTCCCCCTCAATCCATAACGTCATTAATTGGAGTTCTAGGCCGCTGTTGAATCCTTTGGGACCTCGGTAGAATTACAAGCTCGCCCATCGTTCGCAGACGCTTTCGCTGCCGTGCAACAGCAGGAGGTGGACTATGCGATCGTTCCCTCCGAGAACTCCTCCAATGGGTCGGTCGTTCAAACGCTCGACCTTCTGGCCGACCCCGCCGGTTCATACCCAGATGTGCGAGTGTGTGGGGAGCATTATCTGAGCGTGCACCACTGTCTCCTGGGCCGCAATGGACAAGTCGACCTCAACTCAATAAATAAACTATACACACACCCGCAAGCGTGGGGTCAATGCGATAAATTTCTTGCGAAACATTTCAAGGGCGTTGAGCGACAAGACGTCTCGTCGACCTCCAAGGCGGGCGAGATCGTCGCCGGCGAAACAACAGAACGGAGTGCCGCAATAGCTAGTCGGTTTGCTGCTAAGCATCACGGACTGGACATCATAGAAGAGAATATCGAAGATAACGCCAATAATACAACGCGATTTCTGGTTCTGGGGAATATGAATTCGGAACGCACGACCCGACTGCCCTTTGAGAAGGTCAAGATCACCCCCTCGCCTTCCACCACTACCAGGAAAACATTGATCTCGTTCATGGTCTATCAGAACGCCCCCGGGGCGCTGGCAGACGCCTTGCTGATATTCAAGAAGCATGGCATGAATCTCACGAGTATCAACACCCGCCCAAGTCAAAGGATAGCCTGGCAATACATCTTTCTGGTTGAATGCCAGATGGCTCCGGCATACGATGACAAGGAGGCAGTCACCAAGGTTTTGGCGGGATTGAAGGATGTTACTGAAAATAGTAGGGATCTGGGGACGTGGAACAGTATGGGCTCATCGAGCGACCAATAAGATTATAAAAAGCATCTACTACTTGACTACTAAAGACCATGAGGACACCCTATGGGGCGATGAATGCGACGCATTGTTGTCATCCTTACAAAAAGCATGCCTATGGAGAACGAAAAAAAAAGGTAGCATAAAAGCAAGGCCGACCCAGCAGAGTGTGCCGAGATGAAACAATCTTCCACCTGTTAGCTTAAGTCATCAAAGTCCGACAATCCGAAGGAATCGTTGCAGAGGTTGTTTGACGCTTCACCGCCCCTTGAAAGTTCAAAGCAAATCTCGAGTTATCTGAAGTATGCATCTAGGCAACCTCAGTCACAATGTTACGGAGCTTGGATGGCCCTGTGGAACGGTTGGTTGTCAGTGACGTAGAGTAAGCAAAAGCATTGAATGGTTAACACACCTAGGAGCAGTTTCTGAGAGCTCTTTCCAGGCGACGTCAAGGTATCATCAACCAGGGGAACCATGGCCTGGCCATGGATTCCACCGTCACCTTGTATAGGGCGAGCCGTCAAAAGATCCGCTTGGGGAACTTCTGGCCGTTCATCCTCGCTCCCTGCGAGGTCGCTGAACCGTCAATCTGCAGAGTATCCATTAGTTGTTGGCTCATCTCAGACAAAGACACGGGGGAAAAGGCTTTCACGCACCGTCGTAAAACTCGTCCTCGTCAGAATAGTCGGCAAGCTGTTCGAAATTGACCTTGTATCGGAGAATGGCACCGATACCACCGAAGCCCTTGACGAATTGGTTACCCTCACTGGATTTGTCCGAAACGAATTCCAGGGTGGCACCGAAATCCTTGTAGTTTTCGGCAAGCCACTCCAGGAAAGAGGTCTGATCAACGACCTCCATTTCAGTGCCGGTTTCCTTGTCGGTAAACAACTCCCGGTTCTCTTCTTGGGCCTTAGATGAATGAACGATGACCTCAGAGCCCTCGGAGTTCTTGAGAACCCATCTGGTAACGTCCAGATTCTCATAGACAATGAGGGTCTCTGCAGCACCGAGCTCAAGGGCCTTGAGCGTATCGTCAATACCGTAGCAGACCTTTCCGGTGTCTTGACTGATCTCCTCGAAGTATTTGCCAATCAATTTCTTCTCCTGAACGAACTTAACGTTGCTCAATGTCTCGGATGCAAGTTCAATAGCCTGGTTGAAGCCGTTTTCTCCTCCGTAAGAGACATCGACCACCTTAATGACCTTGGATTGCAAGCGCTGATCGAACATATCCGACTGGTTCAAATCGTTCTTGAAGTCGGCAGAACCGGCCAAAATCAAGCCGGCAACGTTGATCTTATCGTTGGTGATGTAGTTCTGAACAGCCAACTCAGCGATTTTGCGGACATAATTGTGACGTTTCTCTTCACGGAGACGGGCAAAACGGAGAGCGGACTGTCCACCACGACCGTGCTTCTTCGGCAGGTCGACGCTCAGCTTCTGGAGCACTTCTCTAGTATTTCCACTAAGCGTGCCGAAGAGAGCACCGTTTCCGTCCATGATAATGAAGCCGAATTTCTGATCCGACTCAAGCAGCTCGCTCAGTGCTTCCGTGTGGAACTTGTTGTCACAGAGGTAAAGCGACGTGTTGATCGGTTTGAAGGGCTCGAAATCAATGTTAATTTTGCGCTCTTTACCCTCAGATGTGATGATTTCACCACAGTAGACGACCAGGCCGTTGGGCGGGACCTTGTTGTATAGCTTGAGACGCTGTTGCGTGGAGGTGATGGCGGACAGGACTGAAAGTCGGTTGACACGGGACTTGATGTTGGAAGCAGTGCCCTATTATTTCCATAAGCATACAATCGCGACAAGGCACCCTCGGCCAAGCATCTCGCCGAAAAGGAAAAAGACCTACAAACTCTTCTGCCAGCATTTTGGCTGCCCTGGATACCTGATCCTTGGGGGCTACGGGGCCGAGAGATTAGCCGCTATACGCAATGATATGACGAGCATTATGGGACGGGGAAGACACACGAATGATCAAAGAGATCATGGAGGTTCCATTTCCGCGAGCCGCCTCGAGGCGCTTAATGAGCTTGTTAACCTTCCATATCTCAATGTTCTTTTCCGCTTCGTTCGCCTGGGCCGCGCTCATCTTGGGCGAGGTGACGATGTCAAAACGACCAGGAGAGGGGTGGAAAGGAATAAAGAAGTCCGCCGGTGCTGGAAAGGGTCTTGTTAGCGATGGAAGCAGCAGGAAGGATACAGGAAAGTCTCTGTAAAAGGGAGGATACTCAACATGTGGCTGAGTGTATTCCACTTACCTTGAGGCTGGTCGATTTGCCGTCCAAGTAGTGCAGCGCGGGGGGGGATTGTTCAGTAAATTTCATCAGGCACCGTGGGGTGTGACCCGAAGTCGCCTGTTGAGGATGACATAAGCGCCTTGGTTTTGCCTGGGTGGTTTGTACCTTGGTGACGTATGTATATGTATGTATATGTACTGTATGTATGTGTACCTTACTGTACCTGCACTGTATGTATGTGTACCTTACTGTACCTGCACTGTATGTACCTTACGGTCCAGGTCGGGTGTGTTGATCACACATTCATACTGCATACATACAGGCACGCAGGCAGTACATCATGTAATGTACTGTACATCTCCGCCTTGCGAGGTGCTGCTTAACCATGGCAAAGAAATTAGGACGCTTTGTAGACTGAGACCTCATGCAACAGTGCAACTCATCTGCCGATGTGATCGCCGACATGGGCGGAGCACAAGCAATCTTCTGTCAATCTGTTTATCAGTCTATCTGATCTCCTCCGTACCTGCCGTCGCTATCAAGTGTCCACCTTCCTCTAATTAGTACTAGATAGCTATATTGATCAATTCTTGACCTTATCTTGAACTAACCCCACTTCGTTAGCAAGAGCACTAGCCATCCATTCATCCTTAATCCTTGATTCTCAATCCTGAATTCCTGAGGCGATCTGCATCCTTTGCCATTTGCAATTCTTTTCCGTCATCATCGCCACCTAATTTACGACCTTGCTGCCCTTATCGCGCCTAGAGGAATACTCGTTATTGGAAAGAGTGATGCTAATGAAGCTATAAATGAATGCGATATCCCCTTGAAGTACTGCCTGGGTTTTGCCACTCGTCTCGTTGTTCTGTTTACTAGCTTGGCCAGCGCACCTCCCAACACCAGAAAATGTCATTGCCTCCGACGTTAGTCGATGGGGATGCTGAAGAGCCGGACCAGTATGAAGCTATGACCCAAGGCGTGCGGATCCCAACCTCTCGTTCACATTTGGAATCAACTTTTGATTCCTACGGCAGCTCGTCGGGCTTTGCCGGCTATAACACTGACGGTGGTGATTTCCAGAGACCAAGGTAACCCATACATGCGTCTACTGATTGAAATATAGCATATACTCACAAACCTTGCTAGGTCAGAATCGTTCTCTATGCGTTTCAGACAAGCTGGCGGCGTTAACAGCATCGATAACTTTGTCCGGTCATGGCAGCGAGCCGCAGGTTTCCCGGAAGTACTTCCCCGTCGCTCCTCGTTTCTTACAGCCGATTCGGATGAACAATGGTTCGCTGCAGCAAATGATGAGACCGGCGCACAAGGCTCTCGTCTGTTTCGTCCAGAGATTGATGCTACACGACCCCTCCTGACTGCCGAAAGAGAGACCAACCTAGATGACGAGAACCAGCCAAGAAAAAGTGTCCTCGGAACATCATTCGACAGAAGTTTTGGGACCTCATACGGCACGATATCCTCTCGCATCAGTGAAGCAACACGAAGAAATGTGACTCAACTTCACCGGGAGCAGCAAGCACATGTAGACGTACCTTTGGACGGCAGCATAGAGCCTCTATCTGTCAAAAGTATTCAGCATGAGGACGGTACTAGATCGAACGTTGTTGTTGGTCAATCGACCGTACCTCAGACAATTTTCAATTCTGTCAACGTCCTGATTGGCGTCGGCCTTCTAAGCCTGCCGCTTGCAATGAAACAGGCTGGATGGCTTTTTGGTCTATTGTTTCTTTTGTTTGCGGCCGTGACCACCTCATACACTGCGAAAATTCTTGCCAAATGCCTCGATATTGACCGCAGCCTAGTCACGTATGCTGACCTGGCTTATATCAGTTTTGGGCACTATGCACGCCTAATAACAAGTCTTCTGTTTTGCTTGGAGCTTATAGGGGCCTGTGTTGCCCTGGTTGTGCTTTTCGCAGACAGCCTTCATGCACTCATTCCCGCGATAAGCATCCTTCAGTGGAAGCTTATATGCGGGCTACTACTTGTTCCACTGAATTTCGTACCGCTGCGGCTTCTAAGTGTGACTAGTATTCTAGGAATACTTTCTTGCACCTCAAGTATGTCATTTTTCTTTCATTCCTCCGAAGTTGATTGATACTAATAGAGTCCGCTCCCTCCCAGTCGTAATTATAATATGTATCGATGGATTCATCACGCCCCATACTCCGGGATCACTTCGTGAACCAGCTGAGACTTCGTTGTTTCCAAAAAATTGGGGGACTCTACCCCTTAGTTTTGGACTGATTATGTGTACGTTTGCAGAAAAGCCCTCCGACACTTATAACTGATCTCTTCCAGCGCCCTGGGGAGGCCATGGAGTATTCCCAAACATATACAGGGATATGAGACACCCGCAGAAGTATGGGAAAAGCCTTTGGATCACGTACCTTTTCACGGTAAGTTTTAATCATCTAAGCGGGAAGAAAGAAACCAAGAAAGAAGAGAGAGAAAATGGAACTAATTTCATATATGTCTTAGTATTTCCTCGATTGTGCCATGGCCATTATCGGCTGGGCCATGTTTGGTGATGCAGTTCGAGACGAAATCACAGCCAATGTGTTGCTTTCCACAGACTATCCACAAGTATTGTCGATTTGCATCATCATTTCTGTCGCAGTAATACCAATAACCAAGGTTCCTTTGAAGTAAGCCTTATCTAGGAAATCCCGGTTTAACGTCACTAACATAACATTAGTTGCCGCCCCCTGGTGGCCACTGTGGAAGTACTCTGTGGTTTGGAGCCACATTCTCCCGCAATCTCAAACCACCCCGAGGGAGTTCGAGCCATGGTTCTGCAGTCATTAAAGGCCATAATACGTGTGGTTGTGCTGGCTGTTGTCGTTTTGATGGCTATTCTCTTCCCATCTTTCGATAGAATCATGGCATTGATGGGCTCCGCTTTGTGCTTTACGATATGCGTGATCTTGCCGCTCGCTTTCTATTTGAAGATCTTTGGGCGTGATATCAGTCTAAGGGAGCGGATTTTAGACTGGTGTCTCTTGATTTTCTCGTCAATGTTAGCGGTTATAGGAACGGCTTGGGCATTCCTACCGCAGAAGATGATCTCCACGTGATAGGGGTTCCCGTGGAATTTGTCATTTGACGATAATGGCAAAGTTGTTCCTTGTTTTGCCCGGATTCAAGATTTCCTTTTTCCAAGAACGAGATTGGCATTCATGGTTGTATTCCCAAAGCTGATAAATTAGCTTCGAAGTTTCCTTGTTCTCGGACAAAGAAAATCCAATGCTAGTCATTATATCGTGGAGTCTGCCATGAGTAAGATAGCGCGAGTTGTTGACGCATGGAGCTGGTAGAACTAGGAACAGCCGGGGCGTGACAGACGGAGTAGAGTCAGATGGCGGCGACGATGTCAGGAAAGCCACGCATCGCTTCAACATTTCACCTCTGCCAATGGCATCTGGCACGTAGTTGAGTACCAACGAAAGACTGATGATGTGAAATCGATCAGCGTCATCACGAGGCAGTGGTCGCTCCATAAAGTCCTGTTTCAATATCCCCGGCCCTTGAGAGTTCAGATCAATCCTGGTAACCTCCAGAGATTGATTCGTAGAGCACGCATTCTTGGTGCTGAGTGCCCCGACTTCGAGCACGCGAAGCTTTGTCTGTGTATCTTTCCCATGAGGCAAATGCGGGCCCAGCCAGTTCACCAGGACCTTACTTGAATCGCCACCACGTTCTCGGGACTGCCCCAGTTTGCTGGCGAGCTGATAACTCTCCAGCCCGCCGTTCTCGCGAATCTCCCGATCTAGTTGATTGACCAGAAGCTCATCCCCAGCCTGCTGCGCTTGAGCCTTTCGCTTGAGCAGTCGATGATGGGACCGGATCAGGTTCCGAGTTGCCTTGGAGGACAGCGCTGCACGCTCCCCTCTGATCGCGGATGGGCGGGTGCGAGATAACAACAGAGGTTTTCTGGCGCGATGCTTCTTGGAGACCATGATTGTGAAGAGTGAATGATGGGTCAGGTGGGGATGAATGAAAAGGAAATAAAGAATGAGAGTGGCTCGGTGAAGAGGAGAGGGTATAGCAGATGAAATGGACTACTGTCTAGGTAGATCACTAATTACTGTTAGAATTGCCCGAGTCTTTTACGGAGTCAATCTTTCATACCTTCAGTAGACCGGAAGTCCAGTAGAGCGCGGAAGGACGCCGTGCCGGATCTTAGTAATCTGCATGACAGAAAGAGAAAAGAAAAACGAGAAGAAAAGGGAGAGAGCCCTAGTCCCGATTGGGAGCGCCAAGAGATCCAGGTTGCGCAGGCCGGAGAAGCAGGTCAGGTGACCCACACAGAGGCAACCCAACCCGTAGGGTTTTCGCTAAGCGAACTCACTGCAAAACACTTGACTCTCGACACTGCGACAATTATCACGACAGCGCCGGACGACAGCCATGGCCCCTAAGGTGGAAAACAAGCAAGGTAGGCACACAATGAGCGCATTCGTTTTGTTTTGTTGCCCGTCAATTTTGCACAACCATCGAAAATCGAGTCGCAAGTGTGTGAAGGCAGCGAGAAGGGCTTTTTTTTCCCTATCACCCGCATCCTCACACATGACCGAGTCGCACACATTACAGCAAGAACCAGCATCTTTCGAGCCAGATGTGTCATGAGTTTTTCCCCAGCAGAAAAAAGACAAGAAGAAACAGAATGAATTGAAAAGGGACAGGTGCAGAAATTGTGGAGGCGGCATATGAAGAGCAGGGAAATAATTCGAATTGCTTTTTGCTCGGAAAACATCACTTGAGTTGCTTTCAGTTTGCGGATGCGCTGACCTTATCTCTTCCTTATAGGCAAGACCAACCCCAGCAACCGGGCTGGTGCTGCCGCCAAGGCAGTCCTGAAGGGTGCAGGCGTACGTTGACACCGAAATCGACATTTCTACTTGCCATGTTCCATACTAATTCGGAGCTCGACAACAGGCGCACAAGGCCCGCAAGGTCCGCACCTCGACGACTTTCCACCGCCCCAAGACCCTTGAGCTCTCCCGGTCGCCCAAGTACCCCCGCAAGTCGATCCCTCATGGACCCCGCCTCGACTCCCACAAGGTCATCCTGTACCCCCTCAACACCGAGAGCGCCATGAAGAAGATCGAGGAGAACAACACCCTCGTCTTCATCGTCGACGTTAAGGCCAACAAGAGGCAGATCAAGATCGCCCTTAAGAAGCTGTACGATGTCGAGACCGTCAAGGTCAACACTCTTGTCAGGTATGGCTGTTCCAGGAGATTAAACATGTGTTTTCCGAGAAAGTCCCAGTCTTCTAACTTACCCGTAGGCCCGATGGTTCGAAGAAGGCTTTCGCCCGGCTAACCCCTGATGTGGATGCCCTGGACATTGCTGCCACCAAGCTTGCTATTGTCTAGATGATTTGGTTTCTTATGGGTCTGGGTGAACGGTTCTGTTTTTACGCGGTGGTTCATAAACATCGATCATGCAGTTAACTGCCAACGCTACAATGATGGGCTAAATGATCGTAAAAAAGATTTACTTGAATGCACGATTCTACCGGTAATGAGATGTCCATTAGGTCTCAATAGTGTTGTAGTGTTTGCCATCGGAGCCATTTGATCTTGGGTCGGTTCTCATGAGCATGTATGTCATTTTGCAGCACGGGTGACTGCTGGCTCGAGCAACTGAGCAGACCCGTATGGTCCATGGACTACTTGGTGCAGGCGTAAGTCGGTGACTTGATAGAAATATAATGTTACATTCTCTATTATCACCATCGGGAAAAAGATAATATCCCAGATTGAAAGTACATAACGTACTGCGTATTGTTCCCTCTTTTGAATCCACCCTGTTCAAGTCCAGGAAAGAGGTAAACCCAACGCAAAGTACCCATCAAACAATAGTTCGCTGTCCAGCACGAAGAAGCTTATTGTCCACGCAAAGTCTCGAGGTGTTTCAACACAGCCAAGTTGGTGTCCATCCATCGCTCCACGCAGTTGTGAGCGCACGATTCCTCAGATTGGTCTAGGCGGCCGGAGGAGATCTTTCCAGTAATGCACTTCTTCCAGCAGATGTCGGCGAGGTGGTGAACGGCTGGCATATGGTCAGTCATCAATCAACAATGTCGAGGATGCAAAGAAGGACGGTGATTCACTTTGTTGGATGTTGGACTTCTGAGCTTCGTTCGTCAAGAACTGGTTCAATTCCTTCTTGTCGCCATCGCTGAGCTTGGAGACGTCGAGCTGGGCTTGATCCATTGTTGATTTCGGGGGGGTTGTTCAACCGGATTAAAAGCAGAAAGTGATAATGGATGGCGTGTTTTTCGGGTTGGAGGAAATCGATTTAACAGCAGGCGTTTTCTAGCGGTTCTTCTGCTGCTCCATTTGGAAGGTCAAGGCTTGTCCGAGCTGTAGGCGGTAAGGGGAGGCAGAAAAAGAGCAGCAGGTCCTCGCCACCAGGGCATTCTTGCTGGGTTTCTGTCCATCTCCCCCCGCCAACACGCCGCAGACCTCGAGACTCGGGGATTCCTGTCAGTTACCTGAAGGCAGCTTCTGTCTAAATCGCAACAATGCCGCCGATACGTACATCCCGCAACCGCAAGCCGCCACCGGCCGGCTTCGATGACATCGAGGACACACTGCTCGAGTTTAGCAATAAGATGAAGGACGCCGAGAACGCGTCGCATGACGGCAAGAAGAAGCACGAGATGCTATGGCCCATTTTCCAAATAAGCCATCAGCGTAAGCAAACAATTCCGCCCCCTTTGTTGGTTTGTCAAGTATCGTGGCTAATTGCCGTCCCGGCAGGCTCGAGGTACATCTACGACCTGTATTATGAAAAAGAGGCGATTTCGAAGCAGCTGTATGACTGGCTCCTCAAGAACAACTATGCAGACGCCAATTTAATCGCCAAATGGAAGAAACAAGGATATGAGAAGGTGTGTGCCTCCATCCCATAGATGGCTCTGGTCCAGCTTTCTTTACGTTGCAACATCCAACTTCTGGTCTTTGCTAACCATCTCTATGTAGCTTTGCTGTCTGCGCTGTATCCAGACGAAGGAAACCAACTTTAACTCCACGTGCATCTGCCGCGTCCCGAAAGCTCAACTCAAGGAGGATCAAATGATTCAATGTGTCAGTTGCGGATGCCGAGGCTGCGGCAGTAGTGATTAATTCCCATCTGCCACATCTTTCCCAGCAGTCTTTGGGAGTCCAAGAGAAGGGACGAGTAGGCGGGGCTGCAAGACTTAATACCCTTGCTTATAGCACGAATTGGGAAAGCATGAAGCGGTGCCGAAGGTGTCTGTGTGAGACGGATGATCGTCATTTCCTTGTCCACCACCTTTTCTTTCTTTTCCTCTTCCCTCCTTGTCCTTTCCCCCTTTTGTACCCTTCTGTTTTGATTCTTCTCTCTTCTCTTCAAGTCTCGGTTCTTTATGAGCAATGTGATACCCTTAACAAAAGAAATGTATTAGGTTTTCTACGATAATATACTCCCATGCCAAAGTTCATGTCGTAACACTAGTAACAGCTGAGGAACTCTAGGTTCTGTATTAACATAAAGCCTATTAAACAAAACATAATCGAAATCAAGGTGTCATAAGCATGAGGAGCTCCCAAGTACAGGGTGAGAATCGGCAAAGACAACAGAGAACAGAAAAAGTAAAAGAAAAAGAAACCCAAATTGAAGCTCAAAACATGCGCCCTTACCTGCGACCTCTTTGTCTGGCTCGCTCATGTACATCTTAGCAAATGTCATCATAAAGGTCGTTAACAAGTCATTTCAGGCCAGTGAAAGTCAGGCGCAATTCCAATTCCAACCATGAACTCAGTTCCAAACTCCAGGAAGATCAACAATAAAAAGACGAAATTAAAACGCCATGGCCCTTTTAAGATAAACTCCAGCTCTCAATTTAGAAAACCCCATCTCAAAACGTTACTCGTTAGCCAAAGTCAGAATCAATCCGATAGGAACGGCATCTTAGAAAGAAATAGCTCGTCCAATGACAACTCTGGTTGCTCTGCATTTAGCCCCCGCAGGGTTTTTTAGAACAAAGAAGTGTTGCTGCGATGATTCAGATGAGGCCTCGGCTTGGATCTGGACAATTCATCCCTGCTTGCACCGCCGATCTTTTGGAACCCTTGCAGGAGGTCAACCCCATCCACGTCTCCAGGGCTTTCGTCAAAGAGATGGAATGAAAAAAAGTCGTCGTTGGCTGTGTCGACAAAGCGGCCAGAGTCTGGCATTTTGGACGGAGAATCAGGGAAAAGCAGGCCTTTCGACTTGCTTGCTGGCACAGACGGCGCGCCGGTCCGGCTATTTACATTCACCGCAGTGATGTCTGTGAGCACATTGTTGCCAGACCCGCTGGCATCATTTCGAACCCTCTTGATAGAGCGCTTTTCAGGCGATCCATACGCCGAGGCCGACAAATTGTCCGCGGTGTGGTCTGCAAACACATCAAAGGAGGCGTGCAGGTTATCATTCGGCGTAAATGTTTCGTCCTGGATGTTAAAAGCCGGGCTCCACGGAAGATCTTCGTCGGTTAGACCGAGATGCTTGATGGGAGAATTGACCATCTGTTGAATCTTTTTGCGGTGGTTTCGAAGATTTGTGTTGGGTGACACGGACGGTGGGGGTTTTGCGGGTTTTTTGAATTTAATAACAGGAGTGATAGGAGGTGGAAGCATGCTGACATATTCCCCACGGAGGGGTGAAGAACCAACTATCAACCCCGCATCCTTCAAGGCATTGGACCGGCTTGGGCTAGCATCATGGGAAGAGCTTCGGATTCGCGCAATCTCTTCCTCGGCTCGACCGCGCTTGATGCGAGGTGGCTCGATATCCAGGTCCGAAGTCAGGATATGGCCTGCCTTGTTTGGGCGCATGGCTGATGATTCTAGAGATGAGAAATACCCGCTATCATTCATGGCGATCGATTTGCGTTTTCTAGTGCGAGAGATGACCCCGGAAGCGGCTACTTGCGACGGCGTAGGGGGGGTTCCTTGACGGGTGAATCGAGGTGGTACAATGGGAGGAGAAGAGTGCATAGGCTGAGGTGGAGAGGAGCGGGGTGGAAGAGCGTGAGGTGCGGGAGCCGAGACACATTCATCGACAGTGTCTTCCTGAAGCGCGGGATCCGAGGCAGGTAGTGTCGCGTCAGAGGACAAATCAACATTCTTCGAGGGCTTGGGCCCAGTCGGAGGAAAAGACGCGTTGGACGGCGTTGGAATAGCCCAAGCGGTGGAGGAAGCATTTTGCGTCGGGAGAGCCGCCGGTAGGGGAAGACTTGACATAGTCGCACGACGCAGGGGCTTGTCCTTGAGGAACTGTGCCTCCATTCCAGGCTCAATTGCCCAATAATTTCCTTTTCCCGGGTCGTCTTTAGGCCTCTCTTGCTTGATGAACGCCTTGTTCAGACTGAGATTATGCCGAATGCTATTTTGCCAGCCAGGGTCGCTATTCTTATAGTACGAGAATGTATCAGAGATCCACTTGTATATCTGCGCCAAAGTCAAGCGTCGGTTTTGTGCACGCAGGATTGACATTCCAATCAATGTTGCATAGCTGTACGGAGGCTTTGTGCCATCATCTTCGATTGGCGGCATTTCATGAGGTTCAGGCAGGCGTATGGAGACAATATCTTCGCGCTTGTGCTTCTTGATCGATCGCTCTTTCAATGGTGCCGCCTCTAGGAGCGCCCTTTTCAGAGGTGGTTTGGTAGTCAAGGTTGGCTCAGGGAAGTCCGCAAAGTTATCACTGGTTGGTTCATCGGCCAGTTGATGTCCTTGCAGGGACTCCTTGTCAGGATTAACGCTGGAAAATGTCGTGAACAAGGCGGAGTGTGGCATCGGGGCAGTGGCGGTAGATTGTGCGTACGGATGCAAGGGCGGCTTTTTGGCCGGGGAATCCGTGGGGAATGAGGGGGGAGCAGGCGCAGAAATGGAGACGAATTCCAATTTCCCTCGTCCAGAGACCGAAGCGCTCGATCTACGAGATGCCTTGGTTGGCGATGGTCTGTGCGTACCGGCAGAGGGCGGATTGAGAACGTAATCACAGTTCGGGTCAGTATTTTCAGCAGTGCTTTCAGCAGGCGATTGTTCTAAGCAAGCGCGTGTGTTGACTGCGGTTTGGTTGGATAGAAAAGGCGCCTCTGAGTTTGTCTGCGCAGCTGACCCAGAGCGCGCCGAGAGCATGGTTTCTCAGCTGGACTCAGACTCTGGTTGGCGTTCAAAAGAATCCGTGCGCGTAGTCAGGTTTCTGGACATCAAGCGACAATAAGGATCGGGCTGCTAGTAGACACCACAAGGGAAGAGTTCAAAAACACGAGGCCAGGAGGCTCTACCAGCAGTTGACGTGTTGCTTGCAAGTCAAAGGTGGTGGGGAGCAGTTTTAAGGCGATGGTCGGAGGAAGAGGGGGAAATGCAAATCCAGATGGGATGTCGCGCCCAAGGTGATGATCGAGTTGGGCGACAAAGCGCTAAGAGGCATGGAGGGGGGGCAGCCCCGAAGAGATTCCAGATATCGTTGAGCAAGAGCAGACAAGCAAATGTGTGTCCACCGGATAGCCTAAGGAGAACGTAATTCGAATGATCTTCAGTGCGCCTGGTTCTTTGGAGAAAGCCAGGGAATCGACGCGTAGAGGGAGCAAAGGACGGCCGACGATGAGATTGGATTGGGCGGTTGGGGGCAAGATGGCGATGTTTATGGGGAACGAGAGGAAAAGAGGAGCTAGGCGAGCAGATGGCTTGACTCTAAATCCAGCTCTGCCATCAAGGTGGGGATGGGTGAAATACTTCGTTAATAAGTAGGTATGACTAGTGGAACTCCGGGAAGTGAGGAATGGAGGAAAGCATTGAAGAGGTGGTGTTGATTGCACTGGGGGGGGGCCTCCACCTCGCGACTCGCCGTACCGTGTATGGTATGGTTCCGACGCGGTCGCGTCACGCGTTGCAGCGCTGCAGATGCCGCCAGCCCGCCAGGGTATATTACCGGTATTGCGGGTTGGGTTGTAAGAATATGACGTACTCTCGGGAAACGCCTTGCTCGCTCTTTCTTATTTTAAAATTCGACCGGGCTGGAGCCGGTCTCTCCTTAGGTGGTCCTTAGTCCTTGCTCCATTCAGTCCCGCGGTTTCGGCAGATCATGGACCCCAGTGATCTCCCTGATGAAATGCTTGACCTTCATCCCCATCCCTTTTTCCCTCATCCACAACCAGATATTAATATCCTCTCTTGCCTTCATTGACTCTTGGCTCGGGCTGATTAGGTGATGTACAATCACGTACTTCGTACTGTACCTGTACCTAGACTAGTCACCTACTACCTCTGCAGTACAGGTCGTCTGCACGGGATAGTATCCAAGGCACATGTAATATGCATCGTACCTACGCAAGTGGCCCTTGGGAGTCCCACTTGCCTGTACATTGCGCGTGGTGCTTGATACGAAGGGATGAAGGGTCGAGGCACGTATCGTCGCCCAACTGGTCATGTCTCAAGAACTAGGTCCACTATCCTATATCCCTTTAAACCTACGGACACATCTGTTACAGCCCAAGCGGTCTTATGTGAAGGATTTTGCACCGGAAACCTACGGGTGATGGCTAATGATGTCCAGAAATATTCTCAAGTTCTATTTACTTCCTGCCAAATCGAAAACACTCTATTTTGAAAAGAAAATCAGGACAGGTAACGTAACGCCTAGAAATGAAGCATTTGGCATAACAAAAAGGCGGAATCTAACGAGGAACGACCACAGGTCTATCAGAGCAAGTCGAAAAGAGAAAATGTAGGACAAAGATTCAAGAACACAGTGTAATCAAGTGCAGCAGGGATAAGTAACCACGACTTCTGAGATCATATAAACAAGGCAGGAGACAATTCATACACCGAATAACAAGGTGATTTCATCATGAAATAATTTTGAGGCTACTTACCCAATCGCATGGACTCCAAAGACATGGAAAGTAAAGGGGGGAAAATGTACAAAGATAAAGATATAAGAAAAAAAAAAGAAAAGAGGCCCGGAGGGTGCGCAGGCAGAGACCGAAAAAAGATGATAAGCGGGAAAGGCTAGAAGAATAGATCAAAGTCTATCGAAGGGGCGAGAAGAACCAGAGGTGGGGGAGGTAGAAGACTTGAAACGAGGTTGAGATGGATCAATCGCATCTAGTCTAGAAAGGTGAACATGCTTGTATGTATTATGTTCAGCGCACGGTCGGCGTCTCTCTCTTCGATCACGCAGGAAATATTGATCTCACTCGCACCTTGAACGAGATCATCCATTAGCTCCTATACCATGCAGGACGTGGTGAAGGGGGTACTTACCTTGAGAGATCATCTCGATATTGACGTTGTTTTCCCCAAGAGTAGTAAACATCCGCCCTGCGACCCCGATCATGTTCTTCATTTGTTTGCCGACCAGACTGAGGATAGCCATCTCAGGGATGATATCAACCGTCCCATATCTTTGCAAATCATGCAAGGCACCCTTGAGGTCGTCATCAATCACCTGATACTCATCCCTGCCAACCCCGTTGAGGAGCGGTATTTCAGAGTGAAGTGCCATGGACACGTGCACTTCACTGGTGGAGATCAGATCGATCGAAAGCCTCCATCGATCAAGAACTGAAAAAATTCCGGCGAAAAATCCATGGGACAGGGAACGCTTGTTGGAATGTACATTGATCACCAAAATTTTATGCTTGATGGTCACGGCAGTCGGGCGCTTCGGTCTTTGCATCAGACTAGGGCTTCTCGTCCGGAACAAACGGGGGTCATGCCCCGGGGCCGTCTTTTCCAGCTCATAGGTCGAGTCGGGAAAGATGACAGTGCCGTTGCCTTTAGGGTTCATGACGTTTTTGATGCGAATCGGGATCTTGGCCCGTATGACCTGCTCCATCGTAAACGGGTGGATGACTTCTGAGCCATAGAATGTCAACTCGGCTGCTTCCGCAGGCGTGATGGCAGACAGAAGACGTGCAGTTGGCACCTTCCGGGGATCGGCGGTGAAGATTCCATCGACTTCCTTCCACACCTGTAATTCTTGGGCATGGATTCCCACGGCTACTAAAGCGGCACAGAGATCTGTGTATCCACGGCCCACCTGGTCGAGAAGACCGCCGGGCACAGTTCCAAAGAACCCGGTGACGACTGGGACTTTCCCCTCGCAGGATCCAATCTTTCTGCTCAGGGCAGCGGCGAGATTGTCGTAGAATCCTTGGTCGAGGCCTTGATTCGAGATGGGAAAGTCGATGACCTCGGCCAAATCCACGTACTGTGAATCCACCCCCCGGTCTTGAAGTAGAGCAGCCATCAATCGACAGCTAAGCTTTTCTCCGGTGCTGATAACCTTGTCTACACAGCGAGCACTTATCTCTCCGAGGGTCTGGGCGGCCTCGAGAACCTTTAGCACCTTTTCGCAGTCACCATTGATCTCGGCAATGAGCTGGGTTTTCAGTTCGGCGGAGTGGATTCGATCCTCGGCTTCTTGGGCATGTTCCTGCCTGACCGCCTCGATAAAAGCAACATAGTGTTGCGATTGAGCATTCTCTGCGTCCCGCGCAGCTCGTAATAATCTGTAGAGTAGCCCATGGGTCAGAGGACGAAGAGTAGAGAACAACAGTTGGAAGTAATGGAATAACCACGAGAGCGGAGATTCAGAGTTATGAACGAGCTATCGGGAGTGGCGCGCGAATTTGCGTGTGCGTGCGTATCGAGGAAGAGGCTTCATCGCGACAGGGATGACTCACCGATTGGTGGTACCTTCAGCTTTTGTCGAACTGCTCCTTGCAGAACATACAACGGCTACTTTATGTTCTGAAAGACTCGGTCTGAATTTGGACAATGAGTATTATCGCGGAGTGAATTATGGGATCATTGCTTACAGGACGACTTGATCAATGATATTAAGAGCGAATTTCCCGACACTGGTACCCCCGAACTTCTGTACAACCCAGTTTCTATTAGATTTGCCCACTGGGGGATTGGAAGTGAACTGCAACTGGTTTTCCATGCTGGTGAATTTTCAGCGACGGAACAAGAGTGTACAGTTGGGGGGTGTGAAAGAAGTCAATCCAATCTTTATAAAGTAATTGATTGCGTTGACTCACGTCGGCGGCGGGACTTTTTTTTTATGTGCACTTGGCGGGGGAATCATTGCGAAAGCGGAGCCGATACAAGAAGCAGGGGTGGCCAAGAGAATTCTGCCCGTTAAGTTTTTGCCGCCGCCTTCTCTATCCGGGTACACGATATCGGAGTTGGGAGGGGCGCCGTGAATTAATCCGCAATTTCAAATACGGAGAGTATCCGTCGCCGATAAGCTACGTAGGCAAGGTACTCCCGGGGTGGGCCTAGAACTGGTAGGTCCTCCGTCCTCCGACTTGCCTACGGTGTCTGCCTAACTACTCTGAGTATAGCGCTATAGGCACTGTACTGTACTGTACCCACCACGGTCTTTAGGTAATCCTCTCCTACCTGGGCATACCCACGTCTAGATTGGTTCCCACGATATAGTTTTTACCTACATGTACATACATATGTATAGATCCCCTGTCCCTGGTCACAGGCACGCTAATAACCAAGAATACAGTGCATGAGACGGAAAGGCTCCCGCGAGCCTGACAATTGTCATGCATTCACAACTCGCTCGAGAGGAGAGCTCAAGAAAGCTTGGGGTATCTTTAGGCCCTTTCCTTGATGGCACTCTTTCGTGACACGCTAAAATCTCTATGTACAGCGTGCAGAATTAGGACCCCATGTTCATGAGAGGCAGATGCCCTTCTGGCTTCGGAAGATGCTGGAGAAGGGGCCAAAAGTGACGCGAACAAGTCAGATCGCGCCCGATGGGACACTCCAGAAACTGGAAACCATTGAAAATGAGGCTACTGATATAATACCCATTCTCGAGCGTCTCTGCAGAGCCGACAACTCGGTGAAACGGGCTTTCCTATGCAGCCCCAAAACTTCTCAGGTTTCTAAGCTGCCGAGAGAAGGCGGATTTTGCGGCTACCGGAACATTCAAATGCTGATCTCATACATACGGCAATCTGATCTCCCGAGTCAGGACCGCTTTTCTGGGCCGCTACCTACTATCCTAGAACTACAAGATATGATTGAACATGCATGGGATATGGGGCTTAATAGCGCGGGGAGAGAAGAGACTGGGGGCATACGTGGCACCAGGAAATTCATTGGCACATCGGAGGTAGGACACCGCCTCCAGATTTTTTGAACTCTGCTTATGATTGATAACGACAGGCACAGGCTCTGTTTCTGAGACTTGGAATCCAGTACGTCCTAGCGTCAGACTTTTCGATCATATGTACTGACAACGGCTAGATGTGAGGCTTGTAGTATTGGAGAAACCCCGCAGCTACGGGCTCATGACGCTTTATTGTCGAATGTTGCAAGCTATTTTCGAGCAGAGAGTTCACGTCGCACCGATGAGAAAGTCCTCACGACATGTCTACCTCCCATCTACTTCCAGCATCAAGGTCTGTCCTCGCACCCTTGTTTCTTCTGACTCCACAGAGAGCAGACTAGCTAACAAGCAATAAAGGTCATTCCATGACCATCGTTGGATTCGAAGTCCGTGACGATGGAAGTGCAAACCTTCTCGTTTTTGATCCGAAACTTCAGGTCCCTTCCGGCATGAAGCGTTCCAGGGGTGTGCACTCCAAATTTCGCAATCCAGTCCATGCCCTGAAGGGATACCGGCGCGGGATAAGTTACTTGCAAAAGTATCGAGTTTTCGAAATACTCAAGTAAGTAGGCTTCGAATTCCGAGTTGAATGTGTTTGACCAATAAAGGTTACCCCCTCCTACAAGCCCTAGCGAAGGGTGACTGCAGCAAGGCTGTTGTAAATATAAATGTTTGCTGTAACAACCTACACCTACGCTCTATGATCTGCCATAGGCAGCTACTACGAAGTAATAAATAAGTGTATTCATGTTCCGACAAGAGACGAATTACCTTGACATAAGTCACATTCGCTTTGAGGTGTGAGGTGTGGCTAACCACTAGATGCCTACCAAATAGATATACTTCCATAGCCCACCGGATTTTCTGGTTCCGGGCCTCCCGCCGTATTCATGCCTCAGGCATCAACAAAGCTTCCCCGCAGCCGCCAAAAAAAAAAAAAAAAAGAATTGGATTGACTGGAAATCTTACCCCTCAATCGTTATCATTCTTTGCTGGCAAACACTGCAGGTTTTGGCTGCTCAGCACTACTGCTGAGGCCAAGATGCGAACAACTCCGAATGTGATCATCACAGGCACCCCTGGCGTAGGGAAAACAGTACATTGTCAGCAATTGGCGCAGGATACAGGCCTGCAGCACCTATCGATAAACCAGATCGCCAAAGAACGGGGCTGCTTCGATACCTATGACTCGGAATTAGAAACATGGGTCGTGGATGAGGACAAAGTATGTTCAATACACATTATGTCGTGTTACCGTCAACCGAACCCGGCTCTTATCATTAACTGTTCTGTCACGGTTATTTTCTGTTACTTACTCCTTGGGACACAGCTTTTGGATGCGATTGAGGATGAGATACTCAAGGGTGGCTACCTGATTGACTGGCATGCGTGTGATTTATTCCCGAAATCTTGGATCGATCTCGTCGTAGTCCTGCGATGCCCTTCCACCTCTGTCCATTACGATCGTCTATCCACAAGGTACGCACCAACAAGACCTCCAGCCCGTCACCCCGGTTTCTATCATACTCGAGCATCATCTTCACCAGCCTGTTCAAGCTTCTATTCTGTTTCGTCCTACTTGGCCCCGCACAACACCTGCCAGAAACCTCCATCCCACCTCTTTTGGCAAGTTCCTAACAAATCTTCGTTTGTAACAGAGCATATAAACAAGAAAAACTGCAGGAGAACCTAGACGCGGAGATCTTCGGTGTTCTCCTCGAGGAGGCTCGGGAGGCTTTCGACGAGGAAGTGGTGGTTGAGCTCAGTAGTGAACAGGATGACGATGTAGAGAACAACTGCGCGAGGATTTCGACCTGGATCGAATCGTGGAAGAAAGATCATTCGGAAACCGAATAGACCGCACGGTCACTCAAGGGAAGTCTTAGGATTGTCCATTGGTCAACCACTGCTGTAGGTTGACCAGAGCTTTATATCTGTGAGAGATTTTGTTCTACTTGTCCGTTAGTGGAAATTCAAGCCATACATCCTGGGCTCTTACCTTCTCCTCCTTCTCCATCTCGGCGTATGTGTGGGTTTCGTATTGGAAGATTGGATCCCAACCTAAATTTTCATATCGTTTAGTAGGGCACGAAAGTCCCTCCAAATCCAAGTAACTAACCAAAGTTCGTGGGCCCTCTGGGCCTTACAATGGTACCCTTCGAATCACAGATTAGCCCACCATCGGGACAACCATCCCAAACAGATGACATAATATAGCATACCTCTGTTCTTCCCTGGAACAAAAGAATCTCGGAGCCGGGCCCAGAGCAGAATGCAAATGTGCACACGGCTTCGGCCGTCCTGTCCTCGAACGAGTCGAGCAACTTATTCAATCCTTCGTGACCTAGTGCATCAAGGAATTGTTTGCTGATTTCGTCGACACCAAGCAGTTAGCATCGGCCGCAAACCGAGTTGAGCAAGGGAGATGATCTAACATGTATGGACCCGGCAGGCCCTTCAGCGCGCGAAACTCAAGAGCCGTGTCCTCCGTCAAGACAGGCCCCCCAACCTAACCCCGCCATCCGATCAGCACGGTGTGCCAAAGGTGCCGACTGAAAGATATGGAGTTGATGCTCACCACCTCTGCTGCACGTCTGCATTTTTCCTTGGCAATTTCTTCAATGGTTCCCTGTATTTCGGGCACATCGACAGCCTGGTTATCAACCTCGACGACACTGCCCAAGATTGCCCTCACTTCCGCCAATTTGTTTTTGTTACCCGTGATGAAATTCAATTTTCGAGGAGCAGAAGCCATGGTGGATAATAGCGTCACGATTTAGTTGACTGGGCCGTCAGGGACTTGATTGGGAGGAGGGGTTGTTGTGAAGGGGTTGTTGGTTGTTGTGTCAAACACCCCGCCGAAGCACTTGCCGAGACCCAGTCACAGGATACTTCGGATATACTATAATGAGGTGGAACAGGATGCTTCTTTGGATGTACAAAGTATTGATTTTACTGACCCCTTTTTCTAATCTACAGTGTATGCGCATACACTGTACTACGTACCTGCCCATTGACCAGTATAAACCACCATGATGACCGTCCACTCCTGCAGCGGCTCCATCTGTAGGGAATGGTCATGATTCCTGGTCCCAACCACCGGGGCACCTATCTACGTCCGTCATTCTAACGTCGGCAACGCCTTAACTCCTTAAGTTGCTGATTGATTTTTGTCTTCGTATCTATGCATCGAGGACGTCAAGATTTCAAACGGGAATCTAATCATAATGATAACGATAAACACAGAAAACGACGGAATGTGTCGCCAAATGATATATGTGCATCCAATTGCAAAACCGGGGCTGTCGATGACAAGGTCTGACTACTCAGCCGTCATACTCCCGTTCTCCGCTATTTCAAGCCTCTCCTGCTGTGCCATTGCCTGAGCGGACACAATTTCAGCAAGTCGTTTAAGTCGCGGTGTTTGGAGCCCTAAGACAGATTAGCAGAAATCCGAATTCCCGCCGTCGGTGAACTTACAGGAAGGAGTGTAAGTCTCCAGAGCTGTGATGACCCGCGGGTCAGCAATTTCATACGGTCCGCTGTCTTCCATATCAACGGGCGTCAATAAAAGGACATCGCTCTTTTCCGTGACACGAGAGGCCACTGCCTTCATGATCTCGCCGTTGATCGGTTGCTCATAATCCGCCACAAGGTACTGGTTCAGAAGTTTTTGGATCTGATTGGGAGAGAGCCTATGGGAGTTTAGCCGAGTCGAACCTGGAATCAGGGCAGTTGAACTTACATCCAACATATATCCTGTATAATTTCAATGTCGTTCAAGGTGGCCTTCTTCAGCTGAAGAAGTTTAGTGGCTTGCTATTCGATCGTCAGTATCAGAGGCTCAGCTCCCGTTCGTTTGCTGACATACCATCAAGTGCTCTAATTGCAGTGTTCCCTCGGGCATATCGTGACTCTTGCACCACTCCTCAATGCGCGTTATGTTGTAATTGATCTGGAGGCCACGTTTCCAAGACAGGAAATTTCTCCGCATGAGAAGATCGTTGAACGCGGTAACCCCAACGAGACGAAGAAGCTCAGTGACGGTTTGAATAATGATTGAATCCTCAAGGTAAAATGCTTTCATTGCCTTGTAGACGTTGTTCAAAAGGCTAAGAAGGTTGTCCATGCTGTAGGCTGGGTTATTGTTAGAGGGAAGAAGCTTTCCTAAGAACCGATTGGTTTCACTGGTGACGAAACCCGGAAGGGATTGGGATTCGATGATGGCCGGAACGATCATCTTGAAGAGCTTTTTCTTCAGGACTTTCATCCAAGTATGATAGATATTGAATTCCAGGCTTTCCAAGTCGTGCTTCACAATTTCCAAAAGACGATCATATTCGTAGTTGTCGGTCTTCTGCGCTTCATACCAATCCTCAGCCAAGAACACAAACGACAGCATTTCATGCACGTTGGAGAGCCAAAACGCCCCAGGGTTGACAGCGTCGTCACCGTCGTGCTGCATGACCTCCTGCTGAATTGACTGCATGACATTGGCCAGGAAGCGCTCGGACTCCTTTACGAAGCCGTTGTTCCACATCTCAGAAGTCACGAGGTTGATGAGATAGGCGGGGAACAGGACCTCCTTCTCGGTTGGTGGTGGGGTCGAAGAAGGGAGTGGGATTTTGAGATTGCGAATCAAACCCATTGTGACCTCCTCGTTGAGTTCATCTTCCTCGGACAGCAGATTCTCAAGTTCAACTTCAACAGAATCCAATCCGGGGGAGAAAGTCGCGTTTGAGATGTTCTGACGAGCGAGTGTGCTTGGGATTGCCATAGACACAGGCCTTGGGTTGTAAGCACCGCTGAACCGATCGGTTTCGATTTTTTCTGCACCAGCACTGCGTCTTTTGGGCTTCGGCTTTTTGGAGGAAACTAGGTTGATCAAACCGCTGGCGGGAGGCTGAATAGACCCGCCGTTCTGCTGTTCTCCATTCAACCCGTTCACGGGCATGGTTCTTTTGGCAAGTTCCAACTGTTCTTCCAGGTCGGCAACCTGCTGGCGAAGAGAAACCTTCTCGCTTTCGGCCTCATTGTTCAGATGCCTGAGCCCTTCTAGTTCCTGGTTTGCAGCAAGAATCGATTCGCGTGACGCCTTCTCTTCCTCTTGAAGACGCTTGATGGTTGCTTGGGCGTCCTGGTGGTTCTGTCGCAATGTGCTCATCTCTTCTTCCATGGCGGTCAAACGGGCCGCAGTAATGCCGGCTTGGTTGGCCTCGGCCTGAAGTTCTCTCGTGCGATTCTCCAAAGCATTGTGACGACTCCTCCAGGATTTGACCTGGGTCTCATAATTCTCCAACTGTGAATTCAACGACCTGTTTTCACGCTTCAAGGATTCAAGATACTGCGTTAGCTCCACCACCTTGTTCTCCAATTTGTACGAAATCTGCTTCAGGTCTCGCGCATCCTCTCGTAGCTTTTTGTATTCCTTTCTGGCTTCCCTGCCCCTCCAAAGGTTCTGAACAATAATAACGTTCCGGCGATACTGTCGCCAAGCGCGCAGCTGCCGCCAAGAACGGAAAGAACGCTGGATGACCTTTGCTGCATTGCCATGGATCGTATCCATGATATTCTGTCGACAAAGGAAACCCTTGGCAACAGACTGGAATAGGACGAAGTTTTCACGGATACGGTTGTAATTTTTCCTATCCTTATGTCCCCGCCACACTCTTTGAATTGTCGTGGCAGCCTTGACCTGGCGCACTTCAGCCGCATGTTGTCTTGCCAGAAAGCCCCTGATGAGCGCCTGCGTGGTGAGAATGGAGGCGCGCGCTTCGAGGTACCGACGTCGGTAATATTTGCACCGGAGATTCTTCTGTATCATTATCGCACATTCATTCAACCTCGACGTGCGCAGGTTCTCGAGAAAGGCGAGCATGCCAGCCCGGAAGAATATCTTGGTCAAACCAAGTTGGTACTTATCTTGTTTCTTGTGGCTTCCGTCCCCAAGAGCCTTCTGTAGAATGGCGTGGCACATTTCTCGTATTTCCGATGTCCATTGTGAAGAGTGACAGAGCATATAGTAACGGATGGCGAATTCCTCGTAAGTCCAGCGAGTGGGATAGCCAGCGGTGCTGATCCGAACCGTCTCAAGGACACCACAAGCCCTCAATTGACTAAGAACCATAGGCCCTTCGAACTTCCAAGATTCCTTTGCCTCGTTCGGTTTGATGCAGCGGATGTAATGCACATCAGTGGAGTTGATCGTATTCATGAGCTCGATCAATGATGATTTGAAAATCCCACCAAGAGTGGGTTTGCGGTTGACGGCCACGCCGATTTTGCGGCCCGGAGCAGCAACAGGTTTGGACGAGATAGAAGCCGAATCCTTTTCGCGGACTGCAGCTGCCGTATCTAAGATTTCCTTCACAAACTCATTCGAAGAATTGCGCAGGATTTCCATGTGCTCGTCTGGGACCGTGTCCCTGTTCTTCTCTATAAAGCCATCGGACTCGTAAGTTACGTCAACCGCATAGTGACAGATGGTGAAAGCAGATTTCCCAAATCGAGGCTTCTTGTAGAATTTTTGCTTATCGGCGGCGAAGTTGTGGTGCAGCTTGGTCACGAACTGCTCGTCAGATCCCATTGGAAGCCGAGACTCCTCGTCCAAAAGAGACAAGATACCCAGCTTTGCTTCAATCAAATCAATGCATGGCTGGTTATCGGAGAAATCAATGAATGTCCAGTCTATTTGCTCCCGCACATATTCTTCTTGCTCAAGCTTGAAAACGTGCTGATTGAACTCCTGTTGAAGTTTCTCGTTGGCGTAGTTGATGCAAAACTGTTCGAACGAGTTCTTAGCGAAATGCTCAAAGCCGTAAATGTCCAGAACTCCGATAAAGGCCTTGAACTGGCTCATAACTTGGTCGGTTGCTAGACCACGGTTGATTTTGTCAACAAGCCAGTCAAAGAGGCTCGAGTAGATGAATTTGGCGACCGAGTCCCGGACAACGGTGGCTTGCTGTTGGGTCAAATTGGAAGTGATTTTTTCACCCCTTGTGATAAGCTGCTTTTTAACAATCCACTTGGCAAATTCGTTGGCATCGATCCCAAATAGATCACAGGCTTTGACAAGACCGGGCTCGGAAGGCGAAAGGGTGGAGTCAGTCCTGGTGGCTGTGATCTTGACATTGCCAAGGTGCAAAAGAGCTGCTAGGATGCGGAAGATCTCAGATTGTGTTTTGTCCGATACACCGATGGTGCTTAGGGATTTTCTGGTCGCATTAAATTCCGTCTTATCATCTACACCGTCAATCGTGGGGGTCCCGCCTTGATTTAGATAGTCAAAATCCTCAACCGAGCCCAGACCCAGTTCTTGCTTTTCATCATCTGTTGCACCAGCTACAAGCTGGTAGAAGACGTGGTAGTTTCGTTCCTTGAGCGGCTGGAATACTAAACGTGACCGTTCCAAGAGATATGTTCTAATTTTGGCACCAATGATGTTGGTTCGGTCGTCGAACATGATCTCGATGTACTTCCCGAATCGTGAGGAGTTGTCGTTGCGCGTGGTTTTGGCGTTTCCGAAAGCCTCCATAACCGGATTGGTGGCCAGTATTTGTTCTTCTGTCTCACTGATTGCTTCTGCTCTGCTCGTGGTGTACTTGCCTGGTTGATCCGAGGACTCGCGGGTTGCGAAATACCGCATGATGTATTTGGCGCTGACCGTCTTCCCCGCACCCGATTCTCCGGAGACAACGATTGTCTGGTTCTTCCCATCTCGTAACATGTCACTGCATAGGGTCCCCGTAAGCAATACTGCATGGCGGAGAGGAGTTGTCGGTTCTTACGCAAATGCTTCTTCGGCGATGGCGAACAAATGAGGCGCTTGTGACGCACGATGCTTCCCCGCGTATACTTGTACCATCTGGGGCACATAGAGCGAGTCAACTCGGGCAAACGGATTTGTCGCGATGAGAACGATTCCACTGTATGTATATATTTCCTTCTGCGCGTAACGAAGCTTTATTGCCTGCAAAACTTGGGGATTGTTAGTCTGTGCGCACATGCAAATATCCAAAGCTAGACAAACCAGCTGGCTCGTTTAAATGAGAAAGATTCGTGAGATCCTCGCTAGCTTCTAGCATGGCAGGGTTCATCAAGGGAGGTAAGCGTGAGTTGTTATCCAACTGCAACTCTTCCTGCGTGGTCTCCAAAGTTTTTGACTGTTTGCCCCGTAGGTTAATCACCATGCAACAACACGGACGACGGCTCGACTGACCTCCCCATTTTCCATCAAAAATACAAGTTGAACCTTGTCCCCATCAACCGACTTCTCCTTCACTTCGGAAGCGATCCATCCCTCAGTCGGGTCGGGCTGCCAGGCCCTTGTGCCGACTTCGTAGTTGTGTGCCATCAAGACGACGCTTCTTGACAAAGGACTGAGCACTCCAGGTTCAAACGAGGGCGGAGCAAGAACTCAATGCGGGCTGGACAAGCTGGGCAAAGATCGGGATGAAGCATCTAGTAGAAGGAGGAACAAGGACAGCCAGTTGATGTAGAAAGGTCGGAAACACGCAAGCCACGTTTGTGACAGCCCAGGCCGAGTTTAACGCTGAAATATGAGAAGAGAAGGGTTTCCACTATGCTCACTATTGAAGGAGTTATTGAACTAAATGGCTGCTAACAGCTGGCCGTTAGCGAGCCACAACCCCTGAGGATTGGGGAGCCGCGCCACTTGTCGGAACAATCTCCACAGCTGCCACCGCCAAGAATCAAGACATGTTGGCCTTGGTCACTTGTCGGGCGCTACTAATCATGTCGACGCATCTGCATGTTGGGGAGTTTTCCCATACGCTTGTTTTACCAGTACGGGCATCGGCCTTATCAAAAACACCTGATCTGGTCATAAGAGTTCCGCTTCGATGCAATAAGATGGTTGACGACTTTATTATCTTGGTTCAAAAAGAATTTTAGGGGAAGACAGGTTCGCCTGAAGGAGCGGTGAGATGAGTCCTCCCCAACTCCTCGCCCCAAAGCAGTGTTCATGGTCGCTTACTCTGTACAAAATTACCAATTCTTATTCGTATGCTTTTTTTTTGTTTTGTTTTAATACCATGTACTGTCTCTCCTCGGATCTTTCTGAGCCAAAGGGAACTTGTCTGATAAAAATTCAGAGTATTTAGAAAAGAAAGCGTACTCCTCGCGCCGCCAGTATTTTAGTATGGTGCAATGAACAAACAGAGACTGAGACAAGCAAAAGATGGAACCGCATGGTTGGAAAAAGAACATGAAACAAGAGAGAAAGAACAGAAGTAAAAGAAACGGAAAGGGCAGCGAAGAAAATGGGACCTCCGAAAGCGCAAAAGCAGTTTACTCTGGGACGCCCATAATGAGCATAGATATCCATTACATATCCCCCAAAGTGAAAGGCGCGACAACGTGCACAGGTTTTACACTCTGGAATACGGATATGGATGAACTTAGATTAGTGATGAGTAAAAGTTTGCACGGCACTGATGTAGGTTGAAGCAATCTGGTAAAGCAAATTTTCATGAAGGCGAACGGGCGTAAAATGGGACCAAATATATGTGGGGAGAGAAGAGGAAAAAGAAAGGAAAAAGCAATGGTGGACAGGGAATGGGAACCGACGAAAGAGGAACGGAAAACACCATCCATCTTGAGCTAGGCCCGAGGAAAGTATCGTAGACTAATTATCTGCTCCATTTGCCTGTAAGATAAAGCTTCGAGACGTTCAGCTTTGTTTGCATTCGGCCGCCTCTTTCTTGGGCTTGGAAGTACCGTCCTGGTCCCCATTAGTACTTGCATAGATGGAGGTTGACGGGGAAATATATGAACATACCTCTTCGTCGGAGTCATCATCCATATCCCGGTCCGATTTTCTATCATCCTCATCTTCGTCCTCTTCGTCCTCCTCATCTTCATCGTCCTCATCTTCGAACTCATCCGGATCCATATCGTCACCCAGTTCCTCGAACTGGAGTGCCTCGCCTGTAAACCAATCAATGGCACGGGGGATGAGTTTCTCTTTGATATCTTCGCCAAGCTGGTAGTCGAGTTCAAGACGCTCCTCAATGTCGGTGGTGACGGTATCATCATCATCTGTGGGGGGCTGCGGAGGAGAAAAGAAGTTGAAGAAGGACTCGGTGGGGACGGTAATCTTCACGACGCGAGTCTGCTTGGTGTCTGGGAGCGAGTAAGAAAAACCGACCCGAAGCGTGGGGGAAACGGGTTTAAACTCACTCTTATTTCTCTGCTTCTTGCTTTCCACACGTACGGTGAGATCTTGGTCGGGCTTCCAATCAATCTTAGTGCCCTCGGCATGGTCGTAGATAAAATCACCACCGTATCCATTCTCTTCCTTGTAATAGTAGGTCTTGGAGATGGTTTTGTTGCTGAAGAAAGCATTCTCCGAAAACTCGAAAATGAGACGGAAACCTGGGCGATCGAGATATTCCATTCTGATGTCGGTGAGATGCTTCAGGGCTTCTTCATCCCGTTCAGTGATCATTTCCGCGAGAGAAATTTGGTTTTTCATGGCAGAGAGCCAGAATTCTGGGATTCCAGTTGCTTGGGATTCTTTGTCATCCTCCTTCTTCGACTCATCTTCACCCTTGACATCCGCATCCTCCTCCTCGTCATCTCCTTTACCCGCTTCAACTTCAGGGTCGGTGGGCTCCGCAGCGCCATTGATTATTGTAGCACGTCTCTGGTACAGAGGAGTGAACTTCGCGAAGTACTTCTTTTCAAGCTCTAATACTTCCTCCTGGAACTGGGCTTCAAGTTTGGCGTGGTCTTTCTGAATGCCCTTCAGACCGGCGACGCGGCGGCGCACAGGTGCTGGTAAAGATTCAATGTAGCCCGATGAGCGGCCAACAAGCGATCCCAGTTTCCCTTGGATCATAGAAACAAGCCCAGGGTTCCTGGCAAACAGAGAAGCGGCAGCGGCATGATCAAGGGATTCTGGTCATGAAGTTAGGTATAGGCAGCGCGAACGGGGGGGGAAGGGGAAGAAGGGCTGTTGGTATACCTTCTTTTATGCTGGCGACTCCGGGTTGTTGGGCGTGAGACGAGATAGGGGCATTGTTAGCCGGAGTGTTTTGCGGCGTCCTGGCATTCAGAAACGGGCGTCAGCGATATGATGCTACGCGGTAGCAGACTGAACATGGAACTTAGGTCGAGGATGGAACAGAAACTTACGGAGCAACCGGGAAATCTGCTTTTTTATTTCTAATGGGTTCAGACATTTTGAGGGTCCTTGTTTGGTCAGAAGAGGGGTCGGAGATAGTGTAGAAAGAGGTTGGCTGAGGGGTTGTCGCGGAGGCGAAAGATCAAGGGTTGAGGAAGAATTTGATACGCTTGGTAGTTTTGGGAGGTCTGGAATACTGGCTTGGTGGGATCCTTAGCGCCCTTGGGCCGAGGGGCTTGGCGGGACGAGGATGCTGGCTGTTGAGAACCTTCAGGCTGCTCCCAACAATTACTGCGACAACTCCGTCTCTCCCTCCTTGCCATTAGATGGCCCCTGCAATCGGGTTCTGGAGAGGCTCTGCATGCTCTGAAACAGTACACACTAAGCATCGAGATGTCGATTGCCAATTCTCCATCATATCGTGGAAATTTAATTGGGGTACGATACGGAACTCTCACTACCAATAGATACATACTTTGTGTATGTATAGGCACTTCGGACTACCTAGTACCTACCTACATTTACCTTACCTTACCTTACCTTACCTACCAGGTACCCATGATATCTGTGTACTGTACAGTACCATGGCAAACCTAGGTATGAGTGTGTACTGTCGGCAGGTGCACATCTTGACTATACAAATAGGTAACTACCTTGATTAGTTGTGTACCTAGGTATTAGGTAGTCCTAATACCTAGGTACTCTACTTGTTGATAACAGGAAAAGTACATACCTAGGGGAGGCACCAGGTACCTTGGGGGTCTATGGATACCTACACATCCTGTAATCTAAACTCTGCAACTACTTACCTAGGTAGGTAGGTATCCGTAGGTACCTATACCTTACTAGGTAACATGGGAAAGGACCTAGAGCCCTGGGGTGAGGGTAATCGAGTATTATAGGTACGCAAGTACAATATACCTATCGGGAAATACCCGTGGACGCTGAATTTAGGTAAGGTAGTTTCTTGCGGTGTATTGACCCTTTTCCAAAGTCTCAGTACAACCAATACATTAAGTACGGGGAGTAGGTATGTATGCATGTATACATCCATGGATATATACCTACGGAGTAAAACGGCTGCGTCGAGTCGCAGCCGGTTGACGTATATAGGTATATTTAGTTCAAACAGCAGTTCATAAGGTACCCCTCTGAGACGAATTGATCTCCAAGTCGAAATCTCAATGTTATACTGCATGGCTGATGCCCAGGTCCTCTGGATCTTTGAGATACCCAGCAGCAGCAGCTTATCAGTCACGTGTAGATAACATTGGAACTTCCATCATCGAGCTTCGCTACTGACCCGCATCATTCGAACACCTTCCTGGAGACCTGCATATGAATGATATCTATGGGCAAAGTTGAGCCGGTGCTCATATTATACAGGTCAGAACTCTAGAGCAATCTCTGCACCTACCGTGTACAGTCTCACCCAGCATGTTTCTGGTTGTGTGATCCTCTTATCTCATAGCCACTGGTGAGCATCCACAGTATTCCTGTCGGCTCACGGCCGACATTTGCGCTATGGATCATTCTACACATCCAAACCGGCCACTCCAGTCGCCCGTTGCCGGACCTGGCGGTCGACGCGACTCTATGAGAAGCAGGTGATTCCAACCCACCCAATTGATGCTCGGGGCTGCTGCCTGACAATCATACAGCTATAGCATTGTGTCAGATGTAGAGATGGCTCGTAATGAGGTGCGTTTCTTCATAAGAACTAAACGTCCATTCGTCTATGATCAACGCATGACTGGATTTTCAACAGGTTTTCGATGGTCCCATCTCTGAGAGTATCCCATCCAGTATCGCATCCTTCTCTTACCGTCGCAACCGGAACAACTCTACTGCTAGCTTTACCTATTTCCATGAAAACGATTCTTTCACCGAATGGCCAAACGAGGATGCCTTGGACATTGGAAGTGACAACGATGAAGAATTTCGAGATGGCGCTTACCCAGCAAGCATGTCTGTGCGGTCGTCGTTTGCCTCGAAAAGACCATCTACTTCGCGGCCCTCTATCGAAGACCCTCTTCTGCCGCAGCGGCCCTCATCAGTCAACTCCTATAGTTGTGGCCGAAAACCAGACAACAGGCATAGCCAGAAAGTTTACATCGAATCAGAGGACCTGACAATTGTTATTGCTGGGTTTTCAACAGCGCTGACCGGCCTAGCGCTGTACTATACACTGTGTGTATTTACACTTGGAGCAGCTTACTTATTGTTTAGATGGTTTCCTAGATGGCGTGCTCGAGTGATAGGAAGACCCATGCCTCTTCGGTCCTGCCAATGGGTGGCAATAGAGGTATGCCTTTTCTTAAATTCTTTCCCGTCTGCATGCCTAAAGGATCTTTCTTTGGCTCCGACTAATGTCTATCCAGGATCAATGGAATCAATTCAATGTGTACGAAGTACACTGCCAAGCATACGGACGCCCGCTTTCCACTATCTTTGCAGAACCCAGCTGTCAGCCGTATGACGAGGAGAATGACCCTACAGTTTCGTCCTTGCGTTGCATTGATTATAGGTATCTGCGTTTTTTCTACCATCAAATCGAGGACAGGTTCTGTTTAATTAGTGGCTGGAAAGATCCTTTGTGGACGAACGCGAAAATGATGCGAATGGGACTCGATGCCGACGACCGTGATAGTCGAGAGCAGGTCTTTGGCAAGAACCTCATTGACATTCATCAAAAGTCGGCATTCGAGCTCCTTCTGGATGAAGTCGGTCTTCTTTTCCTTCTTCCTTCTTGGAATAAAGTCTTACCTCTCTAGGCCTTTCATCCATTCTATATCTTTCAAGTCGCAAGCCTTGTGTTATGGTCACTAGACCAGTACTATTATTATGCTGCCTGCATATTCACAATATCATTTTTCAGCATAGGAGCCACTGTTATCGAAACGAAATCGGTATGTCATAGCTATGCCCGGCATAGGAACAGATGTACTAATTTCTCAGACAATGAGTCGACTAAGGAGCATTTCCCTCTTTGAATGTGATATTCGCGTGCTTAGGAACAGTTTCTGTATGTAGCCAAATTCCTTAGCTTCTTATGGTTTTGCGGACACGATTTGCTGACACACTGCACCACCAGGGAGATCCGTGCCATCTCGTGAACTAGTGCCAGGAGATGTATTTGAGTTTTCGGACCCTTCTCTGAACCAAGTCCCCTGCGATTGTATTCTACTATCTGGAGATTGCATTGTCAATGAAAGCATGCTTACAGGTGAGTTTAAAAAAGCTTGCATACGTTATAGTGATGGGTCTAAAAAGCGCAACTAGGTGAATCGGTTCCGATATCGAAGACCCCATTGACCGATGACGCGCTCAGTTATCTTGATTTAAATGCATCGTCTGTTCATCCGAATATTGCAAAGCACTTCCTTTTCAGTGGGACGAGGGTGATTCGAACAAGACGCCCTCAGAATGTTGATGACGATGAAGCGATCGCTTTGGCCATTGTTGTGAGAACAGGGTTCCTTACTACAAAAGGCGCTCTTGTTCGTTCAATGCTTTTCCCCAAACCCTCCGGGTTCAAATTCTATCGTGATTCTTTCCGCTACATCTCTGTGATGGGCGTTGTCGCCCTCTTGGGATTCGTGGCCTCGTTTGTTAACTTCGTTCGGCTAGGTGTAAGTTCTTTCCCGGTTAATCGGAATGCACATGCTAACGCCATAATCCACCTAGCTTTCCTGGCATCTGATAATCGTCAGAGCGCTTGATTTGATTACAATTGTTGTTCCACCAGCTTTACCAGCTACCTTGACGATCGGCATTAATTTTGCACTATCCCGGTTGAAAAACCACAAGATCTTCTGCATTAGCCCTCAAAGGTGAGCTGAATTAATTTAACGCAATAGTGCGAACTGACTCAGGTAAATAGAGTCAACGTTGGGGGCAAATTGGATGTTGTGTGTTTTGACAAAACGGGGACCCTGACAGAGGATGGCCTAGATGTTCTTGGAGTACGAACTGTGAATCATGAGATGAGGTTGGTAGACCTATGTGCCAAACATGACATGGATGCTAACAGGGCAAAAGGTTGACCGATCTTTTGTCTGACATGTCATTCTTGCCATCGAGTATCGAAGGCGGCAATCTCGACAATCGCACCAAAATCTCTTACATTATGGCTACGTGCCACTCACTAAAAACCATTGATGATGAGCTTCTTGGGGACCCTCTAGACGTAAAGATGTTTGAGTTTACGGGGTGGTCCTATCAAGAAGGCGGTGGTCAAGTTTCTGAGCAGCCAAGTTCTAATTTTGAGGCTGTAATTCAGGCTATCGCGAAGCCACCAAACTCTGCGGCTCAGTTCCGTGATCATAGAGGGACGCGTTCAAGCGTATGTGTTGTTCCCCAGCTATTCTCAATAAGGCGCCACATGTTGATACTCACGTCCATCGCAGACATCAATCGAACTTGGCGTTCTCCGTAATTTTGAGTTCGTTTCGGAGCTTCGTCGTTCGAGTGTGGTTGTAAGGCAATTTGGAGACGGGGGTGCTAGCGTCTTTGTCAAGGGCGCGCCGGAGAGTGTAAAGGCCATATGCCGCCCGGAAACTTGTGGGTATACGGTCATTTGCGCACTCGAAGCCTGGCTAACCAACCATTTTCTAGTACCCCATGACTTCGAGGATCTCCTAAATCAGTATACTCACCAGGGTTACCGCGTCATAGCCTGCGCGGCTAAATATGAACCAAGGCTCAGCTGGATGAAAGTCCAGAAATTGACTCGTGCGGAGGCTGAAAGCAATCTAGAGTTCATCGGACTAATCATATTTGAAAACAAATTAAAACCGAAGACTTCTGAAACAATCAGGGAGCTGAGCCAAGCAGGGATACGGAACATTATGTGTACGGGTGATAACATCCTTACTGCAGTCAGCGTCGCTCGTGAATGTGGTTTAATCAGCGCCGACAAGCCATGTTTCATCCCACATTTTGTGGAGGGTTTGTGTTTGTAACGTTCGCTACACAGAGGATTTTCAACTAACTATGTATCAGGTTATCCGGATGATCCCAAGATATCTCTGCATTGGGAGAGCGTCGATGATCCTTGCTTGAAACTTGACCCAAGCACTCTAATGGTATGCCTTCCTTCTTGGTTAACCGGCGTCTTGTGCAAGACTCAGCTAACCTTCCACAGCCGAACTCCACAGGTATTGACTTGTCCGTACCTACAAACGTCCATTATCTTCATGGATACTCCCTTGCTGTCAGTGGAGATGTTTTCCGATGGATCGTGGATTATGGTGACGAGATCATCCTCAAACGGGTGAGTGCTACAAATCCTCAACCGAGATTGGGACAATACTTCTTAAAGCACCTTTCTCGCATTAGCAGTGCCTAACTTACATTTGCTTTCCTAGATGCTTGTACTCGGGGGCGTCTTTGCTAGAATGTCTCCAGATGAGAAACATGAGCTTGTCGAAAAACTTCAGTCTCTTGACTATTGTTGCGGATTCTGCGGTGACGGAGCGAACGACTGTGGTGCATTAAAGGCCGCTGATGTTGGAATATCCTTATCTGATGCAGAAGCTTCCGTTGCTGCTCCATTCACAAGCCGGCAGTTTGATGTTTCGTGTGTTCCAACAGTCATCAGGTACACCCTTACCAACTCATGAGGTTCCTGTTTTCTTGCTAAATAATGGTTTAGGGAGGGTCGAGCAGCTCTGGTCACCAGCTTTTGTTGTTTCAAGTACATGAGTTTATACTCAGCGATTCAATTCGCGTCTGTCAGCTTTCTATACACCTCGGGTTCAAACCTTGGTGACTTCCAGGTAAATGGCGTCATCTACTCTCCCCCAAACCGTGTCCTCCTTTAACAGCCCGCTAGTTCCTATTCATTGACCTGGCTCTCATCCTTCCGATAGCAATATTCAGTAAGCAAAACTACCCGGCCTTTTCGGCCTCTTAACTTCCGTCACAACGCTTTGACTAACTGGCTTCGACAGTGGGCTGGACCGGCCCTTACCCTGTGCTTTCTCGGAAAAGGCCAACTGCTGATCTGGTGTCGCGGAAGGTTTTAACGCCTCTTTTGGGGCAAATATTGATTTGTGTCTTAACGCAGCTTATAGCCTATAAAACGGTCCAGTCACAGCCATGGTACGTTAGGGGTGTATACAACGAGCTGCTACTTGGCTTGCTGACGTTGGAATTAGGTTCAAACCTCCCCTGATAGACCTGGAGAACAGTAACATCGAGAATTCTGAAAACACTGCACTGTTTTTGATTTCCACGTTTCAGTACACGCTGGCAAGTGTTGTTCTCAGCGTCGGACCACCTTTTCGGATGCCAATGAAATCCAATAGTGAGTCTATACTTCGATATCACCCTTTCTTTTTACTTCGTTTCTGGCACCTAACAAGTCATAGGGCCCTTCGTGTGCGTCATAGCTGTGGACTTGATTGTATCATGCTACATGCTGTTCAAGCCATCCGAGTGGGTAACACGAACAATGCAGCTGACGTTTATGTCTAATCAATTTGCGCTCTGGTTATTGGTGCTTGCTGTTGGGACGTTTTCCTTTTCCTGGATCGCGGAATGCCTGCTCTTTCCCGGGCTTGCTCGAGCTCTCAGGCGAATGTACACATTCCTGCGACCACACCACCAGAAGCAGCGCCGCCAGTACAAAATATTGCTGGAAGAAATACGAAAATGAGCCTAGGAACGTTTTCATGGGGTCGTTTTCTAGACATGGGTTATCAATAGACCCGGCCTTGCAACTGGATCATGGATCTTGTCGTCGCATCATGTACTACCCATCCAATCAACCATCATTCTCAGTGTAGACAAATGAATTATGGAACGGCTTTAAGATATGCATAGCTTCCAACAATAGCACCCACGAAAGAAAAAGGACAGACGATAGTAGTAAGATCTGATGACCGGCGTCGCTAGCCCGACCGAGGCCCAAGTATTGCATCACTAGCATCTTTGTGAGTGTTGACGAAACAAAAATCTCATTCAATCCCAAGATTAGCGGGAAAGTGTAGTTAGTTTATGAGTACACGATGCTCTCAAGAGACCCTGATATGATGACTGCAAATTATACCCCAGCACGTTCAATGATCCCAAGGATGCTTCCAACCCAACAAAGCAGGTCCGTCCTTCTTAGCTCGGTACATCAGCTACAGCGCAGAGGAGGTTTCACAGTCAGCATAGTCCAAATTGAACGGTAAAAGTGCGGGATTCGTACGAAAAACCACATGCTGGCACCCAGGGCCGTTGCGGTGAACCGGTAGAGGGGCCGCGCAGGATGGATATGGATTGGGTGGTTCGAGGCCATGTCTGTTGTTAACAAGTCAGAATGACACCAATGACAGAGGAAAAGACAAGGGGGCGACGCAGTACTTCTCTTGGGTTTCAAGGACGGGGGATGATAGCAAGACTCCTCCCGAACATCAACGGAAACAACCGCCCAGCCATAAGGCACGACAGTCATGTGATCCGCCTGGTCTTTGCCGCCGGTTGATTCACCGGCCAAAATTGAACCACCTTTAGGACTCGCAACAATGGGCCGAATAAGGCCGAGAGACGGAACACTGCAAATCTGATCTTTAGTATGAAACATTATGACTCTTACGCAACCTGATCTCTCCGTTCTCTCCGACCGAGCGATTGACATCGTCTAGAACGAGACGTCCTCTGACATCATTAGCTACATACAAACCCGGTAACCCTTTCTCCCCATGGATCATAGGAATTTACACAGCTAACCCAAGATATGGTTCGAACAGGTCCCTAGTCTTAGATGAAATAGCGACGAACACGCAACCCCATTATCAACTTGAACGCTCAAGATTGAAGAACCGCAGCTGGCGCGATATTCGATATTCGATCAACGGCGAACCGCGAATTATTGTCCTGTTCCAGGGCTGCCCTCATTGGAACATCCTTTTACCTCACCTTCTTTCTCATTTTGGTGATCATCAACCCCAGGCTTCTTATAGAACATGGTGGCACCATCCCTGGAAAGAGATGGCAACGGAAATTCCAGATTCCGAGGATGCACCAGCATTCGTGATTTCGAGTTCCTAGGAAAACTTGGGGAGGGTACTTTTGGGTATGTATAAACGCATATATCAGAAGTTGCTTTTGCTGACTTACGGCAGAGAGGTGTATAAAGCACGATCAAAAAGGGATGGCTCAACTGTTGCCCTCAAAAAGATTCTCATGCACAATGAAAAGGATGGAGTAGGTAGTAGCCAAGCTCGCGTCTTCTGCTGCTAATGTCTATACAAAAGTTCCCGATCACTGCTCTGCGTGAAATCAAGCTTCTTAAAATGCTCGCCCATATTAATATTCTCCAGCTGAGGGAGATGGCTGTGGAGCGAAGTAAAGGTGAACCCCCCCCCGGTTCTCTCTCTCGTCGTCCATTGGAATCTTACCTCTACTTAGGTGAGGGGCGAAAGAAGCCGAGCATGTATATGGTAACGCCCTATATGGAGCATGATCTTTCCGGGCTACTTGAGAACCCGGCAGTCAGTTTTACTCAGCCGCAAATAAAGTGCTACATGCTACAATTGCTTGAAGGCCTTAAATATTTGCATGGGGTATCGCTTTGTCTCTAATCCCTATCTTGAGGCCTTGCTTCTAACCTTTTCATAGAATCGTATCTTGCATCGTGACATGAAAGGTGATGTTTGTTTCCCCCCAGAGTGTGGCGCTGAGTGTTAACACCTCCGCAGCTGCGAATCTGCTCATCAACAACAAAGGCATACTACAAATTGCAGACTTCGGACTGGCCCGACCGTACGATGAGGACCCACCTCAGCCTGGGAAAGGTGGAGGGGAGGCCAAGAGGGATTACACCTCTTTAGTCGTGACTCGGTGGTATCGCCCACCGGAATTGCTGCTACAACTGAGACGGTACACCACGGCTATAGACATGTGGGGCGTCGGGTGAGTGTTCTCGTCTGCCTGTCGTTCATTCTGTTATTGACGGTGGTAGGTGTGTTTTTGGGGAAATGTTTAAGGGGAAGCCGATTCTTGCCGGCAGTAGCGACTTGAATCAAGCCCAACTTATATTCAGTCTTGTGGGAGCGCCCACAGAGGAGAACATGCCTGGCTGGAGTTCTTTGCCCGGTTGTGAGGGTGTCAGAGCTTTTGGTCACAAACCTGGGAATTTGCACGAAGTCTTCAAAGAGTATGGCCGTATTCCCCAACCTATCTCCCAACTTTCGCGAGCATGTCCAGGGAGAGTGACTAACAATTTTACAGCCAGAGCCCCGCTGCTATTTCACTGCTTGGTGAACTTCTCAAATTGGACTGGCGGAAAAGGATAACCGCTATCGATGCACTGGAACATCCATACTTTTTCACTCCGCCTCTTCCAGCTCGCCCCGGCGAGATACCCCATTTTGAAGATTCACATGAACTGGATAGAAGAAGGTTTCGTGGACAACGAGCGGCTATGCCACCAGCCCCCGCGGGCGGATCTGTGGGCATTGGGCCAAACGGAGGCTGGGCAACAAACTCCGGAGCCAGGCCTGCAATGGAAACCAAAAACAGTCGCATCCCTGGCGCTGCACGCGTGGGCAAACCAAGTTACGGAAACCAGGGGGGGCATTCAAGGTGGTCTCTGGACCATCGAAATACTGAACCGCATGCAGCACGAGCAAGGCAGGGTACCGAGGACTCAACTCGGGTGGTTCCGCCCTGGCAAAGAGACAGTGGTCTCCCGCCTAAGCCCCCTACGTCTGCTCACCAACCATGGGCTGCAGTTCATTCAAGTAGACCAGCACGTGATAGCACTATTCATCCGGGACGATTCGTGGGCCGCTCAGACGGGAATCTAGACTCCTATGTCCCCAACTACCCAGGTGGCTTCGACAGTCGTAATCGTGAGGGCGAGGGTACTATCTCAAACAGCAACCTGGATCGAGATTGGGATCGACGCAATAACAGGCATGAAACGTCACGTCAAATGAACCGACGAGATTATCCGAGGGAAAACAATCCCCCAAGAAGGCGAAGCCGAAGTCCAGCTTTTAGGGAAGGATTCCATACATCGGATAGACCACCATACCGAAGGTGAAGCGGGTATAAATAATATCAAAGTTTCCCATATAAAGGATTTAAGGTTGTGTTGAGCACGTAAACTGATTGGACGCTAGGACTTTAGCCTAGCGCCTTACTGAATTGCTTTTAGAAACATATCAAGGACAATCAAAGTGTTGAACATTGCCCCAAGATAGCTGCCTACATTTCCTACCAATCAATTAGCACCATCCGAGCTTCCATATCCACGATTCCATGATAATCGCCCCATCGTGCTGGACGGTAGACCGGTGTCGTTGAGAAAATCCCACCAGCGCACCAATATCGGCGGGTCAGGGTCACTCCATATTTTTCTGGTGTTCCTTTCTTTACAGTTTAATGTTTTCCCCGGACAAAGATACACCATTTAATACAAGATCCGAGTCATAATGCGCGCTAGAAACGGTCAGCATGTACATCAAACAGAGGCGTGCGAGTCATGTATCATACAGGAGAGGCTCTCTAGCCTTTCGTATAGATCTTTGATGGTTGTGTTATCGACATTGCTGATGTCAGCCATTAGGTAGGCGACCTGGGTGTTATTAGCCCTGAACGTAGCTGAACTACAATGTGGGAAATGACATACATCACCGCGACTATCCGTCATTTGTTTGTCAACGTTATGATCACCAAGGACCTCGTTTACTGCGGCCCAATAGTTAGCTAAAATTCCACTGTCAATCAAATTGACTCACCTTTTCGTAGAACACCGGGGATGTTCTGGTGAATATAAACGACCTGGTTTGCGAGATTAGCAGTTTTTCTACAAAGGATATAAGGCTGCCGGGAAGTGGGAAATTACCCGAGCATGGTTCGGTTCGTCCATAGTCAAAGAACGAAGAGTGACTTCGGGAAGATTGACAGCGCCCAAAGTGGTGCCTTCGTTAACGTATCTCACCAAAGCATCCGCCACCTCAACACCAATGGCACGCTGCGCTTCCTCGGTACTACCGCCAATATGAGGGGTAAGAATCACGTTCTTGAGACCGCGGAGGTCAGCCCCCCAAGTGTTGAGATCATTGTTGAAGTAGTCACCGTTACCGGCAGGTTCGTTCGGATAAACATCAAGTGCAGCGCCAGCGACACGACCAGAACGCATTGCTTGGATTAATGCCGGGATATCGACAACACTCCCACGGCTAGCGTTTATCAAGTAGCTGCCTGTTTTCATTTGTTCAAATTGAGCTTGACCGATCATGTTTTTCGTCTCTGCGAGCTCGGGGACATGGCATGTGACAAAGTCCGATTGCGAAAGCAAGCTCTCCAAGGTAGGCACTTGGCAGGCAGTTCCTAGGGCCATCAAGTTTACCACGTCGTAGAAAAGAACAGACATGCCCATAGCTTCTGCGAGGACCGATAGCTGAGCACCAATGTGCCCATACCCAATGATACCTGTGACATCTGTTAGCAAAGATACGGCGCCGGAAATTTAACAAAAAGCTGCGAACGTGCCCAGGGTTTTTCCACGAATCTCCCAGCATTTACTGCTGACTTTGTTCCAGGTGCCATTGTGCATCTCATTGGAGCGATCGCCAAGCTGACGAGCAAGAACAATGATCTCGGCAATGACCAGCTCTGCAACACTCCGTGAGTTACTGAACGGAGAGTTGAAAACCGCAATGCCGTGGTCCGCCGCATATTGGAGATCGACTTGATTGGTTCCAATACAGAAACAGCCCACCACTATGAGGTTCCGAGCTTCTTTCAGAACGCGAGCCGTTAGTTTCGTTTTCGAGCGGATACCAATGACATGCACGTCCCTTTGAGCGAGGCAGTGTATTAGCTCTATCAAGATCAATTGAAGGTTGGGGCGCCAAACGAACCGAATTTTCTCTATAAGCTGGTCTTCGGGGAGGGAAGACTTCAGGAACTCCACTTGATAGCCTTGCTTTGTAAGAATCTCTCGGCCAGTTTGGTTCACATTTTCCAAAAGAAGAACCTTGATGTCCTCGGTTGCAAACGGCTTCAAGTGCTTTGCGTTGGGCAAGGGAATTGTTCGATTCGTGAACGCGGAGCCTCCATGACTTGGCGAGTGCGATTGGAACGACGCGGATGGGGAGCCAGAAAGGTTCAGGCTTTGTGAAGCGTTCGGGCTTGCATTGATGTCTCTGGGAAACGATGCCATAACGGTTAAACGAACCAAAGGTGACGAGGGAAAAGGATTGAGACAAACGAAAGACGAGAGATAGGTAAACCAGAACAGAAGGCGGGAAGAAGGGGTGGGAAAAATTGATGAGTACCTGGGGGTAGGTATTGTTTTATGTCAAAGGTAAGGCAAGACACACGAGGTAATTTTTAGCAGCTCCGGGACCGGACCTCTAGAAGTCAACTACTTCTGCCGCTTCTTTGACTCATAGTCATAGGATATGGAGGGGTTCATGGGCATAAACAGAAGGCGGTGGGAGGTGGTCATGGTGCCACCACGGCGGGGCAGAATCCTCGGAGGGGCTCCTTTTTTTTTTTTTTTTCCCCTTTCGGTGGACCCCTCCATGCTAACTGTATGTACTCCGTAGTATACAATATACACGCACTTCTACCCCACCAAAGTGACCAGTGGACCATACTCTATACTTGTCTTATCTTCTTGTCTCTCTTCCTTGCCCCTTTCGCTCTCAAAATCGATCTCATTTACTACTAGTTGACAACCTATTTTCTTCTCCAGATGCGTGTGCGTAAGCAATGTCAAGATAAACTTGAAGTCTATGAATGATAAATGAGATAGGAGCGAGTCTCAACGCCAGTAAATGTTCATAACCACGCAGGTCGATCGATAAGGCTGCCCACTGGCGATAGCTACATTCATACTTGCAAGTTCTGCATCTTCTTTGCAGTCTCCTCGGCGCCATCTGCAGCTTTCGAACCCTGCTTACCTTTCGACTTCTGGGATGTAGTGCCCTTGGGAAGCTCCTTAGTGTAGGGGAGGAATTCAGGGGCGCCCGGAATGTATTTCCTCAGAGGCTCGGGCACAATGAAACCCTATCGAACTTTGCATTAGTAAAGCAGTCAGGAAGCAGCAAGACAATCACAGCACGTACATCTTCTGTTTGGTAATTTTCCAAAATGCAACAAAGCGTCCGCTCGGTTGCACAAAGCGTAGCATTTAGAGCGTGGACATAGGATTTCTTCAAATCCGTGGCCTTCTTGATACCGTAGCGAATTTCCAATGCACGCGACTGGTAATCGGTGCAGTTTGAACAGGAGACCAGTTCCTTATACTCCTTTTGGAAAGGAAACCATGCCTCGAGATCGTATTTTTTGGACGCGGCATTGTTCAATGCTCCGGAAACGATGGCGACAACCTGATACGGAAGTCCAAGAGAGCGGTAGAATTCCTCCGAGGTTGCCATCATCTCATCAAAGGCTTCCCAGGAGTTCTCGGGTTTGGTAATGACGAATTGTTCGATCTGCACAGGAATAAGTATGAAGAGCCGAGCCTAAGTTCATGACACCCTCACCTTTTCAAACTGATGAACCCGAAAGATGCCCCAAGCGTCCTTACCGTGCGCCCCGGCTTCTTTCCGGTAGCAAGTGCTATACCCAGCGTATCTAGGTCCCGAGTCAGTCCAGAAGCCACCTAGTATTTGCATTCGAAGCCACTTACTTAATAGGAAGGTCCTTATCCTGAAGCCACTCTCCGTCATGCAGTGCTGACAGCGGCTGTTCAGAAGTAGCGATCAGATACTTATCCGTGGATTTGTCTTCACTTTCCGTGACCTTGTACAGTTCTTCGTCGAATTGCTCAAGCTGCGCCGTTTTCGCCATCATTTCTCGGAGCATGAATTGAGGAGGCTGGTTTGGTTTGTATCCCTTGCCCCATAGGAACTCCAGACCGTAATTGATCAACGCAAGGTTCAAGAAAAGACCGTAGCCCGTTAGGCAATATCCACGGTGGCCCACGATCTTCACTCCCCTCTCAGGGTCGTAGCCGTCAAGACGGGTGAGAACCTCATGATGAGACAGGCGATCGCATTTTTCAGTGGCAGAGGGTTCGGGTGCCCAGGTTCTTATGATAGCATTGTCGTCCTGGTTTGCATGCTATGAGCAGAATGCATATTCGGAAAACTGTTGGAAGACATACCTCGTTGTTGCTCACGGGAACAGATTCATGAACATAGTTTCCAATGGTCCGAACTTTGATGTCCCTTTGGGTTTCCTTTTGAAGAGCGAGGTCTTCGGCTTCCTTTTTTTGTTTCTCCAGGGCGGCCTTTTGCTCAATTAAGTCACTTGCGTCTTCCTTGTTCTGTATCATATAACGCGTTTAGCTCGGCCTGCATCTATACTCAAGAACCTGCATAGCACCACTGACCTTTTTCTTCTTTCCAATATCCTTGAGGAGCGCGTTCAGTTGGGAGCCAATCTTGTTGACTTCGTAGCGTGCTGCGGTAAGAGCTATGTTAGCCAATCTTTCACACCGAGCAGGCGAACCGCCTATTAAAATCATACCTCGACGGGCTTCTTCGTACAAAGCGACAACCTCATCGACTACATCTTCCGAGGCGAACCGTTTCCGCTGACTCTCCTTGATTTTCTTCAGGTCTCCACCGCGGTCACTGACAAAATCGGCAAGGTCCAACATTTTCAAAGGCAGTTAGCGTCCCAGGCCCAGAGAGACGGACCTTATTTCAGAAACAGGAATGCTGCTAGAAACCGAGAGGAATCTTTGTTGTCGAAAGCAGAGCCGATGTGAGGGGTAAAACCTTAGGTGGCATCGACCTTAGGGCACAAGCAGTAATGCGTGGAAGTAGCCCGCGAGGGAGGGGCTCTCAACTTAGTCAGCCTTTGTCTGCTGCGGATAACTAATTATTAGCCAACGAACTAAACCCACTAGCCAGCCTACAAAGTATAGTACGTACCCGGAGTATGTACGTTCTACTGTATCGCGACTGAGAGAGGGAAAGATATGTTTCTAGGAGCAGAGATCCGGTGTACATGACTCATGTTGCATTTTGATTCCATGCGAGCTGGTTGATTCACCACTCATACGCGACCGGAGACATAAGTAACTGGACAGTGACACTGTCTTACGGGCCTGAATCAATGACCTGATTAGACAAGCGTCTTCCTATTGCTGATGATGGATTCAGTGTCACTCGTATTCCGGCCACGAGCGATAGCCTAGGATCTTCTGAGTAGCTTAGCTGATTAGCGGTGAACTAGGTGAAGATATAACATCGTTATTCGGCATTTAAACAACAGGCAAGCTGAACAGTAAGAGGACAAACGGAATGACAGCCAATATCTCGACAGAAAAGACCTAGTTATTGAATTTAGCAACACACCAAAGTCTACAAGCGCCTTGGTTCTGATTATTATTCTTCGGCTCGAACACGCCCCAGATGTCACATTACATTGCACTTGTTTCCTCCCGTTGGCTGGGACGGGTTTTGCGATTTCTCAATTTCCCCAATCATTAAGTCAAAGGCCCTGTCGACATTGTAGCCAAGGCGAGCGCTGGCCTCGGTGAACGCACAATGGAGATCCTCTACCAGATGCCGGCCTTCGTCTAAAGATACCTGGCGTTGCTCATCTTTGAGATCGCTTTTATTTCCCACGACGACAAGAGGCACATAGTCCGCTCCCTATAATCCTCTCAGCGATCGAAAAGTGAAAGATCCAAAGAAGGAGAAGAAAAAGTAGCAAACGGAGAGGGTACGAAAGGTAACTGTTACTCACAAGATGATTTAGTATCTTATCTCGAATAACTCTGACCATGTCAAAAGACTGTCGGGAAGCCACCGAGTAAACGATGATGTATCCATGGATTCCAATAAAATGTTTTGAATTCAGAATGCTATACTCATCCTATCATTGTATTAGCTTTGGTGGGTATGGGCTCCCACAGCCAACTGTTCTTACTTGACCAGCTGTGTCAACAATCTCCGTTGCAAAATCCTGGCCGTTGAATTTGATGATGCGGCTGAACGTGTTCTCGATGGTCGGGTAATAGCTCTCTACAAAATGGTGTTCAACAAATCGCACTGTAAGGGATGATTTCCCTATATACCAGGAGTTAGATCGAGTCGGTATGGTGGAGTATTCGTTGTATCCTTACCAACAGATCGACTGCCAACAATAGCTATCTTTCGCTGTTTTGGCGCTGCTGGCATTATAGTAGCACTTATGGAAGCAAGCAAATCCAGCAAGAAGACTATTGCAGAGCACGGGAGTTTTGTTGGATCTCCTTGCTGCGTAGAGCCGCGGCGGAAAGGGCGATGAGACAATGTATTTCCAAGTGATCAAGCACTCAAATCTGAGATTATCGTAGGTCGGTCCAAATTAATTAATCAAGGGCGCCTGGTCCAATTGGTTTTGAAGGGACAAGGTCCAGTGTCCGGTGATGGGCGAGTCGGCGAGTCTGGGGTCCGGACGGGTGTGGCAAAATGTCTGGGCTGGATGTCTGAGGTACTCCGGACTACGTACTACTTACTAGCTTTCATGTGGCAAACAGGTCAAACGGGTTTTCCGGTTCAGCGCCAACGGTGGAGAAAACACCACATTTACTGCCGAGAACATTAGTTTGCCAATCTTTATCTTTTAGTTTTTGCTTCCTATCATTATTACTCCTAGTCGAACCCAAATACCCTCAAAAAAGTACAAGAAGCGTATCAGGACAAGCAAGAAAAGGGGAGCCGACTACTAATGCTAGGCGTCAACCTGTCTTAAACTAGATATTATATGTTCGAGCCTCGTGCTGAGTCCAGCGCCTCCATCGTCCCGAGTGTCCATAGGATAAGAGTCCTGCTCCACCTTTTGATGATATTGCAGGAACTCCTCGGCAGTTGACAGTATAAGAGCAAGGCCTTTGTCCAGCACAGTCTCCACCTGAGAAAGAAGTTCTTCATTCTGGCAGAGCGTAGCCAAAAGAATTGATAAATATCCAACAGCAACATTTTTGTGTACTTCAGAGACGGAATTTGCCTGAAATTCGTAAGAATAGGCACCCCTGATAGTTATAGGAAGTCGTCTTACCTTTCCAAGAGATTTGATGCCGTGGGAAAATTGTTGCAGAAGTAGCTGGAAGAAAGAAGTAGAGTTACGTGCCGGCATCAGAAACAAGGCCCTGGAAGATTGGCTTTTTTCTGCCAGGTTGGTGAGCGCACCAAGTGCTAGTATTACAATGTTTAAGGGGCTGTTTTCTTTAGCAGGAGAATCCTCGGGCACATGGCCAAATTCCTCGGCGATGATCCCGACAAGCCCAGCCACTAACTCGGGAGTAGCGAGCTCCTTACAAAGAGATGAGTTGGTGTTAGTTATGTTCATAATTACCCGGATGTAAAGGCCCAAGAGTCTCCGGTTTTGATCAAGCTTATCCGGATAGAGGAGCCAGCGTAGCCGAGAAAGTGACCCAAAGGAACTGCATTGACTATGACTCCAAGGGCCGGATGATAAAACCGTGTAAGAGTCCAATATTGACAACACCAAGGAGAACAATTCGAACTCCTGGGTGGCACTTTCTTGCTCGGGCTCTTTTGCCATAAGTAGCCCGACCAATTGGTCCAACAATGGCGCAGGGATAGGCTCAACGCTGCGGACTTTTTGTCGAAGGCTTTGGAGGAACGTGTTGATGCCATATAGTGCCAAAATACAGGGCGATGTAATTGACGACTGCTCCCCATACACTGCGGAGAATATCTGCTGCAAGTTCTTTCTGAGGGAATGGCGCACGGATTTGGCAAGGCTAGTAGTAGACCGCTGATCTACTAGACACATGAAATTAACGTCCGAGTTGAGGAGTTGAGGAGCAATTTGCATGATCTTCCACCAAAAGCGGCCCGAGAGGACTAAAGAAAAGAATCCACTGTTGAAGATCAGATTGTATGAGCAGAGGGCAAGCGATGCCGAGATAATATCAAGGCCTTCAGTTGTTGATTCCACTATGCGCTCCTCGAAGCCACATTCACAAAACTGGCGAACAAACTGAGGCTCTAGCAGATTTAAACAAAGCCGGGAGTAGCCATCACACCTTTCTGAAAGCGAGTTAGAGGGGCCTTCAACATCATCCAGAATTAATTCAACCGTTTCACAAAAACGAGCTTTTTCTCCAGCTTGCCTAAGCTCGTGAATACTACGAACAGGCTTGCTATCGCTCTTTTCATTATCTTTGTCGTCGACGCTAGACAGTAGCCGAGTATGAAGAACCGATGGACGAGATTGACTTAGGCCATGGCTCTCTGAAGAAGCGACAGATTTGCCGTCCGTGAAACTGTCCAGAAGAGAATTATCGTCTAAAAATGAGCGTTGGCGAGCATAAGTGACCCGGGATCCGCGTAAAATGGACGACGTCGAAGGTGATTGTCGAGTGAGCTCGGCGAAAGACATTGCCCCGCTACGATTGTTCTTGGGCTCTGGAGATGGGTGATACTCTCTCCAAGCAGTACCAGGCTGAGAAGACGTTTGAGAATTATCGAGTTCAGCGGGAGGAAACTCGTCGGTGGTAGAGTCTTCCGAAGGACCTAGCGAATCCACCAATCTCTTCCTTGTCCAGCCAGTTTTTTGATGCTTTCCGGCCGCACGTGGTGGACCTCGCAAACTTTCACTACCCGTGTCTTGTGATGTAGCAAGGCTCTTCCTCTTGAGTGAGGTCACTCGTTCTGTAGGGGCCGTTCGTGCACGCGGTAGAATTAAAGAGGGATCCCCCAGAGCGTGGCCATGATGGTGATTCCGAGAATTCCTTTTATGGAGCGGGTTCGGACTGTTGTTCGTTTGCAGTTGGGTGTGAACGACCTCATCGCTACCAGGATCTGGTGAGTTGCCAGGGCTTCCATCAAGGTCGGAGGCATAGTGATCGACTGCAGATGTTTGAGAACTACTGTGAATATTACCACCCTCAGCTGGCGTCACCTTCGCCCTTCTGTTCGTACACTTCCTCCAAGACGTGCCAAGGTGTCCGCTTTCTTCCTGTTGAATGTGGGGAGTACATTGGCCAGGGGTAGCCGTGGTTGTGCTTTTATATTTATCGACGCTCTTGGATTGTCCAGATTCGTTTTCTGATGGCAGTATTGGATGATTGGAAGACATCACTTCAGAGGACGCTTTGCTATCATGCCTTACCCTACTCGTAACGCGAGGCGCTGGGGTTTTCGGACATTTATTCTTGTCATCCTGAGTGTTGCCGGATCTCGATTTTCCGTAAGTCACTGGCTTCTTTGTCTGACGTCGCATGTCGGGGTATCGCGTCTATCGAACTGCTCAAGATTTGTAATGTGCAATAATGTTGGGTGGTTGAAGAAGGCGATTGATGCCCTGAACGCAATCAAAGGCAATTTTTCGAAACCTATCAATCTGATATTAAGTAGGCTATGGGGTTCAATGGGCATGGGTATATGGTGGGAAAGATGATATCATGAACTGTGAAAGTAACCTCGCCGGGTAGCCGATTCACGGATATCATTGATTGAATTGTATTGATTGGAAGAATGAATGCTGGCTGCTATTTGCGGGGCCCATGGGGCATCCACGAAGACTTCACCTAGTGGGCCGAGGGTAAGTGATCGTTGTAGGTAACAGAACAAATTCGAAGTACTCCGTAACTACAGAAGTAACTACCTTAGTTATGGATATCGCCAGGAGGGCAGATGAATAATCAGTACTACCTTAACTTAGTCATGGTTAAACGACTAACTTAACGTAATCGGACAGCGAACCGCCGCGACACCGAACCGCCGTTTCTCACTATAACTACCACTATAAAAATTGGAACTCTATCATTTATATAAAATAGAAGATTTCCTTCCAAAGGCTGTTTTAACTATATAAACTAAATATATTTTACATCAAAATAAATAAAATGATCCAAAGGTTACTTAGTTTTATAGATAATAAAACTTATATTACAATATTTAATTCTCGAATGCGATAGTTCCTATACTCAAATATAAAAGTATTTTATATTGTAATGAGAGTAAAAAGAGACTATTAAAATTGTAATTTTGTATAAAGTCTTAATAAAGTGATTTAATATGATATAACTTACTATTGTATTCTTATCATTCATCAATATCTATATCTGTTGTAAAGTTCCAATTTTTATAGTGGTAGTTATAGTGAGAAAACGACGGTGCTGTCCGATTACGTTAACGTAAACCACAAGCGAGTCGCGAATCTGAGCGAGCCGCGAATTTGTATTCCCATACAATTTGGCACTTTTCAATTTGGAGTATCTCCACCATACCTCTATTCTAAAAAAATATATTAAAGACCTGAAGTATTATATAGGTAAGTAGTATAATATCTTTTTTATATAATAAAGAAACCTATGGGAGTCTTTAATACATAACCAGCTTTATAATACAGTATAATTTATAATACCTGGACAATTAGCCTAATAAATAGATTAAAATTTAGTACATTATCGTTAAATAGTGTCATATAATTCTAGTTTTAAATAGTATCTTATACGACATAGAAATGGCTGAGATATCCCGAGTTCAAAAGCGCCATTTTGTATGGGAATACAAATTCGCGGCTCGCTCAGATTCGCGACTCGCTTGTGGTTTACGTTAACTAACTAGAAGTACGCTGCTGCCGTTCAAGAAATTTAACGTGATCACAAACGTTCTGTGATCACAGTGGGAACACAAGAAGGCTCTCCTGTTCATACACAAAATCCAAAATAGAGAAGATGTCATGATATAGAAGCTGGCTGAAATCCCATACCTCTCATGTAGATAGGTTAGCTGTCCTGTGCCTAATCCCGTCATCTGTGCAGAGTAGGTACTATGTATGTACAGTAAGGTACCTACCTAAGGTATCCTTTCCTAGGTATCTTCCTAGGTGCAGTATGTACTCCGTGCCTGACTACCAGCTGTCTTATCCATACATCCATATATGTACATGTGCCTGTGTAGAGATAGGTACTGTGCGTCATCTGAAAATTGCCTACCTACAGTAGTAATGGTAAATCCTTCTATGGGTCTGATACGAACCCAGGTATTGTATGTAACCACCGTACCTTATCTTACGATGTACAGGTACAGTACATGCACATATCGGCACACCCCGATCCTTTTCCGCTCCTCGGACTTTAAAAATCCAATTTCGGGCCACACTCCAGAGTGCCCTTGCAAGGTCTGGATAGTGCTACATCATTCTGCATCATTTCTGGTTTCTTTTTCACTTTCGCGGCGGAGCCTTGTTACATCTCATTGAAAGAAGTGGCCGGCAGTCATGGCTAACGAAGTAACGGAATCCATTCCTTCTCCCGCGCAAGGAGTCGGCCCGATATACTGGCCAGAGGGCGAAAAGCCAACAGCCACAGTATCTAAAGATATATCTTATGACAATGTCCATGTCTTACCTCAAACGCCTCAGCTGATTGCCCTCTTGACGTAAGAAACGGACATAGCTTTCGGATAGACATACGGGCCTAGAAGCGTGGCTAACTCTTCAATAGTATGATCAGAGACAAGAGAACCAGTCGTGCTGATTTTATCTTCTATTCAAACAGAATCATTCGTCTATTGGTTGAAGAAGGCCTAAACCACCTTCCAGTTGTGGAGCAATCAGTCACGACTCCTGTAGGTCGAGCCTATCTCGGTGTTAGATTTGAAGGCAAAATATGCGGCGTGTCAATTATGAGGGCAGGTGAGGCAATGGAGCAGGGGTTGAGGGATTGTTGCCGATCGGTCCGCATAGGGAAAATCTTGATACAGAGAGACGAAGAGACATGCAAACCAAAACTGTTCTATGAGAAGCTTCCTACCGATATATCTAGCCGCTGGGTTTTGCTGCTCGATCCGATGTTTGCAACTGGTAAGTGGGACACACCAACGGCCCAGTAGGTTCTGTTAACCTAAACTTGTGCAGGAGGCTCCGCTACCCTTGCTGTTGAGATCCTGAAGGCGAAGGGTGTGCCCGAGGATCGCATCTTATTCCTGAACCTCATTGCTAGTCCCTCCGGGGTTGCGGATTTTGCTGAACGCTTTCCCAAACTCAGAGTTGTCACTGCTTTCATTGACCAAGGCTTGGATGACAAAAAGTAAGTGCTATTTTCTTACTGCTGAGTGAAAGGAAGAAAGTTTTAATATGTATTGCAGGTACATAATTCCGGGTCTTGGTGACTTTGGTGACCGATACTATACCCTATAAGTGTCACAGAGATTGCGTACACGTAGTTGATTCAGCAGAGGATTTATCCCATTGCGTGCGGAATTACGCCTAGCCGCATAGATCAACGGCGTCTACTGCTCACAGCTCACAGTTCTAGGGTGTGGAATGTCGATCAAGGAAACTTTGCGTGGGGGGAAGGTATAAGTAGGTCTCGAGGTCTCTGACTATTTCTGGGCCATGTTCTAAAACTAAACACCTGCGGTTTGTTGCCAATGAGTATCAATTTAGCATAAACACAGAATGAAGAGGGAAAGGAGAAAGGTATTCATTATCAATAGCTAGTAGGAAATTGTAATTGTCCACTAAACTTTGCAGGAGTAGATTTAATAATCATCATTGTGTGCATCCAGCCGGGCAGCACTATCTCCGACTTCTTGCTCACCGGAAGATAAAGTATGTCCAGTGGAATGCATGTTTGAAGTATTTGGTTCATATTTGTGCGCAGCATCTTTAGCCACCGCATCGCATGCATCGACCCAGTCAGAGTACACATCAACGGCAGCAGAAAGATCTAGAGCAAATGTCAGGTCCAGGTAAAGAGGGTATGAAGTATTGAACATGGCACATACAATTGATACCTGTTTGAAATCTCTGCCCGCAAACTTTGCAGGACAGATTCCCTAGACCCAACTTCTTGTCCAGTTTGATAATAACAGAATTTTCATGGTTGCAAAATAAACATGCAAATGTTGTCGGGAGTGACTCTCTCTTTTTTTCAGATAGTTGTCAGCACCAGTGGCATAGAGGATGTTGGCAGAATCACCTTCTTCGGTCCCTGGGGTTGTCTACTCGACTTCTTCCGCTTGCCCTATTGACGAGAAATGACGTTAGCGACTCGTTCAAAGGATAGCAACTACTTCAATTAACAATCAAACAGAGTCATAAATATACCATCGTGGAAAGTTTGCGCGTAAAAGACCGGCGATGAAATTGAGATCAGGGTAGGTTTAGATATGCTGAGGCATCTGCGAACGGCGGGATGCGTAGTTGTTGTAAGTTTGAAGACCATGCACCTCCACGCGTAGGGAGGCGAATCATGGAAGATCCGGTTTCATTTACTGAAGCTGGGCGTGTTGGTTAGCCAAGCGCTCAAGGGACATGGATTGTATAATTACCGGGCAGTGGTAAGTCAACCACCTACAGAGTAGGTACGTTGGTAGGTATCCTACGGGAGTACCGTGCCTCTTAATTCCTACCTTAGACTAAACTCGGGTTACATCATTTCCATTACCGATGGGGTTGTACGGAGTAGTTAGTCATCAGTAACTTACTCCGTAGTTAGACGTTACAGCAACTGCTGACCCTTATCGATAAAGAAACCAAAGTGGAAAAGTACACCAGCCTACCCCATATTTCATACATCTTTCTAGATTGGCCCTGTTACAAAATGTGGCTACTGGCTACACTTCATTACTGCTACCCGACAATTATTCTATCAGCACGTAGGTTCATGTCACAGTTGCCTACACCTAACGACGGAGTAAGGTACCTACACTGTATAAGTGGTGATCACGGGAATGGAAAATCCAACCAGCCTTGAGTGGCAAATTATCCATGCCGCTTTCTGGTGTATGCACTAGGAATCGTAGACCCTAGGGAGTATGTGCCTCTTCGATCTGATTGTCCACGGACCATTCGAGTACTCCCATACCCCCCTCCCCTGTAAAAGACCGTACAACTTATAGACCACAGAAATGGGTAGAGATCTTCGCGCTGGTTATGTCGAATTTCCATAGAGTGTAAACTACCGGCCTACGTCAAATTGCTGTATATCTCCTATCTTTCTGCTTTATAGCCTTCTTCTGCATGTGTTGTTTTCAGACTCAGTCTCCACCCCTGTCTCAACTGCGTAACGTAACCAATAGAAGCTTTCAGGCCATTGATTCAAAATTGCGCAACCATTGAATAGTTGATTACATATTATTATGGACATGCCCGGAATTCAATCTCTAAAATTGAAGGTTCAGTGAGGGTTCCTACATCGTCTTATCGTATGATGTGCATATGAGTAGCCGTCAATTATAAAGAAGATGACAAGGTAACAAGAAAAGATTTGAGGCTAACTTATCTCTGGAGCTCGAAGTGCTCTGAGATTGCCGGGTATGGGGAGTACATCTCCATGGATATTGCCACAAACGAGAAGTGAATTGATTGCTGAGTACGGACAGGTTCCATCTATTATTGAAGGAGGTTGATGTGACGCTAATCTGAATCCAGGGATGGTAACATGTATTGAAATGAGCTGTAATTTACACCGCGCTGCTACCACTTGGTATGTTTGTGGGGGACCGAGAAATTACATAATACACTGGTAGGGCCGACGCCTCGCTTAACTGAACTTTTTCTGTGGGATTTTGTTTTCAACTCCCATCCCGTCGACCCAGTAGCGTCAAGAGTACCGACTGCCCCCAGCGTGGTGTTCTATACTTGGCTGTCTTCGACAATTGCAAGATAGGCTAAAGTCGCAGATATGGCTGTTGGAAAGTATGGACGCGCCCTTCACTGCAATATGTTGCCGTTGAGAGTACCAGAATTGTCCGTGGCTGACGATTGATAGGAACAAGCGCTTGTCCAAGGGCAAGAAGGGCATCAAGAAGAGAACCGTCGATCCTTTCTCCAGGAAGGATGAGTACTCTGTGAAGGTAGGATTTCAGACTTCTTTGATTTGGCCATCGCTCACATAAAGCAGGCTCCTTCGACCTTCCAGACCAGGGAGTATGTCTACCGCTCATATCCGCATATTTGTTTTAGCACCTTGGGCGAAGAAACGACAGCTGACGATGAACTTTGAAGTGTTGGAAAAACTCTTGTGAACCGCACCAGTGGTCTCAAGAATGCGAACGACTCTCTGAAGGGACGGATTTTCGAGGTCTCTCTCGCTGACCTGCAGAACGATGAAGACCATGCTTTCCGCAAGGTCAAGCTTCGTGTCGACGAGATCCAAGGAAAGAACTGCTTGACCAACTTCCACGGACTGGACTTTACGACCGACAAGCTGCGATCCCTCGTTCGAAAGTGGCAATCGCTTATCGAGGCCAACGTGACGGTGAAGACGACTGACGACTACCTTCTTCGTCTGTTTGCGATCGCTTTCACCAAGAGACGCCCCAACCAGATCAAGAAGACCACATATGCTCGCTCGTCTCAGATTCGCGCAATCCGGAAGAAGATGACCGAGATCATTCAGCGGGAGGCGGCCAGCTGCTCCCTGGCCCAGCTCACCACCAAGCTGATTCCCGAGGTTATCGGACGCGAGATTGAGAAGTCTACTCAGGGAATCTATCCCCTTCAAAATGTGGGTTTCTACTCGGCGTCATTCTTGAAACCAGCTAAATAGTTTCCAGGTCCACATCCGCAAGGTCAAGCTTCTCAAGTCTCCCAAGTTCGATCTCGGTGCCTTGCTCAACTTGCACGGGGAGTCTGCTACTGACGACAAGGGTCACAAGGTCGAGAGGGAGTTCAAGGAGCAAGTTCTCCAGACCGTTTAATGCTTTGATACACTGATGTTTGTTCGGAGCTGATGTCGGTATCGGTGCTCGGTTTCAGGCTGTTGATGATTTTCCCATAAGTCAATAAAAATTTCCTCGACTTTCATGTTCAACCAATCGGTAACTTGACTTTTCTTTGGATACTGCTTCTCTGTTATGGAAGGGAAAGCTATGTAGCTCATTGTAGTTGATAAGTTCCCCTAGTGGTAGCCCTGATCGTCAATTTATCGATCCTGAACCTGAGTAGTTGCAAATCAAGGCATTCTATCCCTTCTACGGGAGTCTCGAGAATCAAACAGATTGAGATGGATCGTTTTGCCTTAATTCGCTCCCACTAAAGGTCTGACAATCTACAAGAGATGGCTGGGCGGTTAAATGGTTCTTTTTAAGCTGCCCTTGCGGTATGTTTTCTATGGAGAAAGAAAGGTGGACTGAAAGACAAGCGTAGACAATAAGATCTTGAAAGTTGATAGTAACCATTCCAAATCAATTACCAATCACGGTTCCTGCATGGGAACTTTTGATCCCTAACCCATCTTGTGGCTGCTGAAGAGGTGGACCATCACTTAAAAAAAAATTCCGACCATTTTATATATTTGAATAGCTGATTGATTGTTTGATTGACCTTTGATTCAATTATACTCCATTTCGGCACCTGCACAGGGCTACGCTAGTGTTTTTAGTAGCAGTGTAACATAAAATCCTATACAATCATTATAAGCGCTCAACTAGAATGCCTGAGGCACTGATTGAGCCAGCCAGGCAGCTAAGACAGTGTAATGACAGAACTGCAGGTGTGGAATGTCACGCCCCGGCTTGGCTGAGCACGTGACATGAGTGATTGCCTGTCTAGAAGAGTCTTGAATGTGACGGTCTACAAAGGAACTAATAAAAGACAAGTTTGTTTATGACTTGTAGTCAAGCAATTTTCTTATTGTAAGGGGAAGCCCGGCAGAGGATCGGCTCTTATTTAGGCACTTAACCCCCTTAACTAAAGATACTAGATATGTCAGAATGATCTTGGATATAGACCTCGCTGTGACGGTCTACAAAGGAGCTTAGTAAAAGATAAGTTTGTTTATGATTTATAATCAACCAATTTTCTTATAGAAAAGATAAAAACTATTTAATAAAAGATTTTTAAATTTTTATATATTAACAAAATTTAATTAAATATAAAGATCTTTTTTTTTAAAAAATTGTTTACAAAAATACTAAAATCTTTTTTAAAATCTTTTTAAATAATTAATTAATTATAATATCAAATTATAATAATATTTTTTTAAAAAAAGATTAATTTTATAACTATACAAATCTATTAAATTAACAAATCATTATTATTATATTTATTTAAAAATTTATTATTACTTGTAATAACAAATTAATTATTAAATTATTATAATAATTTTAATTTATTTAAATATTGATTATAAATAAAAAATTAATTATTTTAAAAAAGATTTAAATACAAATATTAAATATACTTTTATTTAAAAAATAATTTTAATTTAAACATATATTTCATTTATTTTATAATTTTATATAGATTAATTTATTAATTATCAAACTTGTAATTTGATTAATTTAATTTTTAATTTTTTATAATAATATATATTTAATTGTTAATTACAAAATCTATTAACTTTTGATATTTATTAATTTATTAATTTATTTTGATTTAAATAAGTTTTGCTGCAGTGGATGAAAATGCGATGAAAATGTCGATAAGACGGTCGATATTCATTAGTATGGAGATGATTGCTGAATGATTGAATTGACTAAGTCTGACTACTTTAAAGTGGCCAGAAACTAGAATAAAACATACATATCATAACCGCAGAAATCTTAGAATTATTTGTAGAAATTATTTTCGCATTTTATCAAATAGTAATATGAAAACAGCTAATAAATGATATTGTAACAAAATGATAGAATTTTAAATGCGATATTTTTATGAGTTAATTAAATATATTAATAGAAAAAAATATATAAATAAAGATAATGAAATAAAAATGCAATAAATAAAAAAATAAAATAAAAAAATAATAATAATAATTAAATTTAAATAAAATAATAATATAATTAGAATGATGTTTTATATTCAATAATAAGATTGAAAATGTTTAAATTGTTAACATAAATTTATTTTTTTAATAAAATAATTATATTAAAACATAAAATATTGCATATAAAAAATTTTATTACATTTAATGCAAATGACGTGTTAATCAATGATATATTTAATTTCATAATAATTTTTTTGATAAAAACATTATCATGTTTTATTTGGATAAAATTAAACTGTTTATATTGATATTTGAAAAAATCAACATTGAATTGTACAAATTCGAGTTAAATAATAAAAAATAAAAAATGAATATAGAATGTTTGTGATAATTTTAAGTAATATATGAAATGATCGACATATTTGAGAATTTTAAAAGATTTTGTATATTATTAAAAAAGATAATAATTAAGTTAATGTATAATAGATATAATATAGTTTTAATATAAATAAATAAAAATCTTGTTTTTGGATTTGATTTAAAAAATGGAATATAATGTTAATTATAAAAGCATTTTATATATATTTTAATGAAATAAAAAACTTTTTTGGCATTATGTTTTTATAAAAAATTTTGTTAAATAAATAAATAAAAAAGATTTTATAATTTTTGTAAATTAATATCGAACAAGATTTTATGTGAAAAAAATATTAATAATAATATTGAAAAATTTATTTATAATATTTATAATGAAAAAAATAAAAAAAATTTATTATTTATTTATATTGAAATTAATTGTCAAATGATATTATGATATAATTTTGATTATATAAATTATGCGTTTTGTTTAATTATTGGTTTGAAAATAATAAATGATAAAATAAAATTATATAATATTTATGTGAGAGAATATGTTATTTCAAAATTGAAAAATAAAAAGCAGATTTTGATTAATAATGAATTGTTTAAAAAATTTTTAATTATAAATACATAAATAATTGACAATAACAATGTTTCAATATTTAATATTTTAATTAAAATGTTTCAAGATTATATTGATTTGTTTGATGAACTTGTTTGTAAATATAAAATATTGATTATAATTGTTATTATTAAATAAATCAATAATAAAATTTATAATAATAATATAAAATGATTCAAATATAATATCAATTGATTGTAAACTATCATATAATAAATAAATTTAAGATTTGTTAACAAAATATATGAAACATTAATTAATATATTTTTTAAACAAAATATAATCTTTATAGATGTAAAAATTTTTTAATATAATCAAATATTTGCTAATATTTTGATGATTATTATTATTGTGTATTAATTTAAAAAGGTTTTTGACAATTGTACAAAAAATATAGAATTGATATTTTTTAATAATTTTATTGTATGTAATATAATGTTTGATTATGAAGATTATATTATTGTTCAAAATATATAATAGATTTTATATATTAATCATTTGATTGTTGATTATAATGATTATTTTTATAATTTAAAAATTATTAAAATATATAATTTGAATGTGATTCTTGAATTTGTTTGATAATTTTATTAAAAAAGTAAATTTAAAAATGATATTAAAATTTTTAATTTTTTTAAAAAAAATTAGACCTCGGCATGGAACTTCCACGGGTAGGCATTTTGGTTCCAGACCCGTGGAACAGGTAGACGAGTCCTACCCATTACCCATGACCCCCCTACCCATTACCCACCATGGGCACCCCGCGAAATACCCGTGAACTACCCAAAAATGCATAACTAACCCTTTTTGGACATGTCAAGCCGCATAAAACTGCTTATTCTCCTGATTAAAATACTGATTTCAATACCTGTTCTAATCACCCTTCAGTGCATAACGCGATATAACCACAATATCTACGTAAATTAAGTATCAAAGTTCGAAGACATTATCAGAAGCTCCAATAATAATGAAATGTGTTTATTTTCAATCGATTATATACTAAAGTAAAGATGATTCTAAATGGTATTATGGGAAATGTCTTGTTAAATGTCTAAAATATATTTTGATATTTGAAAGAAGTAAGTATATTTTCTTATAAAGACTATCTTTATCCCCTTATATAGTCTTATATTAGTTAATTATACTAAAACATTGATAAATTAAATTATATATTCTATTGCTATCTTTAAATTATCCTTTTATTGATCTTATATGTCTATAATATGCGTGGAAGAGCTTAAACTATTAAATCTCGTCGGAAATTGATGAGACTGAAGTATAAAAAAATTGTTAAAGTGAGACGGGTATCCCATGGATTACCCGCGGAATATCCATCTACCCGCGAGTAGACCTCGGCAGAGTCCGTCCATAGGCACCCCTTCAATGTCCAAAGTCCAATTACGCTAAGTCTCGTCCAGTCCAGCCCGCACACGCTAAATACCAAACCTGCCCAAACCCGCCCATTTTTGCACAAAATCGGACACAAAATTAATGATTCAGCAAAATAAAAAACTATTATTTATTTTCGTTTCAGTCACTACATAATTAGACTAAAGAAAAGCTATTTTGCCAAAAAAAAATATAATAAAATTAAAATGTATTTTTGATAATTCTTATTAAAAAGTTCTAACAGACTCACAGATTAGTTTTATTATTATATAAATTAATAAATTTTAAATAAGAATATCATTTTAACAGAGTTAAATTTAAAAATATATATTTTACATTAATAATTTTATTAAAACGTCTTTTAAAAATCACTTCTTTTGTAATTCTAATTTTTGATGATTACCTCTTAATTTTATGTAAAATATTGTATTAATTTTTGGATTTAACTAAAAATTGAAAAATATATATTATTTTATAATAAAATATCGAATAAATAGTGTTTATCTTATTTTTATAATTTTTTTTGTTATTCTGTAGAATAGTGCCTGAGGTTTTTAATTAAAGAATAAAAAAATGAAATTTTTTTTGGATGAGAGAGCTTATTTCTGAAAAATTGGACTTAA